AACAATTAAGCGCTTGTGATAGAAGACTTATTGGCTCTACACAAATTCAAAATATCATCCCTTATTATATCTACTTAATGGGTTTTTAGTTTGGAAAGATTGGAAAAAGCAAAGATGAATCCCGCCTTGTATAACCCTAAACATACACAAAAACCAAATTCAGGAAAGTCGAATGTGAAGTTGTAGGGTCCCAGACCAAAAAAAAAAAAAACAAGTAGCTGAATTTTAAAGAGCAGATTAAAAAGGGCACCAAGGTGGCCGTACTTCATCAACAGCATATTTAACTAAGTCTTACTCTCAACTTGTGAACAAAGATCCATATTAGCACCAAAGAGCATAATACCTAGTCTTATAAAGAAAAGATGCATCAGTAAAATTCTGCGGGATTCGACAACGCACCTTCCTTTGCACGAAAGGGACCATAAGGACACATTAACTAGGGTCAATTTCGACTTCGATCCTGTTTCGATTAATCTATTTATATCGCCAGAACTCTATTATATTCTTAAGCAAATTGTACGAGATATTTAAATAAAAATAAAGGTTGTGAACTATGCATAATACAAAAAAACACCAAAAAATAAGCAAATAAACTAAAAAATTCAAAACCTTTATCTTTAGAAGAATGACAAGAACTTTCAATATTTTAGAATAATATCTTAAGTTTTTAAAATAATATCTCAATATTCTGTATAGTGAATATCTTATAGAAAAAGATTTTTATATACATCCTTTTTTCGTAGTTTACTTAGTAGGAACAGCATATGATCAATTTCATCCTGATACTGATATTTGCAAATACAAATAACTATGCCATTTTTTTACCAGTCTAGCAAAAAAGTTCCAGGAGGAAAAATACTTGTAAAAGTTTATTAACGATTTCCCTATAGTAGGTTAAGGTAGCGAAAAATATTGAAGCAAAATCTGATGAATTCACCACAACCATTAAAAAAAGTCAATATATCGTTAATGAAAATATGGCAGCCGTTTCAGACGAAACTTAAATGCTTAAATGAAAAGGTAGACCAACAAAATATTTCCCTAAAACGCAAAGGCATATTTCTGCTCAAAACTCCATCTGTGAAATATAATACGACATAACAGCATAACACTTTATTTATTGTGCGCTTTATGTACTGCGCTTTATGTAAACGTTTAAAAATCTTCATATAAAAGTAATTGAAAATATAATATAACAAGAAACCTATTGAAAACAAAATTTTTGGAATCGAAATCTTCAGATATATTTTCAAAAATTTTGAATATTTCTATTCTTAATGATATTTCGAATGTTAAGGATAAGTGCTGCTATTATTAATATAAATTTAAATATATGTATCTTGTAATAACTTCATCCATTTCTCATATCATTATAGAAACAAGGTTAACAATCTTTATTTCTTTACAATGAGTTAAATAAGAAATGAAATTTTATTTTATTATTATTTTTTTCTTTAATTTAATTGTAATAAAAGAAATCTTTAAGGAAATTGAATCACTACTACACATAATTTGATTATCCTCTTCCAATATAAAAATTATTGTAAGCATTAAATAATAAAGTTGGGTCAAACCAATGGTTTGTAATTCAGCACTTTTCCTTTAAACAAGTGAAAATACTGCTTTCAAGAACAATCCAGCTATATACTATATTACTAAAATTACTTTCATTCATATACGAATATATTTAAAAAAAATTGCATACTTTCAGGGTGAGCATTCAATCTTTGAAATAAAACAAAAAAAAAATGTAAAGAGGCGTTAACTTACAGCTCGGTTTTAAGGGTTAATTGTGTTAGTTAAGAAAAATAATTATATTTTTCAATGGCACGGAATTTACCATCAGCTTTCTGCATTTATAGAAATTTGGAAAAATTTGCACTTTCGGAAATATAAGATGCCAAAAATTCACCAAAATTTTGCAAATTTCGTGACACAATAACTTGAGGGGCGGTGGAGGTAGAAAAAAACTTTCTTTTAACGAAATGAACTAGTTATCAGTGTCTAAAAGCTGCTAACATTTTAGACTCCTAAATCTCTCGGTTTAGAAGAAAAACGATATCAAAAATTGGGTAAAAATGGGTTTTAAGTTATGGTAAATTTAAACAACCATTTTACTTTTTTATATATAACTTTTAGAGGGAGTGAAATAGGTAAGAATTTTGTTTTACAAAAATAAGTTTCTAGTAAAGATCTATGTACGTATGAAATTTCAGCTTTCTATCTTCAAGGTTGTAAAAGTTTTATAAACATGTCTACGGACGGACCAACAGTCGGATGGACCGAAGGACAGTGTGAAACTAAACAACACTTTATTTCAAAAATTTTTTGGAAAAGTGCTAAAAATCATTATTATAAAAATTATAAAACAGATTCAGAATAAATTTAAGAATTTCTTGAGAAATAATATAACTACTTACAATGCATCATTAAATACAAAAAGTTCTTAATATTGATTTTATGAAAGCCAATCAGCAAAACTCTAAAGTAAAATGTTTAATTAACAGTTTTAATAACTATTATAAGTATTATTGTATGCAATTTTGTGCATTTTATGCATTAGTTAAAATTTAGGTAAATTCCCTGTCAGAAACAAATTTGACTGAATAATATTTGAATATCGAAATAGTTGAAATATTAAAAATAATGTTAATAATTGTTTTTATACACGCAATGGCACCTTTTTTCTAAAGGTTATTGCATGACACAGGTTCTATTTACAAATCTATATTGAATAATTTTCTTTCATCTGATGATTGTGCAATTTTATGGTTAAAATTTCAGACGTCAATTTTAATAAAAGTTTTGTTTTATACATAATTATATATAAATTATATTAAAGTAAAAAATTTTTTCTCTATTACATATGATTTTTATAATATTAAAGATTTATTACAATATTAAAGATAAAACTTTAAAAAACAATTGTACAAATTTCAATTAAAACATGGTACTAATTACAAGAAAAAAATTTTTTATTCCAAAAATTTCTCTATGAATTAACAAAAACAAACGCGTATATAATAAATTATTTCGTGGTAAAATTCATTAAATATAACAACAAAAATACATACATATACACATAATAATATACACAATATTTGAAATATAATAATAACAAAAAAATTCAGTATCACATCAAGCGTTAATAATTTCCATCAATTTTGATAAAAATAGAAAAAATCATGATTTGACCGGTAGAACTATAAGATATAAAGTTTTATTAAAAACGTAATGACTTTTAAAAGCAAAGTTTGTTCAATATTTCCATATAAATTAAATATTGGTATAATAAAGTACATAATTTTTATTCGCTTTTACTTACTAGCTCAATTCATTATAAAATTGTATTGAGTTAGAATTTCATTTTTGTTAAAATGTTTGAAATTTTGTTTAATGTCATAAATTTAAGCTCGGAAAATACAACAGTGTATAAAACATTGGTATAATAATAATATAATTCACCTATTAATTAATCTAAAATAAATCAACACTTTTTTAAACGGAAAAGTAAAATTAAAATATTGCTTTTAAAAATTTATTTTTTTATATAACCATATACGTTAATACATATACATATGTGCACAGATATTAAAAAAGCATAGAAAACATTATCATTAAAACCATTAACCATAGTCATCATAATCATTATCAATCATTATCATAGCTAAAAATAAATTTTAATGAAAATAAAAAAAAAATGTAAACAATTTTTTTATATTGCGCGTTAGAACAACATTTATTTTTTATTTCTCGTCTTTTCATTTTTTAAAAAAGTTCCTCTCAAATCCTAAAATAAATATGTACAACTTGAATCCTTATATAAATACCCCTATATCATAATATTCTATTTACATTTAAACAATAAATAGAAAGCAATCGAAAAAGAAAAGATTTCGTATAATAACAAAATTGGACGAACAGAAATAATTTATAATTTTCGATTCTATCGAAAGAAAAATTGTTTATTTACTTTGATCTGCTATACTAATATTACTATATTTTGTATTATAGCGGTATAGTAAAACTAATATTAAAAGAAGGTACAAAAGAAAAATCCGTAAAAAAAACAAAAGTGCAAAATGAAAATAAATTCTTATCCAGGACATTTATTACATTTTATGTAAATTATTTTTAAAAGTCAAGTCTTTTAATTGAATTTAAATGAAACGAAAAGAATTTTGGATTATCATTACTTACCTTTTGTCAGAAAACACAAAAAAAATTAAGTAAAAACTTTTAGAGTTGAAAAATTCTTTGTAACTTAATTAATGACTTCTTTTTCTTTTTATATGATACGTTATTGACGTAGGACCGCAACTGCTGTATAGACGATTTTAAAGTAAAAAGTCAATTTGGACAATGCATTTGTATTTTCTTTGTATTCGAGTATATGTTACTAAATCAACAAAAATTATTAAGATTATAATCAATGTAAATGTGCTGAACATTTGCAAAACAAAAAATTATTATTGAAAAACTGATAATTTTTGGTCAAAGTGTCGAAACTTTTACCGTAATCGGTCATGATAATATTAATTTGATAAAAAATTTTTTTTCAAATTTATAATTTTCCCTCTGTTTGAAATTTACATTTATTATAAATGTACTCTTTAAAATCCTATTTGTATTCTTGATTAATATTAAATTTATCTGGATATGAAAATACTATTACACAAGCATTTTATGAACATAAGGACTTTATTTTTACTACAAAATTTAAAATCATTTCATTCCACATGTAATATTTATATTTTTTTGGGAATAAATCTCCTTACAAGTGTCCTGAATGAACTCTTAAATTATTTATAATTACATAATATGTATTGGGAAAATTTCGTTTAATTATTACATTTCAATAGAACTATTAAGTTTAGTTAATCCATAAATCTTTTTAAGTTGTTGTCTTTATATGATAAACATACTCGTATATATGCATACGCACAAGCGTATATTTAATTATTACTTGACAAACATTTTCAAATTGATTGTCAATATAATTAAGTTTTTTCTCCATAACAACCAAGCGTAATTTCATTTTCATGAAATTGTATTAAAACTAATTCATATGTTACAATTGTGCCAGCAATCTGCAAAATACCAAAATAGAAATCTTAAAAATTATAAACTTAACATCTATTAAATATAATATAAGATTTTTCTGGTGTTTTTTACAGTTAAAACAAGTGTTTTCGTTATGTAGAAAAATTTCATTCCTGATAAAGCTACTAATCCTTGATTAACATCATCAGTGAATCTTTTGACTTCAGACACCCAAGAATCTTTTGGTACACTTCGAAATATTTCAAGTGGTTTTTTTGATTCAACATTGATTGAAGCTGCTGTAAGTGAAACTGCAAGTGTTCTTCCAATTAAAAATCCCAAAGAAAAATAAAAATATAGGCCATGAGCAAAAGAAGGCATTTTGCTAAAACAAGCAATATTTATTATTTTATATTCACATATGTATATTGGGAAAATATTTACAAAAATTAATAATATTTCTCAATTAATTACAACTAAACACAAAACTAAGGGAATTAAACATTTAGTTAACTCTGTCGTATCAGATCAAAACATAACTCATTGCTGAGACAAAAGTTAAAATAACATTTTAAATAACGATAGAGTACAACAATTTAAACATTTTTGAGCAATTATGTAATTAATTGGGGAATAATATCACATAATAATTCTATAGTTTACTTCAAAGATTTTAACAATTGTACACAAATAAAATATAAATTGTTTGAAAAAGATGCCATCATAATAAACGAAATCGCATTATCCACTTTTTCACATAAAGAACATGCATTTCTATAATAATTTCTGTAGTTACTCCAAAACTCATTGGACATCGCCTAAAAACAAATTACAATGAAAATCTAATTTTATTATAATATTACAAAAAAAACTTTATTATTATTCTAATACTAACCTGTCCTCTGTAACGTTCTAAGTTGTCATTTATTTGTTTAAAACGAGCTTTTAATCCAACACTAATAATCATTATAAAAGCATCCATAAAATTCCAACCAAAAGTTAAAAAAATATTTAAAATTTTTCCGTAAATTGCTAAAGCAGGGTCATATTCAAAAAAATGAAATATGTGTGATAATTGTGACCGAAAGAAACTCTCTATTGGATCATTTGCGTTTGGACAATAATTTGCGTAATGAACTAATGAAATCATATTCAAAATATGTTCAGCTTTATAATAGAAAAAGAAAAAATTTGTATATTTTTAAATATAAAAATTTAAAATATTATTTTACTAAATATATTTGAAAAACTGAGTGATGAAATACACTGAATATGGTAAAAATGTGTAGTAAAGATACAAACAAAAAATTTAAACCTCCCACACAAGTTTTTATATTTTTTATCAAAAACGTAGTTTTAACCTCGCATCCTTCAAAATTTTATAAAGGAGCTTAGATATGGTTGTTTATATTGTATTTCATCACTTAAGTTTTACATAAAATATTAGCATTTATGTATACTCATTGATAATACTACAGCAAGCGACATAATCCATTGAATTTTATAAGCTAACGATCTTTTCTTTTTTTGATTTGTGTATGGTGGTATTTCTTTTTCGTTTCTCTCCCATGCTAACATTAAATTTGGCCATTCTCTTGCCAATTTAATAAAACTCAATGATATAACAATGTTGCTTATATGAAATATTACTGGATCTTTTATATAAAAAAAATCATTTGTATATATGTATATAATGTACTTTTAAGAAATATATCAAATATTAATTTTAATTATAACATAAATACCTACATACTTACCTACATCATTAAAGTTTCGATTTTCGTCAAAATACCAATATATCGTTATTATTGAATCAATTAATATACAAAAAAAATATGTAATTGAATATATTGTACGAAAATTCTTCCATGAAAATGATAAATGCGCTGCGGATTTCTCTCGAATACCAGCTACTGGCATCAGTGCAAAACATTGAGCAAATATCAAAACTATAAAAGTAATTTTAAATTTTTAAAAATACTTAGTAATTGTTCATAATTTTTAGGTCAAGAAGAAAAACAATATTTCGACTTGTTATACTTGAATAAAAAAAAAAAATTCAAAATTTATTATTTTTTACTTTATAAAAATTTCATCACCAAAGGCTTGAATATGCTTCAATTATTACACTAAATTTTAAAATAATTTTTTTGAGATAATAACATAAGTTCACAAAAATCGAAGTCATTATTTCAAGTTATTCATTTTCATTTCTACACTTCTATATATATTTTAATTTAATTTCTATTTATTAAAATCTTACCTGGTCCAATAGCTTCATAAAAACTTCCGTTATATATAAAAGAATTTTTGTTCCCTCGTTGAAAAAATTTCGATTTTCCTAATAAATACATTAATTAAAAAAAGGAAACATCAGCACAAGACTAAACGCTTTGTGCATTTTTCGAATATAATCCAGAAAATGTCAATTAAATTTTTATTATAAATATATTTATTTAATAATACATTTGAAATAAGAATTTTAACAAAATTGTATTTTTAAAATATACAAAAAAAATTGTTCCTTTTTCATTTACTTGGAAAAATCTCAATTTTTTGACTGCTATTGACATTTTTCGGTCGCGTGACTTCTCCTCTTCTTACATTGATGATCACTTCCTTCCTGTTTGTTTATTTTTGAAAAAAAGAACAATAAAAAAAGATTTTATAATATAAAGTTCAATATCCGCAGCATAGAAATTTTTTGTAACAAAAAAAGTACATAAATAAAATTTAAATTAATTTGTTATTATTCAAAAATTAAATATGTAACAAATAATCTAGCAATTCTTGAAATTCATCAATAAAATTTGAACACTTCGTAATAATTTTATTATGTATGTTTGTAAAGGATATGCAAATTTTAATACAAATAAATTTTCAAAAAAAAAAAACTAATAAAATTTTTCTCCTCCAATGTAACACGACCATTCATATTGCCGTTTTTAAACTAAATGCTCTATCACTGGACCTACAGAATCAAGAAAAAATTATTGGAAAATCAAATCCCAGCATCTTAGTGCTTTTATAATATTGGCACATTTATTTAAAACTTAAAATCATAATTTTTGAAATTTAAATTCATACCTTTTGCTGTGAACTTTTACCTCATTTGTAATTGAATTTTTATTAGGTGGTACATTTTTCATTCTGTTATTTAAATTAAATAATCGCATTTTGAGCTTGTTATTGTATAAGCATAAAAAAAATAAATAAAATTGTTAATATTTACAAATTTTTAATTTTCAATAAATGTCACTTAACAAATACTATTTCCACTTGATATTTATAGCAAATACCCGTCATTAGCATTTCAACAACAAGAATAAAAAAATTTTCTTATTAACAAAGTCAAGCAAACAAAATAAATAATTACAAAATTAAAAATTTTAAAATTCATTTCATATTTTCATTTTAAAGAAGCGTAAGTTTTCATTAATCGGAAAAAAAATTATTTAATTAAAAACAAAAATATAAATTACAACAATTCATTATAAAATTTTTTTTGTACTTGAACCTAATACGAAAATTTCAAATAACAAATAAGGCTATTAATAAAATGACAAGACAATTACATTATCACTAATGTAACCATTATTATTATGATTGGAGAAAAACAAAGTTAATTCAAGGTTTTTCTTTAATACGGATATATCTATATATATACATATATATATATATATATGTTCTTGTGCGTGTGTGTGAGTGAATATTTCGTTCTCATATAATTATTTTCAAAATTATCAAACGCGAATATTCCTTGCGATTGGTTTACTTGATCTGTATAATTTTTACATGCTGTAAAAGAAATCCTAAAAAAATTACAGAACTAGTTATTGAAAACAAAATTCAATATTACTGAATTTAGAAAACTTTCGAAATAGGAGTTTGGTGAAAAATTCAGCAGTTGTGTTAAAAGCGGTCGTAAGCCTAATAAATTATGATTTTGATGTCCTACATATATATTTTAAAATTCAGAGAATATATATACATAGATCGAAAAATTTTTAAATTTTTCACAAAATATTTATCAAATAGTAATTATAAAATTTGGACAATATTAAAAAGTTCAATGAAAAAATTATTTAATAATTGGCTTCTAATGTTGTATTTCAAAATTTCAAAAACTATTTATGTATATACATTTTACAACAAATAAAAATTTCGACTAGAATAATAAAGACCGCGAGATCATTTCATTTTATTTTATATAAAAATATATTATTTATTACTATTATATGAAGGATAATAATAAAAATTTTCGTTAAAATTTCTTTAAAATTTTTTATTGTTAACGAGTTAAAACTTTTTTTGCGATTATTACGTTATATATGCAAAACATTAACACATTAATAAGAATTTACAATATACATTGCGCTTAAACAAATTACTTACTCGAATCGCTATACGTATCTTATTAACATTGAAAAGAATGTAAATTATTTTCCTTTTTATGTCATTTTGAATTTGTATACAACTACATACTTAGAAATACCTTAATACTTTATACATAACAAAATTTAGCCAAATTTAAAACTAGTCTTAATAAAAATCTTAAATAAAATTAAAAAAAAATAGTTAAACAAATCCTTAATTACTCAAAAATTTTAAAAAGTTGTAGTTTTTAAATATGTAAGTACTTAAAAATCATAAATTTAAAATTTCTTTATATATTTCCTGAAGTGACTTTAACATTTTTTTTTTTTTTTTTTAAAAAGTTAAATTAACATGTTTCTTGTGCATCATCTTTAGTGAATTGAATTAGGACCAATTCATAAGTCACTATAGTTCCAGCAACCTTAAAAAAAGTACGCATGAAATTTTTATAAATTTTTTTCCAATATTTGCAAAAAAGATACCGTTATCACTACACTTCTAGTTATATGAAAAAATTTCATTCCAGTTAACGCAATTACATCTGATGAAACTTCTTCAGAGAATCTCTTTACCTTTAAAAATATTTAGAAAAAAATTAAGTTTTTATTAATTCTAAATAATTAAATATGAATTAATACTTATAATTAAAATATGAATTTAGATATAAATGTTTACTAATGATTATATATTTCAAAAATAGTTTGACTTACTTCTTGACACCATGATTCTCTGGGTACTGAACGAAAAACTTTAATTGGTTTTTTTGCTTCATCATTAATTTCAGAAGAATACAATGAAATCATTAACGTTCGACCCAAAAGAAATATGAGTGAAAACCAAAAATATAATCCATGTTCCAGTGAAGGTTTCTTACTTTGTTTAATAAAAAAATTGAAAAATTTTATTTCATATTAAACACATATGTATGTACATAAAATTTCTTAAAAAAAACTTCATTTTAAAACAACATAATATTGCCATATACATATTTAAAAAATTGTATTTAATTATTTGAGTTCAAAGATGTTATAGGTTATGCTTATTCATAATGCATTATTTATATAAAATAATTCATTAGTGGCATTTACTTACTTTATACTTCTTAATAATTTTCCGCAAACAAAATACAAATTATTTGAGAACGATATTAAGGTAATAAGAGATATAACGTCATCTACTTCATCACATAAAACACAAAGTGCACGATAATGTAATCGATGTTCTAACCAAAATGATTGTGGCATTTGCTTAAATAGTTTTGCTCATTTAAAATGTATAAAAGAAACTTTCATTATAAAACCTTTAAAACTAATAATAATTTAAAAAAAATAAAATGGAAAAACTAAAATTTCATGCATAAAATTAACACTGAAACAAAAATGTAAATTATTTTCCTTTTTTTGTAATTTTTACTTTGTATACAAGTGCATATTTACAAATACCTCAATTTATATGTATATTAGTTTTTTTTTTTGATAACAAGTTGTGTTACAAATACAATCTCTTAATATTATCATTATAAATCTTACCAATCCTTTTACTTCCATTAAACTTTCATTTACTTGTTTAAATCTCTCTGAAAGACCAACACTTATAATCATTACAAATATATCCATATAAGTCCAAAGAAAAGTGCATAAAACTCCAATGTATTTTGAAAAAATGCCAAGCCATCTTGAATATTCAAAATACGCAAACATGCTATCTGATGCTGAATACAAATAACTATCCCAGGGGCTATCCGGGAACATTGGACAATTTTTAACATAATAAAGAACAGTTGCAGTGCTTAAAACATGTTCAACTAAAAATCATAAAATATTTAGTAAGTTCAATTCTTCATCACACACAGATTTAAGTAAGTGGTTGAAAAAAAAGATGAATCTTCAAAATACTCAAAATGCTGTTTTAAATTTTGAACATTTATATATCATATAAAAAAAATATGAATAAATTGACTCTTCTTGTTTTAGCGTTTTGAAAAATAACAGGAAAATAAGAACCTAATGATAATCCCATCCCGATTATTGTAATATTTCTAATACGGCGTTTTAATGAAAATTTTTGTTTATGTGTTTTATGTGGTGGCAATTTTGTTTCAACTCTTTCCCAATGTTGCATTAAATCTGGCCATTTTTGAGCAACAAATATGAGCTTTATTGAGACGATGATTACTAATGTGTAAAATATCACCGGTTCTTGAACAAAAAAATATATATATATATATTATAATGCAAATACATATGTATATATATATGTATTTGTATAATACTTACCGGACGATTTAAATTGAATTGGTCGACTGAATACCCAAATATAAGTCATACTCGCACAAAATATTTCAGATAATACTACAAAAATACTGTGCAATGTACGAATATTAGACCATTTAAAATACAAATCTTGAGAATTTTTTTTATATATTCCCCCAACTGGCATAAATCCAAATAATTGAGTCAAAATCAAAACTGAAATGTTAAAGATTATTACTTATTATTTATTTTAGTTAGTATAAAATTTACCTGGACCCATAGCTTCATAAAAACTTCCACTACGTAATAGGTCATCTTTGGTATCCGTACTCAAGTATTTTAATTTTTCTTTATGAACACTTTTGTTCACAAAGTTTTTATCAATCTTTTTTCTATTAAATTTCATATTATTTTTAATAATTTTTATCAAATTTTTATTATGTTTATTTCATTAAAATATTTTATTTATCCATCAGACTATATATGATTCACATTCACATGAATCACCTCAATTAAATCAAACATAACATAATATGTATTATACAACTGGCTTGAATTGTTTGAAAAATTCAAAAGTCTAACTACGTAAAACCTTAAAAAAATTTATATGAAATCTATTTAAATTAGTAAACAAAATCTAAATTATTCATATGTATATGCAAGCATATATAACGACGGTTGCGGGCATTAGTAATATACTCTTAGTGTGCAATTGTACGGTAAACAGGGCATTAAAAATTCAATTATCAAAACTTCATATATTACACTAAATCACTATTTTATTATTTTCAAACCATATTATCAATAAGTCCTTTTTTTTTAATCCTTATTTTTGTTGCTACAATAGTTTAAAAGAGAATTTATAAGTGCTATATAATAAAAACAACAGCGCAATAATTAGCTAATATACATAATTCAATTAGTAAAGCTTTTTTATTTGTAGATATGACTGTATATTCATATTTAATTGTTAATTATTGTTTACCATTTTCAACAACTTTCAAAAATAAATAATAAAATAGAGATCACGAATGAAATAATCATATAGATTTGCTTTAGCACAGTTATGAAAACTTAATTCAGGTATTAATTAAGAACGTACTAACACGCGGGATTTGTGGATCTTTCATGTTGTTACGTATTTTTAAAGAAGTTCACGTAGAGTTTTATGTGACTGATATAATCTAAGAATTAATAGCTAACTTTTTAAAACGCGACATATGTTCTTTGTTAAAGCAACTTATGACCCGAGGTGACACCACCTGATTCTCGGAGAGCGATATTTGGCATGACCAAATTTGGTGAATTTTTCTTAAAATCCTTACCGAAGTCTCGTACAGGAAGTATCAATTCTAGTGAGTAAATCTTGCTCATTTTCAATATTTATGTATATCTCCGTGTAGTAAAAATATGCATCGGTTCCAAATTCCAATTTTTTGCGTTGTCCATTCAGAGCTTCGACAACAGACTAACATACATAATTTACCTTCTTAGTTTTTTAAAATCATCATTAATAAAAATGTTAGTTTTTATTGCTCATAAATAAAAACTGCTCGTTTGCTGTAAATTGTCGTAATGAAATAATAGCAGTTTTCGTACATAATAATAAAAATAAATAATTTGTGCTTGATTATATTTATTATTCTTATGAGTAGTAAAACAAAGTTAAAAACCATTTGTATTAGTAATTTTAAAAAACACGGAGTATTCAGCACGCACATCAGCGTATTCTAATAAGTGTACTTGTAAATGCAACAAATTCCATTATTCAAGCACATAAATTCGTTATTTCATTTCTTGTGAAACTAAAACGCAACTGCATTAAAACTAACTCATAAGTGACTATAGTTCCTGCAACCTGAAAAATAAAAATTTCTTTATTAATAAATTATGAAAAAATTGCAATATAAATAATAAAGTTGGGTCAAACCAATGGTTTGTATTGTAGCACTTTTCCCTTAAACAAGTGAAAATACTGCTTTTAAAAACAGTCTATGTATATCCACCACACTATTAAAATTATTTTCATTTATAAACGAAACTATTTCTAGGATTGCATATATTTAGGATGAACCATTTATGCAGTCTTTGAAATAAAGCAAAATTTAATATAAACAGGGGTTAACATAATGCTCGATTTTAAGGGTTAATTGTGTGAGTTAAGAAAAATAATTATATTTTTTAATTTCATGGAATTTACCGTTAGCTTTTTGTGTTTATAGAAATTTGAAAAAGCTTGCGGTTTCAGAAATATAAGGTGTCAAAAATGCATATTTCACAAATTTCAAGAGGCCATAACTTGAGAGGGGGTGGAGATGGAAAAAAATTTTAATACTACTAACGAAATGAACTACTTGTTAATGTCTAAAAGCTCTTAAAATTTCAAGCTTCTACAGGCTGGGGTCTAGAAGAAAAACGACATGAAAAATTTGGAAAAAAAGGACTTTAGATAACGGTAAATTTGAACGGCCATTTTGTTTTTCTAAAGTTTAACTATAGTATACCGCGGTAGAGCAAGCAAGTCACTGCCTTTCTGCGTTTGCAAAATTTCAAAAATGCTTATGGTTTCATTGCAACAAATAGTTAAAATAGGCCATTTTTAGTGCTTTGGGGGGGTATAACTTCTAGAGGGGGGGAGATAGGTAAAAATTTTGTTCTACGAAAATAAGTTTCTAGTAAAGATCTATGTACGTATTAAATTTCAGCTTTCTATCTTTAAGAATGTAGAAGTTTTGTAAACAGACACACGGACAGACGGACGGACGGACGGACGGACGGACAGAGTGAAACTAATAAGCACTTTTTTTCAAAAAATTTTTGGAAAAGTGCTAAAAACAAGAAATTACAACAACGCACTACTATCGCAACCTTAAACTGAAAAAAATTATAATTCTTAAATAGATATAACCCAAAACGTCTTAATCAATTAAAACTGTTATTGCAATAACTTTCAATTAATAAGAGCGTGAAAGTTTATATTAACAAAGCTCATGTAGTTGATGTTTATTATTACGGAGAGCTATTCAATCGATTTTGAGTTAAGACGATTTAAGACGTTTTGGTACAGAATTTCAATCTTTTATAAAGGTTATAATAGTAGTATTGAAATGCGTTTTATTATAATCAATATATTTCCTAAATTAAATAATATTTTTTCCTAACACTTAGCATCAATTTCTTCGTGATGTAAAAAAAGTTCTTTCCAGTTAATGCAGCTTGCGTATTTGTTATTAATTCTACAAAACGTCTTGCCTAGAAAAATGAAAATTTGTTTTTAAATATTTTAAAGTGTTCAAAATTTTTAAAGATTTTTATAAATTTTAAACAATTTTATAGAATCCCCATGCACTAACCTCTTTTTTATAACATTTCCCAGGTATGGATCTCAAAATAATTAAAGGTTTTTTAGATTCATCATAAATTTTCGATGCACAAAGAGATACACTCATGGTACGAAAAATCAAAAATGTTAATGAAAACCAAAAATAAATTGCTCTTAATGAAGATCGTGCCGGTCTGTGTTGTAAAATCAATTAAAATCAAATAAAAAAAAAAAATAATTTTCCCAAAACAATTATTTTACAAACATTTTACATACATATGTACATATATTTTATTCATAAGGCATATTTAAATTTAATGTTTTTGGAATATAACACTTATTTTTCTTACTTAAAACTGTAAAATAGCTGAATACAAATGTGATAAAGATTATTCAAAAATGAAATTAGTATAAGTGTACCAAAAACTCGATCGACATGCTTGACTAAAACTATTAACTTTGTATACTGAAATCGTAACTTGATACAGTCTTCACAAGGGATTTCCTATAAGTACAAAAAAATTGTAATTTTCTTCAAATAACTAAAATTTTAAATTTACTTACTTTTTCATAATATTGATAAAAATGTTCATTGAAATTTTTAAATAATTTAACAAGTCCTAAACTTGTGACGATTATCAAAACATCAGTAAAATTCCATGCGAAAGTACAATACAAGTTGAATAAAGTTAAAAAGAATCCACTTATGCGATAATATTGAAAAATGGAAAAATACATTGGGAAAGCTTGATGAAAATATACTTCTAGAATATTTTTGTCATTTTCAGAACATACTGTTACCATTTTAATATCTTTAATAATGGACATTGTGTGTTCAAATGTTAAACATATAAGCATAAATATAGTTGTATATTTTATAACTCTATTTGATTTATCAGTACTACAATTACGATAATGGACCATATGGTTTAATTCAATATTTTCCCAATTTTGCAACATTTTTGGCCATTTACGAGCAATACGAACAAATTCACACATTGTTATTGAAGCATTTATAAACCAAATGAATGCGCCTGTTTATAAATTTAAAAAAAATTAAAAATAATAATTATAATGATTGTACAGTTGTTAGGCAATGTTAAAAGTAAAGCTAAAATTTTCACTACAATATGCAAAGAAATGATGAAAAACATGCTAAAAGGACAATCATAAAATTTGTTTTATGATGTCCTTAATCTATCTTCAATATTCATTTGTCTTTTAACTGTTTCACCAAGTATATAATCACAGTTTATTAATTAATTTTATTTTTAATAAGTATTAATTATTTTAAAGATCATATTTTGTGTGTTATCTTTAGTTCAGCATATTATTTACCTATTTCATCGAAACTAACATTTGCACTAATCATGCAATATATATTTACACCCGAAACGAAAAACCCACAAATGACCAAAAAAATTGCATATAGTGTTCGTAAATTTATCAATTTGAATTTTAAATGTAAAGCTGATGTACCAGTTATGCCACTTACAGGTATCAACGCAAAACACTGACCAATAAATAAACCTGAAGACATTATAAAAGAAATTCATTAAAATACATGTTAAATACATATATAATATATTTATATATACTTACAAAGTCTGACATTTTTGTGAAAAGTTTGATAATTTTGGATTATAATTTCCAATTCTTTTTCTTTGATGTCTTTTACAATCTTTTCTTTTGAATTTGACAATATACAAATACATACGAATTATACTTTTAAGGAAATGTTCAAATTTTTAGACCAATTACCTGAATTATCCCATATTTGTAATTTATTTTTTTTCATTTTAAAATTCACCATTTCAAATTTTTAAAAATCAATTACAAAAAAATGTCTTTAAAAAAAAAAAATGTAGAAAAATTTAAAGTTTAATTTAAATGTAGTTACTTAAATGCTTGCAATCTGTGAATGTCTGTTTCGTACTTAAATAAAACTGGACAAGTAATTTAAATTTATAGATTTCATTCACAAAATATCAACTTCCATAATCAGTCAATCTAGTTTTAATCTGTTTTGCTCTTTATCAAGACCGAAAAATAAATAAGATTTTAAATGACAACTTAATTTTTTTTAATATAGTTGAACCAAATAATCAAACTAATAAGTTTTATTTTGAATATACCGAAACTACTAGTTTTTCCAAATATTTTCTACAAACATACATCAAACATGTATGTTAACCATTCAAAGCCAAATTTTAGTCAAATCTGTTTATAGAAAATAAAAAACTTAAGTAAATCAAAATTCAATTTCTATTTTGTAGTATTGAAAATTATTTTAAAATTATAAAACTTTTATCTGACTGTTTCATGTTTATCTTATTTTTGAAATCTTTTTCAATAAAATTTATTTTACTATTATTATCTAATTTACATATTTAAAGTTAAATTTGTAAATAATTTTTTCTAAAGATATTGTAATATTTATATTAAGGTATAATTTTGATTATAAAATAAAAAAGACAGAATACCTATGTATATTTGCAATTTAAGTTTTATTATTTTACATTATATTATTGGGTATGTGAAAAGATACAGATAACACATAAAAAACGAGTACGTATATATATATGAGTTGAAGACAGACAAAATATTAGTCAAAAAACAGACGAACAAAGTTTCACAAAGATCCAATATTTTTTACAATAATTTTTTTTAAATTCATTTTTTAAAATACTTCAAAACAAAAATACTTGGGAATTGCGTAACGCTAACACGCAAAGAACAAATTTTGTTTACGCTTCTTCAACGCAACCTGAAGATGTAAAATATACATTTTTCCACATATCTGCTGAATTTCGATATTTGTAATTAGTTATAGGGGATGAGTGATTTAGTTCACAAGAATAGATGTAGCGCAGTATACAGCCAATGGACCAAAACTAATACCATCCTGCATAACATCGTAGTGCCACTGCTTATACAGAACACAATGAATCAAGACTAGAGAAACTCGATAAACAATCAGATTAAGTAAGGCTTAATTGATTACTTGTTTAATCATATTTAAATATGCTCATAGAACAACAAAGACCTCGAAGAATAACAATTATGGAAGGATTCTGGGTAAAAATTTATGGAAACAAAATAAGAAAAAGTACAAAATGATAATGTAGTGCTGGAATATTACGCCTTTCAACAAAAGAGATCAAGATATCTTAATTGAATTATGCAAAATAATATAACTATGTTCACTATCTGAGCATCATCAGGTGTTGGTCTCCCCATTCATGAAGAACTGAAAAAAATGTCAGTCATACAAAATATCAGTAACCTAACCGTATCTTTCAAGTGCCTTTGAATGGTTTCCATAATTCCAAAACTCACATTATAAGTAGAGAAGGATGAATTTTACATAGAACTACAAAAGATTGTGTATAAGATAGCACCCAGAGATAAGATTATGCTTCTTGGGGATTTTAACGCACGAGTGGGAATGATGCTGTCAATAGGGTAAACCACAGATTCAATGGAGATGTAATGAAAAATAATGGGGAGAGAATGATTCAGTTCTTTGCCCAAAATAAATTAAAAATAAGAGTCACAACACAAATACACATTTAGAGATTTTGATTTTTTTTTATCATAATATTTTCTTATCCAATAGTAAACATGAAATTTTCTTGCTTTATTCAACACTGTAAAGTTATAATGTTCTGAAAACAACTTGTTAATAATAAAGTTAACAAATTGAAGAAGTTTATTCTGATTGAAAGTAATGTGAAATTTATATTTAATGTGAGTACATCAATATGCCTTATCCACATGGATCTTGACCTCCTTCAGTGTCAAACGTAAAATGTAACTGTATTAAGACTAGTTCATAGGTAACTATAGTTCCTGCCACCTAAATATAAAACATAAATGCAATATTTAATGTACTATGCTTTAAACATCAATTTATAAAGGATATCTTAAAATAAAATAAATTTATAATAAATGTCACAAACAAAATAATTTGAAAAGTTGAGAAATACTGTCATATTCGTTATACAAAAATATTTCAAACTTTACTTACGCTTAACATGAACTTTCGCGTAATATGAAAAAAATTCATTCCACTTAACGCAGCTTGTGTATTTACTATTAGCTCTAAAAAACGTTTTGCCTAAAAATATGCAATTAATAAATATTACATTATTTTCGATATTATAGATAGATTTAAGAATAAATTAAACCTACGATGTAAAGTAGGACTAAAATAAAAACAGACGAGAATTAATATTTATACGTCACCTCATTTTTATAAAATTTTCCAGGAATAGATCGCAAAATTTTTAATGGTTTTTTAGATTCATCATAAATTTTTGAAGCGCAAAGTGATACAAACGCTGTACGACAAATTAAAAATGTTAATGAAAACCAAAAGTAAAACGCTGTTAATACAAATTTGGCCGGCCTATAAAAAAATTAAAAAAACAAAGTGAAGTTAAAAAAAATTATTACGTTTAATGAATATTTGCTTTTGTAAAGTGCATATTTAAATTTTAAAAATGTTCGTCTAATTTGAATTTTATATACAGTTTTCATACAAATTTTTTGAAATTTGAATAGCGATTATCTCTCTTGCCTAAAACTATAAAAAAGCTGAACACATATGTGATACAGATTACTTGAAAATGAAATTAATATAATGAAACCTATAATGCGGTCCACATGACTTAGTAAAATTAATAACTGACTATATTGTAATCGCATTTTGCAGCAGTCATCGTTCGAAATCGCCTTTAAAAATAAAAATTGTTTGATTTAATTAAATTTTTACAATAAATTATTTATAACTTTAATTTGCATAATGCTAATAATACAAAAAACTGTACGTATTAAAATCGGCTAAAAATTATACTTACACGTCCATAATAAATATTAAAATGTTTATTGAAATTTTTGAATAATCCAACAACTCCCAAGCTTATAACAATTATTAACATATCAGTGAAAATCCATGTAAAAGTACAAATTAAATTTAATAAAATTAAAAAGCATCCACTTATAAGACTATATTCGTATATTGAATAATAAGCCGGAAATGCTCCACGAAAATATGCTTCTGAAATGCTTTCGTTTTTAGTACAGAACATTACAAATTTAATATCTTTTAGAATAGACATTGAGTGGTCACAAATTATGCATATTGGCATGAAAATACTTGCAAAAGTTGTAAATTTATTTATATTAGACAAATTGTAATTAGAATATTTTAACATATTATTCAATTCGATATTCTCCCAATTTTGCAATAATTCAGGCCATTGACGAGCAATGCGAATGAATTCACACATTGTTATGGTAGTGCTTGTGAACCAAAGTAATGCACCTACATGTACACATTATGTTTTAAATTATAAGTTTAGGTTGTAACATTGTGTACGTAGTTTATAATGATATAAAAAAGACGATTCTTGTAATATCACAACAAGCTACTTTTTTAAGGGACGCTTGAAAGTATTAAGTTTTTTCAATTTAAAATAGCGCCACTTAAAAAAAAGGAGTTCTATTTTGTAATTACAAAAATTGTCTTCTGCATATCTCTATAAACTATACACACAATGGTTATATTAAATTTACCAAAACTACCAAAATTCATTTTTGAGCTAAGAATCCAATTCAAATTAATAGCAGCATACGAAAACCCACAAATAATTAAACAGATTGAGCATATTGTCCGTAAATCTTTCCATTTGAATTTCAGATATGAAGCTGATGAAGCAGTTATACCAGTTACAGGCATCAATGCAAAACATTGACCAATAAATAAACCTAAATTTATTTAACATAAGTAATATGTTATAAATAACATAGTGTTATTTATAACATTTATAAAAATAATAATCTACATGTCCATTTGCAACACTAGAAAAAACATAAAACGCTGCAATATGAGCAGAGTAGTTAGAAGAAAAGCCGAAATGATAGGAAAGAAACACGTAAGAATTTTAGCTTTTCGACTAAGGGTATACCACAGAAAATTGGAATCTCCAAATGGGGTGCCCCTAGAGATTTATAAAACTTTAAGAAGGTGTATCTTATCGATAATTCGTTTTAAGGAATGTGAAATTTCAATCCAAAAAAGAAAAGGATATTTCCGAACTATTGAAATGGAGATTTGAACAGTTTACCAGACAAATAAATAAATTTATTCACCGCCTTTTAGCGAAGATACTTTACACTTAACCGAAGAGCACGATGGATTCTCCTTAAATCCGGCACGTGATTATTTTGTATTTCTGAGTTTGTTTGCACAACATAACATATCACTTAAGTTATCTCAAATATATGCAATTTTTTTAAAGTGTTACAAATGTAGATACGAAAAATATATTATATAAGTGTCTTGAATTGGAAAAAATAACAAAATTTTTTTAACTGAAATATACGAGTACTTACAAATTCTAACAGTTTTGTGAAAAGTTTGGCAATTTCTCATTTGGTATTCAATCTCTTTTCTTATGTTATTATTCATCATTTTATCTTTTAAATTCAAACAGTATAATTAAAATTTCTAATCAGTTTAAGTTTTAAATTACCTGATAGAATGTTTTTGTCCCATATTTGTGATTTTTTATGTTTCATATTAGATGACCTTTAGGAATAGTTTGTTTAATCAAATGTTAGTGATTACACAGAAGTGAATTTAACTAAATAAAAATGTAAATTATTGTTTGACAACATAAAATAAATTTGAAAGCCAGCCGAAATGTTTACCTATTTCCTCTATGATTTAAATAACTCAGCTAAATCTTGTGTGAATTTGAGAATGAGTAGTTTTTTCATAAGTAAATCGGAGGGATAAATTTATTTTTCATAAAAATATCCTTAAAAGATTTACTTTCATTTTTCCATTATAATACGAAAATGTGATTTTAAAATCAATGAGATAAATTAAATGATTTTACTTTTTAAATAACACAATATATACATATACAAAGTAAAGTGCTTTATGTTTTTAATTCAAATAAAATTTTACAAAATTTGTATACGCATACCTGTAACGTCCGACTTCTACGAAATATGCTAACTGAAGTTTATAAAATTTATTTACAAATAAATTACTAAAATTGCTTTAAAAAAATATTAAAATATTAATAAAATAATTATGAAACGCTATAATTTTTATATTTGAATTATTAATAAAGTTATTCTTGAATGTAAATAACACATTAAAAATCTATATATAAATGATTGTTCAAATAGTGCAACAAAAAATATACATATATACGAGCAATTTTCCCCTTAAATGATCAAATAATTCACTTACATATGAATGCATTTGCAATGGTCATAAATATTAATGTCGTTGTATTTTTTAAATAACAGGTGATAAAATAAAAATAAATAAAGAAAATACTAATGAAAACCTTTTTAAAAACATTCTTCCATTTGAAAGTACATTAAAGAACTAGTGTAATTAATTTTCTTGCAGATATTAAGTGTAAATATGTAAGGCATTGCAACATTCGTGACAATGCATTGTAAAATATTGCTAATAAAGGAAAAGAAATTGTCTTAATGGGACAATATTATATTCTCATATAAAACACCAGTTGGTATACAACTCTTAGATCGATAGTCCATAGTGAAACCGCTGTTGTTACTGTACAACTCAGTATCTGTTTGATCAGATCTTAAATCTGGATGCTTTCTGGTTGAGGTCGTTTCATGTTTTTTTTCTATTTTAAAGAATTTAGATTTGGATATAAATACATATACAAGTGGCCGCCCTATGAAAATAGGGTGTTGATTAATATATGTGTGTTGGAGCTTGGTACATCGTTAGTACATCAGCTTATACATGGTATCTTCTCTTGTATTGCTCTTTAACTCTTTGACAATACTTTTTAACTTTCGATAAAAATGGAGAAAAACTAATGATAGCTAAATTAAATGTTATACTCAACCGGCTAAAATAATAAGAGTCAACATTCGAGAAAAATGGAGAAAAACTAATGATAGCTAAATTAAATGTTATACTCAATCGGCTAAAATAATAAGAGTCAACATTTTTGAAATAATTTTAACACGCAAAATTACTTTTAAGAATTTAATATTCATATATGTATACTTACATATGAATTTTTGACTTAACATTCCATAAACAACAAAATTTAACATATTCACACATATTTTTAGGTCATTCAAATAAAATATATATGTTCATACATATGTATATAAAACTTTAATTACGAAATGGCTTTTATGAACATATGATTGTATAATTATTATTTTAAATTTGATCGTCATATTCGGAGCAGCTAGTGAAATCGGATGCTATCTTGAAAAAAGAATTTCCAGTTCAACTGAACAACTTAAGTTACGTAAATTAAAAATGCTACTTTTTACTAAATATATTTTTTATATTGCACTCCGTTATTATTTACAAACACTATTCTTTAATATTTTTTTAGCCACACGGACTTGGACTTTCATCTTTATCAAAGGTGAAATGCAGTTGTATTAAAACCAATTCATAAGTTACTATAGTTCCCGCAATCTAGAAATAAAAAGTAAACAAAATTTCTGTATTTATGCCTAGACGCAAAATTAAGACTATGAATATTTTTATTAATAATGTAGATGGTTCGGCCTAATGAATAATTTATAATTTATTTTGAAAACAAAAACTTGTAACCATTTCTCCTTTTTTTTAAATAAAATATATAGAATTTATAACTAAACAAAACAAAAGATAAAGTGAGTGTTTTTTGCGAATTCATAACTTTCTTTTTATATTTATTATCTTCGATCGGTCGAAGATTTTTTAACATTTTGTGTTAAAAAGTCCGATATTTTCAGTGACCACATTGCGTACAATGAGGAAGTTTATTTTTAAATGTCACCTTCATATATCATGCGACATAACATTTTATTAAGTTAAAATTTTTTCTTAATCTCTTATCCATTAAACTCTTCAATATAATAGAAAAATAAATTTAAAATTTTACTAACACTTAGCATAAATTTCCTTGTAATATGAAAAAAATTCATCCCACTTAATGCTGCTTGTGTGTTTATTACTTGTTCTAGGAATCGCTTAGCCTACGTAGAAAATTATTTAAAATAATTTGTTTTTTGAATTTGTTGTAATTATAAAATTAGAAAATTTACTTCAATTTTGTAACATTGTCCAGGTATGGCTCTTAAAATTTTTAAAGGTTTTCTAGATTCATCATAAATTTTTGAGGCACAAAGCGACACCAGCACAGTACGGCAAATTAAAAATATTAGCGAATACCAAAAATAAATAGATCTTAATAAAGATGTTGCAGGACTGAAAAAAGAAGAACCAAAGTTAAAAATATTTTGATTTTTTTAGATAAATTTATAAAACACAATTTTTTTTTCGTTCTTTAAACTTATTTAAACTCAGTCCAGTTTGAAAGGAGAGTTCATAAGGGTTTTATTCTTCATTTGGTTAGGGGTTGTTTTCCCGAAGAATTTCACAAAATATTCGAATATTGTTATCATGTTACAAAAAACAATACATAAGGCTTACAATATAATTAAACGGAAAAGTTTTTTTTGCCTACTTACCTAACACTATGGAATAGTTGAACGCAGATATAATAAAGATTGTTTGAAAATGAAATTAATATAATCACAGCTAAAATTCGATCTACATGACTTAATAAATTTAATAACTGATTATATCTCAACCGTAACTTGCCGCATTCATCGTTCGACATTATCTTATATGAAATTAATTGAAATAAAAAAATTAAAATATAAATCAAGAACTAAACTCAAAATTAAATTAGATTTTTTAAATAAAACTTACACGTCCACAGTAAATATTAAAATTTTTGTTGAAATTTCTAAATAACCCGACCAGTCCTAAACTTATAACAATAATGAAGTTATCAGTATAAGTCCACGTAAAAGTACAATGGAAATTTAATAAAGTGAGAAAAAATCCACTTAAAAAATTATATTGAAAAATTGAATAATAGGCTGGAAAAGCTTGACGAAAATATGCTTCTGGTATGCTTTCATCATTTTTGGCACACATTGTTGCTGCCTTATAGTCCTTTACAATTGACATTACATGATCCAATATTAAACATACTGGTATAAAAATACTGGTAAATCTTATTATCCTGTTTATTTTAGATGAAGTATAATTGCTATAATTTATCATATTGGTTAACTCAAAATTTTCCCATTTATTCAACATTTCTGGCCATTTCTGTGCAATACGAATGAATTCACACATTGTTATCGAATTTGTTGTGAACCATAATAAAGGGCCTGTTTATATACACATAAGATAAAGTAAGACATTTTAATTTTAGTTATTTAAATATTTTATATATATTAAAATAATTAATTTATTGAGATTATATTGTTAAATTTTGTTAAATATAATTATTTGTTAATATTGTTAATATTTTTGTTAAATAAAAGTTAATATTTTTTCGTTAGTTATACCAATATTTTGAAAATTTATATTTGTAATAGCGATCCAAAATAAATTAATACTGGCAAATGCAAATCCGCATATTATAACCAAAATTGAATGAAATGTTTTTATATCTATCCATTTAAATTTCAAATATGAGGCTGATGGTCTTAGTACTCCGCTGACGGGAATTAAAGCAAAAAATTGGCCAATAATTAAACCTAAAGTTAGAGAAAAATAAAATTAGAAATAAATATCTAAATAATGTTAACTAAGCTTTTAAAAGTATTAAATTTCGTCATTTTTTATTTTATTTATTATACTATTTAATTTACAAATCATATTATGTGTATTAAATATTGAATTATTTTTAATCAACCTATAAACTTTTGATAACACTTAAAAATTATACTTACAAATTCTGGCAGTTTTATGAAAAGTTTGTATATTTTTTATTTGATTTTCCATTTCTTTTCCTATTTTATTATTAGTCATCTCATCTATATTTTCATAAAATAAAACAGTTTTTTTAGTAAAATAATTTTCCACAGTCATTTAGTAAAATAAAAATATGTACATAACTTTTTTTAACTTACATTTTAATTAACAAAAAATGTTGTCAAATATAATACACTTACCTAAACAAACGTTTGTATCCCATACTTGGGATTTCTTCTGGGGGACTTTACACTTTTCCATTTAAGATTTAAATTTCTATATAAGGGTCTATATTAAGTTAAATAAGAAATATGTACTTATAATTTCATCTAAAACAAAGCTTTTCTAATAGAAAAGTTAATTACATATTCAATTTTAAGAAAATATATTAAAAATTTCTTGACATGATCTTATGTTATTAACATTAATTCAAACTTGAATTTAACACTCAAAATGTAAACGGTTCAAACTCAAGATAAAGTATTTTTGCAAAATATGTTACTAGTTATACTCGTATAAGGGTATGAATCTATTAAATATGAGAATATTCAAATAAATGTATTAAAAAATGTAATTAACCATTAATTTTGCCATTAAAAATTATCCACGAAATATTAAATTGAACTGATTGATTGCAAAATATTTAATTTAAGAGTTCATCTAAATTTTTTATATTCATATATGTATACATATGTATTCATATATATGTATTCATACATTTAGCCTAAAATATTAGGTTTTACACACATAAACATTCACAAAAAATATGAAATATTTGACCTTCAACTTTTTTATTTCTTCAATGTTATTTCAAAAAGACATTAGTTTCCAAATTATATAGGTAATCTTTTTGAGAAAGTTATTTATTATAAATATTTCAGCTCAAAAAATCAAGAAGAATAATTTCAATTTGTTTACAAAAAAAAAGTTAAAGAAAACAGTTGCAGCTATTCCTAATAAATTTCAATTTTCTTTACAGTATACTACTAAAACAGTCAATGTAAACTCATTTTTTTAATTTTAAATATTAATAATTTAATTTAATGTAAAAGTAGCTCTACGCATGAAAGCAGTCGTTTACAACAAGAAATCCATAGGGGATTTATCTTTATTACTCCACAGCAAACTATTACGGACAATTACGTAAATTAATTTTAAATAAAAAAGAAGATTCAAAAAATATTTATAGAGGTATATTTTTTTTATAAACCACTAAGCTAAAACTAGAAAGCTATATACCCTATAAAGGAATAAAAACTAGAAATTTTTTGAACCCTCATAACTTGGATGTAGATAATAACCGACAAACATAACTTTCGGAATGTAATGTCAAATATTAGACTTATCAAACTATGACGTTTAAGAAAGAAACATTAAAAATACGCAATCAATTGCAAAACTTTTATATTTAATGCAAAGCCAAATAAGATGTAGAGTTAGGCATGTTGAGTTAGAAGCTTGGCTCTACGCAAACTCTGATAATTTTTCGACAGTGCGGGTAATATGATCTCGTCTTGCAACATTTTATATAAATTTGATTTCGGTAAGCAAAAAATACAGTTAAGTAAGTAATATTAGTATTTAATTGATTTTGAGCTGTATCAATGATTTACTTCAAGAACAAATCAACAATTCTTGGAAGAAATTTAAAATTTAAAGTTATAAGTTACTGAAACTTTTTAAAAACTTTAAATACTACCTGTATGGAATACAACTAATACATTTAATTTATATTTTAACGGAAAAAAAGTAAAATATTAACAGGTGATGGTTTGTCGTTACATGCCAATCTGTCTCCGACAGTACTCTCATTTATGTCAAAATTATTGATCAACTTTTGAGATACGCCAACAGCTCAGCAACCTTCAATTTTAAAATGATTTGAAAAAAAAAATTATTAAAAATGCGAAATTGCTTCCGTTACATCTTCCTTTTACTTGGTTTTTTTTGTATACCTAAGCATAACACATTTATTATTATTTTGACAACATATTAAGGAAATTTTTAGATAATTACACCCTCTACAAAAATAAAAAAAATTTTTTTTTTGCCTAAATAAACATACAATCGAAAATATTGCGATATTGAAGGCATTTAGAGTTTCGTTAAGGAATCGACAAATAAATTATACCCAACTTATAAAAAAAAACATTAACAACAAAAAAGCTGACTCATGTACTTTGAAAAAAAAAATTGTAAAAAAAATGTTCTTTGTTAACATAAAATATATGTCATCTAATAAATATTAGAGTAAAATCACTTTATTTCATTACAAAAAAATAGCTAAAACGCTACCGTTACTTTCAATTTCTTTGTTCCTCTTTTTCTCCGCCCTCCCTCCCACCTTTCCTCTTAGTTTTCGTTTCTTAATTTAATGTCATATACTTTATTCATACACAAAAAAAAATAAACTAAAGTTGCAATTTATAATTTTAACACACATTAACATGGTTGCATGGGTTCTAACATTTTTATTATTTAACATTTCGTTTTTATCAGTTATATTATTATAATTTAAAAAATTTGATGTATATATATATATAATTTTTAAAATTTGCAGTAATCGTCCATTTTGACACCACCTACATCATCAGAATCCAATAATACTAAAACATAGCCAAGAATTGTACCAGCCATCTAAAAGAAATGATTGCATTAAGAAATAAATAATTTTTTTTATATACTACTTCTCAAATTTTGTAATAATTCATTGCTTTTGGCAAGCTTATCCACTTTAAATTTATTTTCATAGAATGTTATATACGTACATAAGTAATTTATTTTCATATACATATTTCACAAGAGTTACATAATAAAACTATAAAACTTTAAAAATTTTATGTTATACCGGGTAAGCTCATTTAAAATCGTATTTTATTCAACCAAGAAAGAAGCCTTGAAAGAAGTTCGCCAAATTTCATTTAAAAATCTGATTGGAGACAAAAATTAAAACAGATTTCGAAATATTATAAATTTAGCTTAAATCTATTAATAGCAACAGAAATTTGGATCTATGTAGTGAGTGAGATTAATAATTTTATGTACATGCAGTTTAGAGAATATTGATGTGAACGCTTTAGGCTTTCAAGTTCAATACTAAAATATTAGGTAGAAGTCTAAGTTCTGAATAAATAAATTTTAATTTGTTATCCAAGAAATTTTATGCATTTCAAAAAGATTTGTCATTTAAGATAAACATTTAGTCATTTAAACTCGGAAAAAATAATTTAAAAATCTTATCCTAAATACTCGTAATTTTAAAATTTTAATTTTTTTACCCCAAACATAAACTTCCTTGTTATGAAGAAGAACTTTTTACCAGAAAAACAAATTTCTTCTGTCATTAAAAAATCCATTAGTCTTTGTATCTAAATAACGTTTTTTTTTTTATTAGTTAAACTTGGATATTAAAAAGGTGTTTGTATAAATTTACCTACCTCAATATTCCAAAATGCCGAAGAAATATTTTGTAATGTGTTTAAAATTTTTTGTGTTATATCATTAATAGATGAAGCAGCAAGCAACATACAATAGAATCGTATTACACAAAAAATAAATGAAAACCAAAAATAAGCTGATTCCCAAAAATTTTCTCTTTCTCTAAAGTTGAGCATTGGAAGCATAAAAAAATTTTTTTATTAGAAATATAAAATTAAAAATTTAATATTAGAAATATAATATTAGAAAATAATATATTATATTATATATATATAATATATAGATCTTGTTTATTCCAATCTTATTTTTATCACTTGACTGATAATTTTCTGCATTATTTATTCATTTAATTACCTCAAAGTGTCAAAAATTTTAATAATTCCATAGTAAAAATTTGTTGCACAGCTTACTAAAATAAGTTCAGCTAAAATAACATCTAAGTAATCCAAAAATTCATAAAGTAGTAAAAAATCATTCCTTATTTGAGCCCAAACATTCTCCAATACAATCTATACAAATGAAAAAAATTAATTCCATATATCGTCACCTAATATTAGTTATATTCACACGCCATTTTTGCTTTCAGAATATATTACCCACCTTTCAATAGGTCTATTACTTCTTGAGAAAACCAGTATCGACCTTTTACATATCAAAAATTGTTTCCATATCTATAATTCTACACAATCGCGTAAATTTTGTTTTGACTTTGGTAAATGGCGTATGAGCGAAACTAATAATAAGGTGTATGTATATGTATGTTTATGTACATTACAAAATTTAAGAAAATATTAAAAATACATCCACACTTATATTTATATATACATGCATATATGAAAAAAATCTTAATTATCCAATGGTATAAACATAAAATTATAGAATGTTAAAATACCTACTTGCTTAGTTGCAAATTGAATTTTTCCAAAAATTTGAAAAAATCGTTCCGCTAAAGCTATAGAGATTAATGTAAGAAATATATCGACAAAATTCCAACAAAATGTTAATGATAAACTTATCCACTGTTGAAAAAAGTAAAAAAAATACAAACTTTTGCTTCCAGCACGTTATAAAAATTTTTACTTCATTAATGGGTGCCATCCACCATCGATATGAAATAATTTCAAAAAATTGCTTTCTATCACGTTTGACATAATTTTCCCAAAATTCATTTGTTACATTACAAGTAGTTATATATTTGTGATTTTCTTGTAAACTTGTTATCAAATATAATGCATGTTCAACTTAAAATTAAAATCAAAAATAAAAATATAATTAAAATAATTATTTATGCTTATACTTATAAAACCCAATACAAGTAAGCAACCAATCCAACGTATTCTAAAAATAATACTTTTCTTAGGCAGATATGCGATATAATTTTCTAAAAATATCTCATCAATTTTATACCACCATCTTACAACTTTTGGCCATTTTCTACCCAAATTTAAAAAAACACAACTACTTATGGTGCTCGATGTAAAAAATATAAAAGGACCTGTATAAAATTAAAATATTTTATTTTATATTTTTTTTTTAAAATGTATGTAAATTTCAATACATATACCTATACTTCAAATACCTACCCACTTCATAAATTCCAATTTCATTTGAAACTACTTGATAACCAGTAAAAATTATTTGCAAAACTCCGAAAAATATTAAAAATAAAGATACCAAAACCAAAAATGAAACCCATTCAAATCTAACTGATTTTAAATTATTATTAAGAACACCATAAAAAGGCATAACACCGAAGAAATGAGCTATAATTAAAACTGCGCAACACATACATAGAAAAATATTTGAAAAAATATAAAAAGAAAACATAAGAATTAAATTTAACACTTAATTATAATTAACTTAATTATAATTTTAACACTTAATCAAAAATAATTCGTACAAGGATTTAAAGCATAGTAAGATGTTTTCTTTTCCAATTCAATTCTATAATCCTTTTTAAACTTATCCCTTGCTAAAATAATAAAATATTTAAAATAAATAAAATTACACTTTATTCATATTTATTTTTTTTAACTGGTTTTTCCGGTCATTTTAAAACTCCGTAATTCCAATATTATTCTTTATTTTTTACTGTTGCAACAGAAATAAAAATATTAAAAGATAACGGGCACCATAAAACAAGTTTAAATTGATATAGTGGCCATTATTTCATTTATAATTAAAAAGTTTAATTTTTTTTCTAATCTGATAATCTTTATATAAAAACGTAAACAAAGTACTAGACATTTTGTAACTACTTTTTAACCAGAAACATACATACATATTAAACATTTTAATATATGTTAACACAGTAATATTATTTTTTATTAATTTTAAAGTAAAATTACAGATTTTTTTACTATTTGAATAAATTTTTATGAACTATTTAAATAAATTGCATATTTCTATTTTTATTAATTTTTATTTAATTTTAATTTTAATCCATGAATATCACAAATTACAGATGTCTCTCCTTCAAAATCACGTGAAGCATCAAGAAGAACTAATTCGTAAGTAATAATTGTTGTTGTCATCTAAAAACATTAAAATTATTATTTTATAAAATAATTTTAAAGTTGTACATTATCATCTGTGTATGTACATAACAAAAAATTTCATATACCTACCCCAACTAATAATTTTCTTGTAATTTGAAAAAATCCTTTTGGTGATAAACCAATAAAATCATAATATAATTGATTTGAAAATAATTGTGTTTCTATTGACCAAGATTCTGATGGAATATTTCTTAATAAACTTAAAATATTATTACTAGCATTATTAACAGACGATGCTACAAACATTACTGTTACAGTTCTAATAATTAGATATAGCAAACCATACCAAAAATATAGATTCGAAAATTGTGTTCCATTTAATCTTAAGAGATATTTTCATGTATATATATTCAACGATGTTCTTTCAAATTTATTTTAAGAAATTTTACCTATTCATATTAAAGAGTTGTACGCATATCAAAAACATGTTACTAGATAATGATGCTATTAAAAGAGATGATGTGTTGTCATTTACCAAACTTAATAAATTTTTGATTTTTAAGAAATCACCGCGCACATTTATCCATACGAATTCGGACATATTCTGAAAACAAAATATTTACAATAAAAAATTGGTTATTTGTTGTTTACAGATGAAGGTTCGGGGACTTCGATTCATACTTAATGACATCATTTGTCTTAACATCTGCCAAATGTTTATCCTAAATATAAAATATAAATGTTTTTACAATTTTCACAACTCACAATTAAGATAAAACCATTAAAATAAAAAAAAATTCAAAGGTTTCTAAAGGGTTCACAAAATATGCGCAATTCTAAATAAAAAATCCCTTTTGTATAGAATTAAAGCTAATTTTCTATTATAAGTTGTGGCGCCACACAGTATGAATCGATTTTCTCCGGCAACTTGTAAACTACAATGGCCAAAAATTATAATTATTTTATATAATTTACATTATTTTATAGTCTTATTTGTACCTTATGCGAAAAAAATTTGATCCTCTTATAAATTTGTCGAAATCTATACACTAGGCCAACATAGATACATATTAAGAAAATATCAACAAAACCTTTACAAAAAGCCAATGATAAATTTAAATACTAAAATTTGTGGAATAGCTAATATAATTATTTGTTCTAAAATTATAAATTTATTTCAATGTCTTGGATATTTTTTCAAGTTTTACCTCTAATAAGGGTAAAAGCCACATTCGAAATTGTATTACTGTTTCTAAATGATTTCGTTCTCTTCTATAAAAATTTTCCCAAAAATCAATTGACATGTTGCAAAAATTAATCTGCCTTTGAGTGTTATTCATCGCGTTGATTAAATATAATATATGTTCAACTAAAAATAGATTCGATTAAAACTTGAATTTTACCTGAAAATGTATTATATGTATATATAATACATCAATGTACATATATATACACAATAATGTGAAGCTTAAATATTCTAATGAAACCAAAAAATATATGTTAAATTATACTTAAGTTACAACGAAATAGCTTTTCATAATATTACCAAATAGATATAAAAAGTTCAATATATAATTACAAAAAATATTCACAATAATTATTGAGCTTATTATTCGTACAATCCATTTTAAACGTTTTTTATCATTTTTTTCATAAGGAACATTTAAAAATATTTCATCAACTTTTGTCCAATATCATATAATACGAGACCATTTTCGAGCTAATTCAAAAAATAGATATAAATCCAGGACGCAGCTTATATAAAAGTGTAAGGCACCTATAATTTGAATTTTATTTAAAGGTAAGTTTATTATTAAGTCAATAATTAAAACTGTACTATTAAACAAAACGTGCTTATAGTTTCATAAAGATTTTTAAAAAGAATATATAATTTTCCCAAAATAACACATATTTCACGAATTTGTTTATAGTAAGTGTACAAGAATTTGATACTTATAAATACCAATAGTATGTAAAGACAAGCCAACATGATAAAATGTTTTTAGAACAAAAACTAGTTCCAAAAAATTTAACCCAAATGTTAAATAAAATATTAAAACTCTAAGTGCTGACCATTCAAAGCGTACCCGACGGTAAGAGCAGTTTACTAGTCCGCATACTGGCATAATTCCAAATATTTGAGCAAATGCTATCACTGAAAAATGTTTTTCTTTTGTTAATAGCACGTTGTTATTGAAATGAAAAATAAGGAAAACAATTTTACCAGGTCCGATAGCTTCGTGAAACGTTCCTGATATATCTTGATTGGTGGATAATTTTTTAAGTGTACCTTAAAATATAAAATATCTATTTTATCAACTTTATGAGCTTGAACAAAAAATGAATAAAACGCGTGCGTAATGTAGCTGCTATGACGTTGCTCTGAGCCAATAATACTTATTTTAGTTTCTATGACCCAATAATACTTGGTATAGAAGTAATATATACAAACAATATTTACCAACCGTACTACCTTTAAACATTTTTTCCAGTATATTGCTACGATTCCAGATTCTTGTAGTATAAAAGATTTTTATTTGAAAATTATAAAAATCAATTTTTTTTATATTTTTCATTACTACCGCAATATGCACCTTATATACATATATTTAATTTATTTTCCATATAAATTCCAAAAAAAACGTGATACTTTTTGAAACAATTTTAATAAATTCAAATAAAACATATAATTATTAAAATAAAGAAAAAACAGAAATAAACTATAATTAAAATAAACATTTTTATATAAAATTTAATTTAATATTTTATGCTCAGTATGTTTATTGTTAGTAAACAAGGCATTAATAATCTAATTAAATCGAATTGATTTAACGATAAAAATAATAAACAAAATACATATACTTACCCATATATTTATATATACACGATCTATAGATGCTATGCAAGAAATCAAGATCGTAATTTGAATTGCATTGCGATAATTTTATGAATGTGGAGTTCTTATTAGAAAAATTCAAATTAACCCATTTATTTTAGCATCCAAAATATTTTTTTAGGTAAAGTAAAACAATGTTTAGACCTTTACAAAACAAGCATTATGCCTCATTCGTTGTTTACAAATTGTTGTAACACAACTGCAACAACGCGAATGTTACGTTTCTTCCAAAAGTTTGTTTCTTTTTATTTACAGCAAATATATAGCTACATAGATATAGCTATACACAAACATTGCAAAACTTCAGGCCATTCTATGACTAATCTTGCATTAAAGATTATAAAGTTACAAGAAAGTGATTATAAATCGTAATGGGAGATGTTTATTGCATATTGTTGATTGCTTTCAAAGCGGGAGGCACGTTTTGTAAGCCGCATGGAATGTCGTATAATTCAAAACCGGGCCTTAAATAGCTTTTGATATATAGTATAGATGATTTTTGAAAAAGTATTTACACCATATACAAAAGTATTGAACCATGCAAACAAAATAAACTAAAGCCGAGTAAATATGAAAAAAATTTAAAGCGATTCAAAAACTATACATACATACATACGTTACAATAAGAGTTATATATAATAACGTGTTCATAAGTTCGAGTTCAAGGGAACATTTTGTTCTTGCAAAAACTCACACTCATTTAATGTAAGGAAAAGAAAACAAGAAATGTTAAGAATTTTTGTTTTTTTATTATAGGTGTAACATTATTTTGATCAATAAAAACATTATTTTGATCAAAATACTTAATACTAATACTTAAAACTATTAATTAATTATACGTGCCTGAACATACATGTATTTTAGCCGCAAAGTGGCGGTAAGCCTAGTTTTCTACTTTTTTCATCGAATTGTAATAGAACTAATTCATATGTAACAATTGTTCCAGCCATCTAGTAAGCATGAATAATATAATATTGCAAATAAATATTTTTATTATAAAGAACCTTGGAATTTTTAATAAAAATAAATAAAAAACTTACCCCAAAAAGAAGTTTTCTTGTTAAAAAGAAAAATTTCATTCCAGAAAGTGCAATTAATTGAGTTGACATTTGATTTGTTAATCTTTCAATCTACAAATGATATTGGTACGTAGGTATCATACATAATTTGAAATTGTAAAAATTTTTTAATTCTAAAGTTTATAAAAATTGTTGTAATTTACTTCAGTACACCAACATGATGATGGTATTTTTCTTAGTTCTTTTAAAGATTTTTTGGATGTGTCATTAATTTTTGCTGCTGTTATAAAAACGTATATTGTTCGACCAATAAGAAATAGTAATGAGTACCAAAAATAAATATAATTCAATGTCCAACGTAATTGACTAGAAAATTTTAAGTTGTTTTTATAAACTTATACATAGCTAATTTTAAATTATTGTTCAAAGACACTTCTAAAAACTTACTTAAAAATATTAAGTAGTTGATAACATATAAAATATAAATTGTTCAATGAAGATAATACTATAATTGGGGATAAATGATCATCAACCACATCAATTAAATCACATAATTTAACAAAATGTTCCCTTATTTCGCTCCAAACTTCTTCTGGAGATTTCTGCAAATATAAGTTGTTGTAAGAACAGTTTGATACAAATTAAAATTATTTTGGCGCAATATATGAATTGCCTTCGGAAGTAGACTTTAGTGGCATCTACTTGAATATAATTAGAAATTTCAATCAATATTTTAGGTTTACCTGTTTAGCAAGTGATGTTATTCTTGTGTTAAGTTGTTCAAAACGTGTAACTATTCCTAAACTAATTAAAGCAATGAACAAATCTAAATAATTCCATATCAGAGTAAAAATTCCATTAAGAATCTATAAAATATGAAATTTTAAAAAATTTTATTCAAATTTTTTGTTCAAATCTAATGAAAAACTAAACACCGTAATGCAAGTACAATAACTACAATAAAAAAAAATTAAATGCCAAATTAATGAACCGTAGCTATAAGTGGTTTTTAATTTTCATATACATAACTTAAAAGTACTAAAACCTAATGTAAAAAATTTATTTTAAATAAATTCGGAATTTTTTATTAAAACCAAAAAATTTAGTTATATATTGTATATATTTATTGATATATATATATAGTATATATATGTACTAATAAATCATACCAAGAAAAATATAGATAATACTAAGTTATATTCAACTTTTTCAAATACATGAGCATAATTATCAATCATGAATTTTTTGAAACTTGTATCTGTAATATTACATAATGCAGAATGTTTAAAGTATGTATATAAGACTGACATGAAAAATGCACCATGTTCAACTGAAAATATAATGTCCTAGGTATATACTTTTATTTAAAAAATAAAATTTATTTATTATTGTTATTTAATAAACTTACGTAACGCCAATATTAAAATTATTAAACTTGCAACTCGAATTCTTGTTGATAGTTTTAATGATGGTTTTTCATATGGGTATCTTAAAAATACCGCTTCACTTTTTGACCAATATCTTATCAATTTTGGCCATTTAGTGGCTAGTCTAAAAAATAAAACACAAGCTAATATTCCACAAGAAAAGAATACCACTCCAACTATAAAAAAAATATTTATATTGATTTTTCAAAATTCTCATTCTTTTCAGATTTATAATAAAATAGAACCTGTATTTTTAGCATCAATTCCATATTGTAACAATTTATCCAAAAATGCGTATAATAATAAAATTGCAGCAATGAAAAATGTAAATGTTGTTAAAACTGGTATCGATATCAATTTAAACTTAACTTTATTCGGATGTGAACTGAAAATTCCAACTACTGGCATCATTGCGAAAAATTGTGCAACAAATAACACTGTAATATATTAAAATTACAATAATTGTTTTTTTAATATTTACATTAAAATTATATTGAGGCATCTTTTCAAAATATATTCACATTTATTCATTTTCCTCATTTTAAAGTTTAATTTAACAATCTATTTAAAATTAATGTAGGTACAGTAATTATGAAAAAGTTAATTTCAAAATGAGTACTGTAATACATTGATTCTTTTTATACCTGGAGCAATAGCTTTATGAAAGCAATCTGTTTTACTATAATCAATATGACCTTCAACAATATTACTACTTAAAATTTCTGTAATACTTATTGTTTTTATGTAACTATTTGGTTCTTTTATATCAATTTGTTTTTTTATTTTAATTAATTGTTTTAAATTTCTTTTTTTAGAAGAACTTTTTAAAGGTATTTTTCGGCTCATTTTAAAAATGAATTTGACAAAAATGTAACGATTTAAATACTAAATATATTCTTGAGAAAAAAACAAACTTATACTCCTGTATTTAAAGTTTTATTTTTTATTTTCTTTGTTTTAAATGAACATTGTTGATATACACATACAAAATAAATATATGCATATAATTACAAAAATTTCATAGCCATTCATTATTTTCTTATTATTTATTCATAACAGAAAATTAAATAGTATAAAATATTATTTTTATTTTACTTTCAATTTACAAACCAAGGTGTTTCATATCTAAATAATATAATATGTGCATATTCTTCAAAAATGCAAAAAGAACAAAAAAAGAACAAAAAAAAACGTCTTTTTTGAATTAAAAGAAGTTTTCTATAATTTAAAATACTTACAAAATTGAAGAAGCGAAAAAATTATCTTAATTGATAGTTCTTTTTTTAAATATCTTTAATGAGAATGTCGGTTTTTGTCGGTTGAAGCGAATTTCTGTAACCTGAAGTGCCTTCAATTGTATGCTGATTTTTTTTTATGGCATTATATACATTTTTAAACAAAAACATTATCTAAAATTATTGATTTGATGAAGGGTAACTAATTATTTAAAACAAATTCAAAATTCGTATACGATATAATTTTAATTCAGCTCTGAAACACTTGGTATAGTTAGTAAATAGTTTATTATTTTATTCCCTTATTAAATGAACAGATTTTTGAAATTAAATCAAAAGCTTGTAAACAAACTAAAGTATCATGATATTTAAATTTGGTTACATCTATATTACATTTTATAAAATTTTATTGTCCGTTTGTCAGTCTTTTTATAAAACTTTTGTTACTTTTTTCAGAACAGAACGCTAAAATTATATGTAGTTCCTTTGTTCTTCTTCTCATTTATATTTATCAGATTGTTAAGCTTTGTAAAGTACTTTATGAAATTTTACTTAAGTATATATATTACAGTGTATGAAATTACAATTTTTTATAGTTTATTGCAGTGGAACCGAGCTTTTTTCAAAATGTACGAGCCCAAAATACCCAAAAAATATACCTACTATATTAAGAATCATCCATATGTTAATAAATCAAGCGTGAAATTTATTTTCAACATAAAAGGCTTTCCTAAATTTTGGCGTTGTTTAATCCTAAATACGAGTATTGTTGTAGAGAAAACTAAAATTTCATTTATCCATGCAATATGAAATGTGCATCTTTACAAAACATAAGTTTACCTAAAACCAGCCTTTCACATAATAAAAGAATTTAAATAAAGATATTATGTTATACAATTAACAAGACCTTAAAATGATAATATGTACATACATATATGTATACATACACGTAAAAAATTTCTAAACATTGAATCCATGTAAACTTTTAAGTGCACAATAATATTAAATTGTTAAAATTTTTAAAATGACATAATTTATAAGCACGTATCATGGAAAGTTTATCAATCATTCTTCATTTATATTAGTCATTGGAATACAATTAAATTTCATTTGTTATTGTATTTTTTCATATTCATGTAGCCATTGAATTCAACAAAATATTACGGTAGTTATAAAAAGACGGAATTTTCGGAAGTACTTGTTTGGTAACGCGTTCAGCCTAATCCTAACTAAGTTTAGTTAGTTTAAATTAAAATAAAAAGGACTGGTTTTGCTCTTTAGCACAATTCAGAAGTTTTGTAGTTAAGCAACTTTACTTGATTCTGCAACGTATAATTTACTATAATATTATTAAATTATAGGAATTTACTAGGATTAAATAATAGAACGAAAAATCAGACAGCACAATATCATAATTTTGTTTGAATTAAATTTAGTTTGTATATACAATAAAATGTGTAAATTTGGCATCATACTTTCCTAATTAATAAATTGTTCTTTAAGAAGACATGTTTCTCTATACATATTTTGCAGACTTTTAGAAATAAAACTTATGCGCCTCCTAATAACCTTATAATAGATTAATTTAATTGAAAGTGATCTTACAAAAAATAAGTTTTTAATCATTTTTTAATAGTTTTTACTATGAATACAGAAATATTTAATAAGAAATGGGTAATTTGGTTAAATGTTACAGGTAATTAAAATTTCAAATTTTAGGTTAAGGTAAAAATGCCTGAAAAGGCAAAGAAACTAAGCGCTTTTGACCAAAATTCGATTGAAAAATCAATACAAGGGGTTTCTCTCTTAATGGGCACCAGCTGGTCAATTTTTGCGATAAAAATCAGCTTACTACTTACGTTGTTAATACTTATATTATAATTTAAAGCTCGAAAGTCTTTTTAATTTTTAAAAAATTTATTTCGCCTAATGCTAACAAATTTATTGGAAACATCGCTTGTTTTAGGATTATCTTAACTTCGCACATGCACATATAAGTTGGCTTATTAACTGATTTAGATGAATTTGTAATTGTTATAAAATTAAATTAAAACTTAATTTTAAAAAAATTATTCAAAAAAAATTTCAAGAAAGTTATACAAATTAGAATTTTGAACTATGTTATTGAAAAATCGCTTTAAGAGGCTATCAATCAAGGTAGATACATACACTAATAATTATAATATAATTTTCTAATAATTATAATATAATATTTAAAATATTATAATTATATGTAAATCTTTAACATTTAATTTTACAGAAAGACGAAAAATGTTATCAAGAAAATATTGTGCTCGAGAACATTCCTCAAATCAAATATATAATTACGCTTGATACATTTCATCGAGCTGTTTGTCCAAGTAAGTAATTTTTCTAATCTTTGTAAAATTGTATTACTTTTTACAGAATAAGAAAAAATATATAATTATACTGTTACTACTGAGTTTCTCAATTAAGTTTTAGAAAACAGCATAAAAATTAAGATAATATGAAATTTAAGTAAGACAACTTACTTTTCTATAATTTTAGTTTTAAAAAAATTAAGATTTCATGTTTTCATATGAAAATTCATAATGATTGAGTTTCAAAATAATTTGTTGTAATTTTAATTTCAGTTTTATTAATAACACAATTTTTCTTCCTAATGCCTTTGATTGGTTTAAATAGTCCAAATCCAAATAGCATAGAATTTCGAGTTTTATCAATTAACGTATTTGCAAATATTTGTTTTTTACTTGGTGCAACCGTTAACATGCTTTTGTTCTTACACATGTTAATAAAAGTTGGAATAACCCCAAAAAATATTGGTATGTACATAAACATAGTAGTAAACTTTGATTTAAAAATGTATTAAACACTAGATTTTCGATATAAACTGGCCTTAACAAGCTATTGCATATTATAAACATACTCTGAGTTCTGAAATAAAGATGGCTATACGTTCCAAAAGGCGATTTCTTTTAAAAAATATGTTGAATTCGCTTTTGGAGTTCTAACAAAGATAAGTAGTGGCGGCACGTTTTTGTAGTTTGCTGCAAAAGGCATTCCGTTTTTGTTGGTGGAACTGCAAAAGATCTTCTGTCAAATCAACAGCTTGAAAAATTTTTCTGCTTTTATATTCATCATAACCTAAATTAATAGAGAACTCATTACGGAGAGAGTAGAGGCATTATTTGAATTACACTAGTTTTTGTTGACAGCGCTGCTTTAGTAGTTGTATTGCAGTGGAGTTATAACCAAGTTAGAACTTAGCACTACATGACACATATAATATATAATTATTACATTAGATCCTTGATTCGCATTGGACGAAAATACATACATACATACATACATATGTATTTATACAATGCATGTACAAAAAAAATATTAATGCTCTATTTCGAAAATTCAAAATTTTTAAAGTTTATATCGGTAGTTTATGGTTGTTACATTTATAATTTATTTATTTAATCAGATTTTATATGAAACTTTATATTTATAAAAAATTTCCAAAAAAAATCAAAGTTGCTATAATATTCTTTGGAAATGGATTGGTAGCATGTATTTTATTTATGGTGCTAGCACAAAAATGGCCAGAAATTATACAGTATTGGACAAAAATTGACGTTAAGTTTTTAACAAAACATTGTTATGAGGCAACTAAAGTTAAATTAAAGCATAAAATTCAAGTTTCAGGAATAGTAATTTTTACTTTAGCATTATGTGAGTAAATAAATTTTATTTTATTTTTCGAAATATTGCAAATGTGAAAAAAATTAGGTGAACACATTTTGTATCATTCATCTGAATATTATGTTTATCTAATGAATGCAAGATATTGTAATGGAAGTGGCCCAGATTTTGATGATTACATGTTTAAAAGATTTGTACACATTCACGAAATTGTTGGATATAATAGATTTTTCACAATATGTTTAACGGTAAGTTTCTTTCAATTGTAAATATTTCATTTTAAAATTAATATAATTACAGTATGCAAATTTATATATTTTAACAGATTCTGTAGAAAGTTTGCTGAATATTTGATAGAATTGGTTAATATAAAACTAGATTCTACAATTTTTTTTTATTTTTTTTATTTAATAATTAGTTTGTCGTAACATATTTACATTTTTAAACCATTATCAAAGTGCTCAAGTACACATTTACACTTCCACTCATACGTTGATCTCTTTCAGCTCTTTTATATTGATAAAACAATTTTTTATGAGTTTTAGTAAATTCTTCAAATTCACTAATTTAATGTAATCAAATAAAATTATAAAAAAAACGAATGCCTATAAGCAATCTTCATTTAATGTTATTCTTCTAAATTTTTTCAATATTACTGGATGAATTTTTCGAAATACTCACAATTTTTAGATTTTGAATACATCATATACTTACATTTGGAATTTTATGGACTTTTTCATTATGATGATAAGCATGGGAATTACAGCCAGATTTCAACAATTCAATCATCGTTTAGAGAAAATGGTGAAAGAAATTATTCCAATATATTTGTGGAACGATGTTCGAAAAGATTATAATCAACTAGTAGAACTACTAGAATATCTTGATGAAAAAATATCTTGGATTGTTTTATTATCTTTTATGAATAACCTATATTTTATTTGCATTCAAGTTTTAAATATATTTACGTGAGCAATGTGAATTACTCTCTGTTTTTAAATTTATTTAAATTAATCTAATTTTTTGTCGTTTTAGGAAATTAAAATTTATTATCAACTACATTTATTTTTGGTTTTCATTAAGTTACCTCATATGCAGAACCTTATTCATTTTCATGTGCGCGGCTTCCATAAACGATCAAGCAGTGTTACCATTGAAATTATTAAGAAATGTTCCATCAGAAAGTTGGAATACTGAGGTAATTTGTAAATAGTACTTAATACAAAAATGAAAACATAAAACTAAAATTTTTTTAGGTTGAGAGATTGATTTTCGATCAAACTAATACTATACTTGGTTTATCAGGAAAAAAATTTTTTTACATAACAAGGAAATTACTATTTAACGTAAAAAATGAATATACAAATAAAAAAGTTTTACTCTATTTTCAATTTTAGTTAACTGGATCACTAATTACATATGAACTTGTGCTCTTGCAATTTGAAACCACCAACCTGTCTCATTCACAGGGAATTTGTGATTAAAAACTCTATCGATATTTAAGGTTTCATAAAATTTATTAAAGAACAATATTCTTTATTTCATTTTAAATGTTCGTTAATCCAAAATTTTAATTTTATTTTTCGTTTTAGAAAACTCAAACTTATAAACTAAACCTTATCATTATTTTCTATTATCCTATATTCAGAATATAGGTCAGCTCCTTCCTATTGATTAAACAGTGACGCCTTAGGGAATGGTTTTATGAAAATTGGAATGCTGAGTGATACTTTCTTTTAGTGTCAAAATGGGAATTGAACATAAAAAATAAACTGTTTTATTTAATGACAAATACACAAACATAATAATAAATTTTATTTTTCGATCAACAAAGCATGGAACAACCAAGTATGGTATATAACATGTTAAACAAAAATGTTGCTTTCTTTATAAAAATAAAATAAGGTAAACCGTTAGGAAATAAAAAAATTTTCATGAAAATAAAAGTGAAGCGAGAATTTTATTTTTAGGTTTACAATTTTTATAATTAGAAACAATGGAAGATCTTATTCCCAACAAAAATAAGATCAAAAGCACTTATATAAGTCATATCTATGTACATATATATATATAAGTTTTCCCTTTTGCTTTTACAAAATAATATAAAAGAACCTTAAAACATACTTTGAATCAAACTTAGATGCTCTTGTTCTATAAATTTTGCTATCAAAACTGATATATCCTCATGGCAACGACTTGTTTGCTGTTTAATAATATGTTTAAAATCTTCTTTAACACCTTTATCTGCACCTCGCGTGCCTATTCGTCGTGTTCCACTTGTGGCTGTTTGGGTAGACGTAAATTCTAAAATAAATTCACCATGATTCGAATTCCATATATTCATAAACTCTTCAATAAAATCTACTGCAACTATATAATTTGGGAATAGTAAATAACTAAAACTTCTTTTAGATCTAATTATTGTAAAAATTTGTTCGGCTAAATTGCTTTCGCGTGGATATTCTAATTGAGCAAGAACTAATAAATTTCCTAGAACTAAATCCGGACAATTTGACTCAAAAATTTTCCTCTGCGGCAATAAAAGAAAAATATTTAAAAATATATTTTACAAACTTTAAAGTATTTGTACTTACATTTAAACTATTAATGATAGCTCTAGTGCAGTACTGAATTATCGCTTTCTGAGTTAAAGGAAGTAAAAGTAAATGTCTTTGTTGTCCAGCAACTGTCATATTTTCAACTAAATTTCCCGAAATTTGGGGCAATTCTTGAAGTATTTTTAAAATACACTCAAAACCTTGGATCTAGAACACATACGAAATTAATTTTATTTTTTTTTAAATTGCATATCCTACCGTTAATTGCCCTTGATTTAATATTAACCCTAATGATCTTATATTGAAACTTAGACCAGTGCAACCATCTATATCCCCTAGTAATTTTCTTGCCTCTTCATGGTGGCCAAAATAAACTGCAAGGTCGTGAATAAATCTGCTAAACCAGTTGGATAAAGGTAACTTAATTAACAGTTGGCTTATCTCAAGTGTTGACTGTTCATGAGAGTTCAACAATTGCCAACAGTGAGCCGCCGTTACAAACGCGATAGTAGCTTCTTTGGAACAAGGTGGGGTCACAGAAATCGCTGGTGGCTCTATTGGCTGCTCATGCGTTCGAATTGCAGAACTATCTTTACTCCATTCTACAGGATTATATTCAAATTTTACATAATTTAACCCTAAGAAAAAACTAAACAGTACATACCCCGAAAACCTTCAACTAAAGCGAAATCAACTTCAACGTCTTCAATTTTTTGGTTGATGTTTATATTATACTCATGAAGAGAAAAAATAAATAAAGTTACAGTGTAAAAAAATATTTGCTTGTTTTCTGATGTTCTACTGGCATTTGTTGTAGCAATTTCAATTAACTTTTGCCAGTACACATCTTTACTCCAAGATCTATTGAAAGGTAAAAAAGCTTCCCAATTCATTATCTTCCCACAAAGAGCTAAAACTTGGAAAATCTGTTTCCAGACATCATAGGAGTTAATTCCAGACTCCTAAAAAAAATCAGATTATAAAAAATCTACAAGGGTAGTTAACTATTTATGCCACCACATACATCTTCAAAAATCTGCTTAGTATAAAATTCTAACGATATTGTAAAAATTCGACAAACTAAGGTACTTGGCAACTCGGGAGTCTTATGATATATTAATGGAAGAGCTTCCTCGACTAGCATTTCTTGATATTTTTCAGGTGCATGGGAAACCATGCCTTTTGCTATCATTTCTAAAAGCTGCGGCTAAAAATTGTTTCAAAACAATTAATTTGTTTTTATAAGAACACTTAATATATGCTTACTGAATGAGTTGGAATTGCTTGAGGAAATCTTCTTAAAAGAAGTAAAAGAAGTTTACATTGTTCCAAACTATTATCAGTATTGTTAACCGTTAAGAGAAGTATCTTATGTTGCACATCATATGAAACATGTTCAAACATTTTGACGTAAAATTCTTGAGCTAGTGATATTTCGTTCTCTGGTACTCGTAAAGCCGCTGTTAGCTCTGATACTTCGTTCCATAACTCGACGGGCTGATTTTGAAAAGTTAAAATACTAAAATTGAAATAGTTAACAATAGAAATATAATTTATTTTGATCAATTGATAGTTACATGTAACTAAAGCATTTAGCTGCTTCTGAGTAATTCTTTGCGGCCTTCTCTAATTTATATGCTTCGAACTATTATTAAAATAAAAAACAAATTGAAATATGTTTTTAAAATGCTTTACATCTTCATACTTGCACATCAAAATTGTTTGGGTACAGTGTTTTTGCCGTAATTATCCAAGCTTTGGCTGTGTATTTATCTGCACTTTTTTGGGCCTGTGAAATAATGTATTTCTCTTCCGATATCATAATTTACCTTATACACATATACACAAAATTTTAAATTTTGTTTTTAATCGCATGTATGCATATGTACATATATTTTTGTAAATTTATATTTAAATTTAGCTCTCTTATGACAAGCTCTTTGGACGCTAAAACAATCCAAGACATACGAATGAAACATGGAGTCTGATTGACAGCATAATATCGAAATATTAATTTACATCGATGAGTTTTTAATTTTAACTGGATATTCAAAATTCCGATAAATCGACATATCGATACTTTATTTGCTGATATTTATCGATTTATTTCAGCGCAAAATTATTACTTAGTTCTCTTATTCAAAGTATTCCAAAAACAATTTTGGAAAAATAACTTAAAATACAAATAATCATTCTTTATATCAATTGATATTTTTTCTTTACATAGTCCCAACCCTAACAACTAAACCCTAAGTAACTAAATTGTAAACAGTACGGCTGACAGAAATTATAACAACCTTCTAATGTGACATATAATATCCCAGCGACATCTATTGTCAAATATTTCTATTATACTAAATTATAGATCTAAGGATTTCTTTACACATAAGACATAAAAAGATTATGTTTGATCTAATAAAAATCGTATGTGTAAATTTCTTTAGTTTTTGTTTGGCAAACTACATTGAACCGACAAAATAGAATGTCGCATTCTAATAAGATTTGAATCGATAAAAACTTTTACAAATACTTTATTATTTCAGTAAAAATAACTATATATTCAATCTTTTTGACAATTGAACGACAATTAATCATAAAACTCTCATCAATCATCAATCAAAGGAACTTGAAAATAAAAATATAATATAACAACAAATTAAACGATATGATTTTGGTTCACCAGCTTATTTGATAAGTAATAGTATTTTTAATTTGAATCAGATTTAGTTTGTTAAAAGAATTTTTATAAAAAAAGTGGTTAGTAAGAAATAAATAAAATCAATATAATAATATATAATAAATTTGAACTAAGTATTAATAACTGATATAAACTTATTTTTATTTTAATCGCTTGTTTGTAGCATGTGTATTTACATGTTCCTAAAAAAAATAAATATCCAATATATGAATATTATGCATATTTAAAGAATAGTGAAGCAAGGAAAATATCTAACAAAACAATATGGTGCGAAATATGTTTTACAGGCAAAAACCTAAATTTTTTGTTTAAAATATTTGTTTTTTTAATATTTTTAATTGACCGTTGTTTTAAAATCCGTTGTCAAAACAAACAAAAGTTTAAAAATAAATGGATTGTCCAAATAAAGTGTTAAACAAGCAGATGGTTGCTTCAGATAGTTACATAAAACCAAAATCAGATACATAAACATTAAGTAATATTTCATAAGACAGCGGCAACATTATTGGAATTATGATTGAGTGACATTATGTTGGCTATCGTAAAAATATATGACGGGCAGGACTGCCGTTTGGGCTCCGAAAAAAGATTTTACCGCTCTTTTGTTAACATGTGCTCCGTTGTTCCTCTACTCGGTAAAAATCTGCGATTTGTAAATTACGGATCCTTTCTAATAATAAATGTTTGTACCCAAGCATATTTCTCAATATCATACATCTTACGTGAAGTTTAAATTTGATTTTTCGAATGCATTTTTCGTTTGAATTTGAATTCGAATAGAAAACATAGAAACTATAGAAAAATCTTACTATACTATATAGAAAAATCAATATCTATACTATATAGAAAAATCAATATCTTCTGCGATATGCAGTTAAAATTTTGTAATCCTGTACATTCAAAAACCGTTTGTCTTTTTCAATGTCATAATTTTTCTACTTCATTATTTTTCATATTACATACAGCTACATATGTATATAAAAAAATCCAACCTCATAGAAGAACATATTGAACACGAGTCAAAAATCAAAGCTTTCTTTTCTGTATCAATTTTCCCGTATTTTGCTGCTGTGTCTCAGATTTCTGAAAGAAACGATAAATTTTGACTTATAAGAAGGTTAGCATTCTTGGTTAGCAGTGGATTGGTCATCACTGTGAATTAAGTATAGTCAGATTAAGTAATTCGACTCGTTCCATTCCGTTAGTTTTCATTTGCATCTTGCTTCCAAATTCTTAAAATATTCCATTTTTTTTTAGAAATAGATGGTAATAAGAGTTGTGTAGGCAAGAAAGAAACAAAATATTGTAAACAAACGAGTGTATCAAAAACATTGAACTGAAATAAAATTAAATTAAGTTAGGTAAAAATTTTGTTATTTTTGTTTTGATAATAACAAAATTTATTTTTCATTTTTTAAAGTTAGGTAAAAAATTGGAATGCATGAAAGCAAAAGAGTTTGGAATTTCATGTATGAATGTACACATGCATGTACCTGGTACAGTAGATACACAGTATCAGGTAGTGACATAGAAGTAAAGTAACTTATAAAGAAACAAAGGTGTATGCGTACTGATTAATACTTTATGAAATATAATCATTACCGATTCATAGGAAATATGTTTTAAATTTATTAAGATTGAAATAAAAATAAAAAATTTAAAAATAATTTATTTATTTTATTTATTAATAATAATTATTAATTACAAATGCTTAACATTAAAAATTTAAAATATTTTCAAAAGTACATATTTACCTCTCCACATCTTAAAGCAACAAATGAAATTTTCGTGTTGGCTTTTTTGCCTCACACACAATATTACATCCCAAACACTTCAAATAATGTTTACCAATTATTATAAAAAAAATTTTTTTTTCACAACTACTTAAAATTTTTTTTAATATTATACGTCTTTTTAAAATTTATTTTTATTATTTTTCATATAAATTATAATAATTTTTTTTAAACACTTTTTTTCCGCTTCACTTTTATAATATGTATACACATTTTTTGCCACCGTTTACTGGAATGAATTACAGAAATTATTGTGTCGCTTTTAAAATTCTTAATATTTTTCCCTATACTTTATATAGGAACAAATAATAAAGTGTCGCCTTTCAAAATTACATTATAAAAAAACAGGTTGGCATCTATTGCGTACTCTTTCCCTCTCCCAAAAATTCCTATGCGTATAAAAATGAAAATAAGAAGGTATACTGCTTAACTCTTTTAACTAAGGGAATTTTTTGTATACAAATATTGGTGAGTGATTGCATTAGTGTGATGTAAACGGAGAGTCGAACTACTTGTTAGTAGATATACTTTGATATTAATAAGGATAGCGAGTATTTTACAATATTAGAATGTCGGGTTCCCTTTAAATCACAAGGGCTCCGTTTTCTTACATTTGCAGACTGGGAAATTGTGTTTTTTATGAGGTTTGATTTGTGTTGGATAATAATTGAAAGCGTTCTTCAATTTGCAGAATTGTATACAGTAATCAGTAAAGAATTTTAATTCATTCCAGTAAAAAATTGAAAGGAAACATGCTATTTTTAAAAAACTTCATGGATAGTTAAATATGAATTTACCGAAACCTGATTTCAAAGCAAAAAGTTTATTGCACAGACATTCTCACAAAGTGAAAGACCGAGAAATTGATATATCTGGAAAAGTATATTTCTGCTGATAGCTCAACATGTAAAATTTGGTGCGATCATAATAACTCTTACTTTATACAATGTTTTCGATATCAAGACAGCTTTGGTCACAGTATTTTGCAAATGTAGAATTTTTCCTTGTTTCGTTTGTTGTTAATTTTGAAATATTTTTATATTCATACATATATGTATACTTTCTTAAATATAAACTGGAAAAAAATATAAAAAATTAATAATCATAGTAAAAGTCAAGAAATTAAGTTAATATAAGTATGTATGTATGTATATTGAATGTTTTATATTACTATGATATTATAGTTATAGCTTATAAGCTTTTAGACGGTTTCTGTATAAAAAAGTAATAATTATAATATAATAAAAATTATATTTATTATTTTCCTTTTATTTTCTTTTTTTTTAATTTTTTTTTTGTTTAAATAAAAGTCATAACAAAAATCAAGTTGTTCTTGACAGCTTAGTATATTTCAAGATCGTGTGAAGTACGGATTGAATATTCATTCACATTTTAATGCAAAACGGATGTACATATTATTAAACTGGAAATAACATCGCTAAAATTTTTAGTATTCGTTATTTTATACGGTTCTAAAATATTGTTATGAATCTTAAAATTAATAATAAAGTTATTTTTTTTTGATACACAAATTTAAACATAAAATATGACTCAACTAATTAAAATCTATTTGAGTTTATTTTTGATATATTCGGCAAATTGTTCAGTCAGAGATAAACGACAAGGTAAATATTTAGTACATGTAGTTATAAATATATAAACGTATACATACAAACTAGCAAATGGTATTTAAATAAAAAAGAAAAATATAAAAAACTTAATGAAACACACACAATAATGGGAAAAATGCTATATTATTGTTAAAAAATCTAAATATATAATAATATGATTCCTTGAATTACTAACTGGGCTACAGTAATTTAATTTTAAGTTTTTTGGTTAAAGTTCTTTCCTTGAGTCTTTTGAAAAATTATATAGAAATAGTGAAAAATACATAATAATTAATAATATCGTCGCAAAAATTACATCTTGGCGAAGAGAACAAATTAATTATATTTTACAATTTATATGAAATACTGTTAAGATTTACTCATTATAAAGTTCAATATAATGTATTAAAAATTTTAAATTGATTCAATTAAATTGAGTTCAATATATGCGACAAAATTTAGTTGGATGCAGGTATATCAATCGCCAATGATATATCAATCAAGAAGTAATCCAAAAAAGAATTTTGGGAAATTCTGGAATCTGGAAATACTTTTAACTTTTTATGCTTTAGGAAGGAAAAATTTCACACAAAATTTTTTTTTTCATTTAGTCACATTACTGGTAGATTAATAAATTTCCCAGAATAATATGATTCCTTGAATTACTAACTGGGCTACAGTAATTTGATTTTAATTTTTCAATAAATTTCCCAGAGTTACAATGGCTAAAGGTTCTAATTAAACGATATAGAAACAACATACAATTTAATACAATACAAAGTTTAAAATTTATTATTATATATATATATATATATATATATATATATATATATATATATATATATATATATATATAGTTATTTATATTTACAATAAAGATGTATTAAATTATTATACATAGCTATTTTTAAATTTTTAATATCACATTTGTTAATTCACTGTAATGTTATAAGATATAAAATTATTTTATTATTTACAAAGCAATAATATTTTTGCATATACATACTTAGTACCAACTAAGTATACTTAGTGAAACTAGTTACCAAAACTAGTTTAAGATAAGTATGTATTAATAAAAATTTAAGATTTTGACCTAGCGTTAACGACTGCGTTTCAAGATTTATAGAATGTATGAATAATAAATATGGAGAGAAAAGTAAAAAAATTATTTTAATATTTGGAAAAAATATTTGATTATAAAAAGATGTATATGTAACAAACTTGTTTATTTATGATATTTAAAATAAATATAAATTATGTACATATATGAATATTAAAATATAAGTAGGTACCATTATTTATTTTGAAAATTTTCAATCGAATTATATGTGTATCTAAATGAGTTTGTTAGTATTACTAACACGGAATTTTTTTTCATTATTGTAAAAATTAGTTTTTTTTTAACGGGATTGAATAAAAAATTTAAGTAAAAGAGTAACAGAGTAACATTTTGAGCTACAAACTATATATATCATATATTAAATGAAACATATATTACATATATAAAAATTAAATATTTTTTAATAAAAAAATTATTCACGAATATTTTAATATATTCTAAAAATTACCAAACATAAGTATTAGTCACTGAAATCCTTATTATCTTCTTTGGATTTTTGTGAAAACCTTTTATGTTTTACGTATGTGAAGTTCGAAATTTACCATACTGAATAGATTGTGTCCGGGTTAGTCATCATATTTTAATTAAACTAATTTTTTTCTATATAGAACGTACACAAATGTACATATATATGTATATGTATGTATAAAAACATTGTTTAAAATCTACGATATTTTGATACAGTAAAAACACCTTAATCTACTTATATTGAACAACTTATTAAAATGCAGTATTGAATTTTACAAACATGACTTAAATATTAATTAAAGTATAATTTGATAAAAACCATAAAAAAAAATATTTTAAGCAAAATAACTGGAATTACGCGATCCAAGCAAAAAATTATACATTGATATGTACATAATATATTAATATACTCGTATTATGTAGTAATATATGCTAGTACACATTGAAACAAAAGTTAACGAGAAACAATGCCACCATTATTAAAGTAGAGTTGCATACAGACATATGTACATAGGCATACGAAGAATACGTGCGAATGAGAGTTTTAGTGAGAATAAAATATGACACTTTATTGCTTGTAATAGAGTCATTGTGTGTTGTAAATGCTATTTTTTGGGTAACGATGCTACCTGAGATTTAATAAATTAATCCTTTGATTAGAATTTAACCCGTTTTAAAATAGTGGGCACCTTTTATTAGATTGCAATTAGAAACCTACTTTAATTTTTAACATTTTATAAAAAAACTAAAGAGAATACAAAATAATTCTTGTGATACTCTCCCTTTTCGCTGTTGGTAAAGCAAAATCTATAATGATGTATTTATGCTTAACACAAATTTTAAGAAATTTTAATTTTGTTTTTCAAATTAAATAATATTCATTAATTTTGTTACTAACTTTATTAATTTATTTTTCCTATAGTTGTATGTACATTCCGTTATTAATCTTTTATTAATTAGATAATCTGCTAATTAAATGTTGACAATCACTTTTTTACAAGTTGTTGTCATTTATGTTTGACTGACTAAATCACAATATTCTAAGTATATAACAGTTAGACAATTATTTTTTTTTTTAAATACAAAAGTAATACCTTACTTATTAAATTTTTTTGTTTAAAAAAATTGTTAATAACAAATCTTCATTTTTCATATATTTACGTGTTAAAGAATTTTTCATTTCATGAAATTTGTTAAAACTACCGTAATCAATTTATACCAAAACAAAGCGCAGATATATCATTAGGTTTGTTTAATAAAGATATGTAAATGTAAATACATATAAAGTAAATTTCTATTACTTTTGTTTTATATTTTAAAGCGCAATATTGTGTAACACCCGATAATTATCAAGGTTACTGTACACCCTTAACAGATTGTCAACAAGTAGCACTTTTATATGCTCAAAATGGGGGGTCTAATTCGATTCGGCAATACTTATTTGGATTAAGGAACGCCTGTAATAATATAGTATTACGAGGGGATCCTGTGGTATGATGAGTTGATATAATAGAATGATCTTTCTCCGCCGTTTTGATGATTTTTCTTTTTTATATTTTACGTAATAATTTTTTAGGTCTGTTGCTCAAAAGCGGGTAGTCCTTCAACAAATAATAGACCAAATCAAAATGTGGTAACAACGACCAGACCTGAATTCAATAAAATACGAGACAGCCAAAATTCACGTTGTTATTTACTTTTTTTTTATTTTAATTATTATTTTTTATATTACATAAATATACATACGTACTTTATATATTCATATAAGATTTATTTTCACTAATTTTAACATTTTTTTATTAAAACTATAGTGCGATCATGTTATACACCTGAAAATTATCAAGGTTATTGTACAACACTATCTCAATGTCAATATCTCAGATCATTATATCTTCAATATGGTGGGTCAAATCAATTTCGACAGTATTTCGCCGGCTCAAGAAATGCATGTAACAATGTTGCTGTAGGAGGTGATCCTGTTGTATGAATTAAAATATTATAGCAAAACATTCGAGTAAATTCATAATAAAAGCTTTTTGTATTTAGGTTTGCTGTAATCAGAGCAGCGGATCTCAAACTGAAACAACACAGAGACCAACACCTTCGATAGTCACACCTACTTCGTCTGCGACAACAGTGTCTTCTAATTCATGCCGAGGCCCTGATGGCGTAACAGGAACTTGTGAAAATTTACGAAATTGTCCACCTTTATTAAGCCGTTTAGAACAAAATCCAAATGACATAGAATATGCACAATTTTTGCGTGATTCAAATACAGTTTGTGGTCTTCCAGCTCCAGTAATTTGTTGTCCAAAAACTGGTACTACACCTGTAACAAATGCTCCTCAAATTAGCGGCAATAATATTATTGTTGATAGATTGCCAACAACTGATGAGGGCTGTGGAATTGTAGGAGGTCAATTCTTTAAAAAAGTAGTAGGCGGGCAACCAGCGAAGCCAGGAGACTGGCCGTGGATCGCTTTACTGGGTTATAGAGAACCTGATGGACAAAATGCTTTTAAATGCGGAGGAGCTTTGATAACAAGTAGAGTAAGTTTTATACACTTTAACCATAAATCATTCTTACTACACATTTTTATTTAAATTTTAGCATATATTGACAGCAGCTCATTGTATTAGGAGTAACCTGTAAGAACAATTGAAAAAATACATAATGTTGTATTTGTTAAATACTTTATGTCCAATCTTATTTCATACTATGCATAATATCTACTGTTAACTGTATAAAATTTTTTATTAAAATAATTAATGCAATATTACAGAAATATTGTTCGACTTGGGGAAAATGACTTAAGTAAGGAAACAGAAACTGAATATGTAGACATTCCTGTGCAGAAGGTAAAAGGTTTTGCTATTTTTCTCTAAAATTGATAATGCACTTTAGGTGATAATTAAATGTTTTATAGACTTATGTACATCCAAAATATGATAGAAGAGATGGCCACAGTGATATAGCGGTTTTACGATTAAATCAAAACGCACCATATACGAGTACGTTAGCAAAATTTATATTACTAAATCAATATAAATGATTTTGTGTGCTTGATGAAAGTTTCGTTTTTGTTATTATAAAATAAGTATAAAATATTATTTGTTAAAAGAAACGTACTATTATGCAGAAAAGGAAAAATTTTAAAATTAAAATTTAGCATTTTTAGAAAAATTAAATTTAATTACTTCTGCTTTATGTAATCGCAACACTTGAAGTAAAAATATTATTCGTTCAAAAGAACAAAACTATTGTGTAAAATTAAAAAGAACAAAAACGACACACAACATAGGTTAAATATTTTCATAAGATATGTAAAGAAATTTAGGTTAATTAAATTTTTTGTCGGAGTTAAGTAATTTTTATGTTATTGTAGAATTGGTTTCATTTTTGATTTTATTTTCAAGAACGATAAACCTAAGTTAATTTATTATTGTTTTGAATAACTTGCATTTATTAAATATCAGATTTTATACGATATGCTTGCCTTCCATATGAAACATCTTTAAGGACCAAAAGCTATGTAGATTTAAACCCATTCGTTGCTGGTTGGGGAAAAACGCAAGAAGGTATAACTTTTAAAAAATTATAAACGTATAATATCCTTCTTTTATATGCTATATACATATATCAATTAATCCATACTTTAAAGATGGAAAATCAGCCCAAGTTTTACAAGAAATTCAAATACCAGTTCATCGCAATGCTGAATGTATTTCTCGATATAGCGCTGAAAATCGGTACATATCCGATAAGCAATTCGATGATTCTGTATTATGGTAAGATTTTTAATTTAAATCAATTACGTCATAAAACACGTAAAAAAGCAATCCTCAAGATAAATTTGTTAAATAAACGGGGTAAATAAGAAAATATTAATGATAAAAAAAATATAAAAAGAACTTGTTCAAGCTTCTCTTAAAGTTCAACCTTTATATAGATGCGCTTAATAAATATTTTCATTTTCAGTGCTGGTGTTTTAGCAGGCGGCAAAGATACGTGCCAAGGAGATTCTGGTGGTCCATTAGTGCAACCAGAGGTTAGTTATTCAAATTATAAGTTATAAAATTTTATAACTATTGAGGTCCATATCTTTTTTTTTAATTACGTTCCTCTCCAATAATAACATCAAATAATCGGCATAATGACTTTGTTAAAATATTTCTTTTAATTTTTACTTATTTTTAAAAGTAAAATCGAATGATCGATACATAAACTTGTTGAGAAAGTTTATTTCATTTTGATTTATTTATTCAAATCATAATATTTTTTTTAGAAAACTTCTTAGGCTTTTATTTCTGGCGGTGAATTTATTTTAAATGTTAAAAAGCTAGGAAAGATTTTTGATATTTTTGTAAATTTTTCTTAATCCGCTGTTTCTTTATTTGCGCCTTATATGCCTTAGATCTTATGACAAAGTTATTATACGAAGTATATGTTTTTGCTGTTATTTATTTCTCACATTTCTTGAAAATTTCTGGAGGCTCTAAAAGTTTTTCCTTTATATACCGCGATTTTAGTAAAAATCGTTAAATTAGGATAACAAAAGTAATTAAAAAAAATCAAATTTTTACTTCATCCTTGATGGGTTTTTTGTATATATTTTTTCTTTATTCGTTCTAGCCTTCAACTAAAGACAAGGGAAAATTGTTCTACTATGTAATAGGTGTTGTGTCATATGGAATAGGTTGTGCAAGACCTAATATTCCGGGGGTTTATACAAACGTACCAAAATTTATTGATTGGATTCAACAACAAATAAAAGATACAACATAACAATCGACTTTATAATTTTCAAAACAATTATGTCACAGTCGCATAGTGTAAGAGATTTGTTTATTAAGAAAAAAGAAAATTAGTATGTATAAAAGTGTGCATTTTTTAAAAGAGGGCATTTGTTTAATATATATGTACTTTTATATTAACAAGTTTATTAAATTAATTATGTTCTTGTACAAAAATATATAAAAACTTTCATTTTGTTTTTAATTTATAATTATAAACAATTATAAAAATATCATTTTATTTATAAAATTACAAATAGAAAAGTACATAGTATTTGAGATCACAGTTCTTAAACAGTTGCTTACTTTCCATTTTATGAATTACAATCCTCCATATTTAATTTTTTTTGCAGGAAAAGTTAATTAAATAATTTTCTTGATTCATATAAGCTTTCTTAAATATTAAAGTTCAATATATATCCATTAAAACGATAAGATTAAAAATGCTCCAGGACAAGTAAAGAAATTATGTAAATACGTACAATATACTTCAGTTTCAAATTTAATTTCAAAACAACAGTATTACAAGTTATTGCCTATATATTATACAAATAACATTCTTTGTATCTAGAACAGGAAATTTGTTTTAATTTCTCCCAACAAAACTAAATAAAGAGAATTTTTTTAAGGATTTAAACTTTCAACATTTTTTCATTTAACATCTGGGATAATAACTATCGAATACCAAAAGAGATAAGTAATTCGATGACTCGTTACTAAGTACAGATGAAATTTTGAATTTGAAAATCTAATTAGTACCAAAGTTACAATAATCTGTGCACCTAAAAAAAATAAATTTCTACTTTTTCCACACAATATGAGCGTGCGACCCAGCACTCACATTGGTAAAACAATAATTATTATAAAAATATTATACAAAAATTATATAATAAAATGCATAAAAAACACAAAAAAAGATGAGTACTCAAACGGTATAATGCTTGTTTTACAATCGGCCATATTAGAGTTAGTTAGACTTAGATCTAAAATTCTTAACAAAATATCGCATTTTAAAGGAAAATGTAAAATTGATTCTTGCAATTTAAAGTTAATTATATCCCGAAAATTTGGTTCCAAATTAACCCGAAGATCAATTTGTTCATTTTGAAATCGATTTAAAAAAAATTACCTAAGAAACTGATTTACCAACTAACAAAAACGTTTAAATTTTATATCTTAAAACTTCTATCAGATTTTACATTTATTACATTAATTATTGTAAATATCTGGCGTATTAGACTCTCTCTTGACATTTATGCCTTCATTTAAAGTTGGACTTAAAACTAAAGCTGGATTGGCAACAGCTATTATATGGCTTCCAGCTGCTGATATTACTATAGGAGATGATGCTATATCTAAACAAATTTTGTCATCATTGTAATTTTTTGGAGATTTTGAAGCATCGTTTTTATTTTTATCATTTTCCATAATATTCTGATTAATAATTTCACTTTCAGGTTCAAACTAAAAATAAAATAATAATGATTGCCAAAATGATTAAGATTAATATAATTTTACCTGTAAAGGCGAACTGCATGTGCTAAAAGATAATCTGGAGTCATCATTTTCAATCTCTTCTTCGCAATCCGATTTCAAGAAACTTTAAAAATTTAATAAATATTTATTACATAGAAAAGCTTATCACGACAAAAACATATTACACATATTTAGATTTACCTAAATTTAGACATGTCTGCTAAATCAAGATGTTGTTTTGTTAATTTGTGATACATTGCTAGCAAGTTTATCCGATTATCTTCTAAAATGTCCTTTAGAATAGAAAAACATTAAATCAGCATCCATTAAATGTACAATTTCTGAATATAAGTTCACTAATCTTATAAAAAGGTTTTCGCAAAACAGAAAATTTATTACCTTTTTAAACGAGACTTGGTTGAGTATAGAGAGAACTAAATATATAACTACATATATATTATAAAAAATAAACAAAAATTTACAAACACAATATTACTTCAAATCATATAAATTAACAAAAAATCAATAAACTAAAAAAATATATGAAAATAAATACTTGTATGATCTACGTTAACTACAATTCTACTTATTAAATTCAAATGAGAAAACTACGTTGTACAACAAACTATTTTCGTTATTTTGATTAAGTCACAACTAAATTTAACGATACAACGTTACTTTCACTTAAAAGCTTTTGTCTACAATTCTATTATTGTAATAATTTGCTTAAAAATTTCAACTGCGAATTTTAAAAATTAATTTGCGTCAGTTTTGCAAGGAGAAGAACCTCGACATAAGGAACATTCTTTATTGTAACCAGAACTAGTAAATCCAAAAAATATAGCTTTCTATGGTGGATAAAATTGGCTTGTTGAAAACTGCAAATACAATAAAGCGTTGATGAAAAGTTCATCAATATTATAAAGGCAAGCTCTTTATGAAAAGCAATATTAAAAGGATAGATACTAATAAAACCTAAGTTTTTAATAGTAAAAGTAAATTGTTTAAATATTTTTGTATTGAAATACCTTCTTAGCCTCAGTCGTTTCAATAGAAGACAATCGAGGTTTCTTCATATTTGAAGTTTTATCGCTATCGTCTAGTTTCTGTTGATACTCTTGTTGTTGCTGCTGTTCTAAATATCTGGCAATGCTGGCAGAGTGGCCAAAACCAGCGTCTTTAACAAGTTGTCTTGCTAATGGAAATAACTCATCCCGTCGGGTTAACAAAGCCGGTACATATTTGCATATCTGCGCAGCTGCTTCGTTAACACAAACCTAAGAGAAATATTCTGAATGTCATAATTATGTACTTATGTAATTGCTTATATGCAGGCGTCTACGCTTGAAGCTATAAACCGAATCAAAATTTGGCTGTTGTCAAATTATAAGGTCCATTATTGCTAACTGATCATGTTTATAGCTTTAAATATATTAGTCTCTGCAAAAATGTAATTATGTATTTTACTTCATGCAAGGTTAAAGGTTTCTCCGGACGTCGTTTACAATCAAATCTTCCATATATTGCTGCATATTTTCGAATCTCCTCCATTCTTCTTGGATCATTTTCATTCATTGTCATAACTTGTTCTAAGTCCTTCGTAGCACGTTTTTTTGAGTTCAACTGTTTTGGCTCTTTTTGGGGTATTTGATGACACATTTTTTCCGCAATCTGAGCTATTTTGCATATTTGAGACTCAGTTAAAACTGGTGTTAATTGTGGTGAACTGGATGTTACTTGTGATGTTAATCCAGTTGCCGTTAATGAAGTGAAACCACAACTGCTAACGTTTAATGTTGCTGATGTTGAAGCATTATTGATTAAGGAGGTCAAGTTAAAACTTGGTGATATTACAAGTTTTTTGTTCAAACTTGAAGTTTCTGGTGTGTTGTAAATAAATGAGTTGTTTACTTCCGGTATACCTAGAAGTTCAAAGTTAAAACCTGGGTTTAATGTTTAAATATGTTACATATACAATTCCTAAACGAACTGCATATTATTTAAAATTTTAACTAAAAATTTAAGTAATAATCTGAATTAGCAAAAGTTTTTGTATAAAACATTTTTTCGGTTTAAAATTTATACACGAAATTTTATAGCAAAATAATTTAAACGAAAAGAACAACCTGTTGATGAAGATGATAGCGGAACTTGAAATATAGATGGATTCGTTGTCCATTCATGTAAAGCTTTTTGTAGTCTTCTAACATGAAGGGGCTTAGATGCCATACCAACCAGAGCCATTATTTCCAAAAATTCCTCCTCTCCAGCATCACAGAGCTGTTGAACATCATCTCCTCCTAAAAAATGAATAATTTTCAATTATGTAAAAGTTATTTGCTAATGACAAAATCGATATTTCGTGCTTTTTAGTCTCAGTATTTTCATACCCATTTCCAGTAGTGTATCGTAATACGATAGTAAACTGGCACGTTGTAAAACACGATATAATTGTAATTCAGCTTCATTACTTGGTACTGATGTTGCTGTCACTAAAAATATAGTTAAATAACCACTCATGAAAATTAAATTCAATATGAAAATTAAATTAAATATGTTACGAATTTTTTGTTCAATTTTTTTATATAAATACGTACATAATATGGAAATATAATAAAATTTGTGTTGCAATGAAATAATAAAAACTGTTTAGAAGATTGACTACGTTTCATGAATTACGCCTTTGTTATTTTTAAGCAACTATGTTAATTAACAAATAACTTAATCACTAATTTTACTAATTTCATCCAGCAATCTTTTTCCATGTGCATGCAATTTAAATATTTCGCTTTAAATTTTTGTAATGATTCTTTATTGAAAAGTTTACATTCAGATTGTATTACATATAATAAATTATAAAAAAAATATTTTACACTTAAATTTGTAAAAAAAAAAAGAACAGCTGTTTAAAAAAATCAAATATTATTTCTTAAACATCTTCTCATATCCTACCGTATATTACGCAATCTTCCCGCCATCTCATCATACAAGAAAACAGGATCCTACGCTTATAATTTACTCACGTCCAAAATAATAATATATATATTTCTAAGACAATTTATGCGGTCAATAAACAAAAAAATTTGTAATCTACAAAAATCATGCTTGGAGCATAACAATCAGAAAAAAAATATCCATTCATATAAATTTTTTTTGTTGCTCCTATTGTTTCTTTTTTTCTAAGGAAGATTATGTAGACAAAAATTTTTAGTTTATACCTGAAATATTTTGATTGTAAAAAAATCATGATTTTTTTCAAAAGGGTTAAACTTTTTTTTACATTTTTTTCTTCTTTAAAATTTGAAAACAAAAATTAAAAAAAAATTTTCATTTGTCCCTTTTAAATGAGCAGATACAAACTTTGTACTCATCTGCATATTTATAATTCATTCAAATATTTACCAGTCCAGCAAAAAAAAATTATTTGAATCAAATCGTGAGATACTTTAGCTGAATTTATCCTTTTCTATTAACATTTTTGAAGAATAAGTTTTTTTTTATAAATTTTTTTTTTGTCACTTTCGTTTTTTTATAAAAAAAACAGTTACATATGTAGTTGTATCTCCATTATTTGAAGCGTGTGAACAAATATTTTCACAAATACTTATTGTAAAATTTTTGCTAAAGGAAAGCAAAACCTACATACATTTATATACATTTTAAATTTACAAGAAAAGAGTGAAATTAAAAATTTTAAATATAAAGTGAAAAAGCTTTTCTTAAGTAACAAGTGAAAAGAAAACACGGTGTTTACCCGGTTTTGAGTACAACATTAGCAATTAATAAAACGCAATTCAAACAAAATTATATAAAATTCTTCCCACAAATTATACTTATTCATGTATGCACATAAAAATAATAAAATAATTTTAATAAAAAACGCGTAATATAATAATGAAACTTTCAAAGTAAAATAAAAAGTTTCAATCAAAAATTGTACTGTAGTTCTACGCTTTGGATTTTATCTATTTAAATTGGTTACAATAAACAAATACACATAATATTTTTAGTTATCAATTATCATTTACTAATATTCATACAAATGTTTGTCAGAACTCTGAAATTTTCACGCAAATTCTACATGTATAATATTTGCTTTTGTATACATTATCATGTTTATGACCAAAAACAATATTCTTATTATGGTACATACAAGCTAGAATGTTTATTTAACGTATATTACGTAGATTTTATTATACTACGTTTACTTATTCAAATTATAAATTTAAAAAAAATTGTTTTAAATGCACAAATATTAAAGATTGTTTGAAAAAAAAAATTATTTTATATTCAAAAAAAAAATATTATAATCCACTTCCCATAACATGAATACATAAATAATATTAATACAACAAAAAAATTAAAAATTTAAACACTGAACATAATTTGAAAGGAGCATCTTTTTTTTTAACGAAATTTTGAAAAAAAAAATATTCCCATAATACCGCCAAGAAAATGAAAAACATTTTTTTTATTCCAAATCCTTAATATCCTTCGTACCGTAGTTACATACTATATATGACATAGGTGTTCGCGAATCGCATAAGATACATATAAACTATTAAAATGAAAAACAAATTATAAAATTTAGAAGACAACTGGTTTTTTATTAATCAAAAATATTTTTTTTATCATCGTTCATTTGCATACTGAATTACTGGCCGTGGTTACTTGATAAAGGATATATGTACGTAAATAAGAAGTTAATATAAAAAAATCTAAGAGAACTTTTACCCTACCCTTTAATGCTAATAAGGAAATCTATATCTTTTACATACAAAAGAAGGGTCACTTTTTTTGTTAACCCTTTTCTTCCCTACACTTATGTAGGTTTTTTGTTGGCTTTTTCATATACATATGTACATACATATATATGTATTTGCATCTTAAGAAAAAAAGGCATTCTGAAATGAAATATATAAAAAATTATGTAGTATCAGATTAAAAATAAAAATTCATATATGTATACTTAAATATACCTATACTCGTACATTCATACATATTTTACTTAATTTTTTATTTTTCTGTATGCGCTATGTAATTTACGTGATTTTCATTTTTTGTTGTTTAAAATTTTCTTATAAGAATAAATTTCTTTTTATATTTTACGTGTTATTGGTATTCTTTTTATAATTTTATAACTAAGTCAAAACGAAAAAAATATGTATATAAGGCCAATATTTTAAAGAAGCATCTTTGAGAATGCCAGAGGCACCCGTCTTCTGTATTTATGCAATCCAAACACGAGGTTTTTTTAGTAATAACCAGTGGTCGAAGTGGGATACTCAAAGTGGTGGGATGGTAAAAAAAAAAAAATAAAAAAAAAAAAAAGTATAATTTTAGTTATTTTTTAAAAAATTTTCCAAACTTTGGAAGTAAACTAACGAGAATATTTATATTCAAAATTAAATCAACTAAAAATTGAATCAAACACTGTGCAAATTGTTACCGAAGAAATGCATAGACTACTATGTAGTAACGAAAATTTCATAGAAAAAAATTATACGTTACTATTTGAAATTGGTCTTATTTAAAATTACATATATTTAATTTTTTGTTAAAAAAATTTTTAAAATTCATTAGAAAATTTTCTTAAATTTGAAAAACATGTTCCGGAACGCATTTTTCTCTCCTATTAAGTGGTGGGATGTATTTCCAATTATTAAAAAGTACTGGGATGGCATCCCACTCCATCCCGCCTCACTTCGAGCACTGGTAATAACAGAATAATAACCGTTAAGTAATTGTAGCACTTTTCCCTTTAACAAGAGAAAATACTGCTTCTAAAAACAATCTAGGTATGTATACCTACTACACTATTAATCATAAAAATTACTTTCATTCATGTACGAAACTATTTCCAGAATTGCATATATTTAGGATGAACGATTTATGCAGTGATTTTTATGATTGCAATAAAGCTAAAATTAATTTAAATAGGGGTTGATCAATCCGTGACATGGTCGAAATAAACTTACATATAAAATTTCATCAAAATCGGTTCAGACCGACAGACCGACAGGTTGCTGAAAATAGTTTATTTACACTTACGTACCATGTAGAAGTGCATTACCACCGAAAACTCGATATGCAAAATTTGTTGCCATCACATAACCTACCTATTGTATACACAATACGGTCGGTAATTATTACTTGCGCAATGCCGAAATAAGCAACTTCAATATAAGAAAATAGCGGGAACCTTTTTATTAAAAAATATACATACATCTATATATGTATTTAACGAACTTGGTATATGTACAACGTTAAGCATAGTTAAGAGATCTTTTGTAAAAAAATTCTTCATTTTGTTATCCCAAATTCTGCAAAAAAATAACTACTTAAAATTTCAACCAGTGTATAAAATATATTATCACATAATGTAAAAGTCCTTGAAAGAAATTCAGGTAAAATTTTTATTTTAACCAATAAAAAAATTATCCTTACCACTCCCATAACTAGAAATAATTTTTAGGAATAGAAATATCTTTAAGGGGTTGCCTTTTTCGTTTTCTTTTGTTGCAAAACGGAACCAATCATTTGAACAAAAAAAAAAGATTCGTTTTAAGAACTCAAGCAAATGTTTAACAAGATTCTAAAAGGAAATTTCAAAAGGAACTGAATTGTAACATGTTAGATATGAAAAAAGAAAATGCATACATATTATATGTATGTTAATACCGTTTGTAAAATGTAAAATTCAAAGAATTCTTTTTTAAAGCAGACATTATTTAAAAAGTAACTGCTTAAATAAATTTTATGTTAATATGACTATGTGCTCTCCCTTGCTTAATTTAAATCGAATAGATAATATACTTAAAATGTATGTATGTTTTTAAAAAAAAATTATGTACTGATGCCCTGAAATAATTTAATTTGAAGCAAATCGAAGGTTAAAATTTTTTTTCTGTTAATTTTTAAGATCTTTTAAACAAATTTATATATATATATATATACATTCATATGTATGTGCATATATTGTTATTATATAAATATCATATAAATTATTGACATAATTTTTGTTGTATTTTTTTTTTTTTAACTAAATGACTGACGCTCACAAAATCGTGGTTTATGTGTAGCTAGTTGATTTTACCATTTTAAGAGTAAGAATCGTTTAAGAATTTTGATTGACGACAAATATTCTTTTTTAGTTTTGTGTTGCGACATACATATAAAAGTTAAAAAAACGAAAAGTAAAAATATGAGGAAAAAAATTATAAGAATCGCATTGGCCGTCGAATATAATATTATAGTTTCCGACAGTTAAGAATACAAATATTACAAATATAAGAGGAGGCTTGTATTAAATTTATTTGATATAAGGAAAAGAAATTGAAAGCAAAATATGTATGTAGGTATCACAAAATTCAAAAATATTTTAAAAAATTAATTTGTATGACGATAATATGAAACCAACAAACGTTAGAAACTAGACGTTATTTTCTAATTAGAGACTTTTCATTCTTCATACGCCATATTTTTGGCTTTTGCTTTTACAACAAACAATATAATTTTTCTATAATATAATATGTACTTCAAAAGCTACTTCTGAATCTTTAAATAGTCGTGTGTTCAAAAAAAAATTGTTTCTTATTGTAACAGAGTTGTTCTATACGTAAATGGCATTTTTTTTTACTTTTAGTTTTATAGAGACTTATTTAAATTATCGAAGAAACTAATGTTTATATGTTAATAATTAACATTTTGCAATTTTACGACAAAAACTCAGAATTATTGAATAAAACCAATCACAGAATTGTTCTCTAACTTTGTTGAAAATGTGCTAAGCGAGAATTTCGTTAAGAAAAAACAAGAAAAGTAAGTATAAAAAAGTATCCTTTAAAAATTGATGGCACGTCTCATTTATTTATTGCTTTGAAACGATTTTATCTTTATATAACTTAGTCACAGAGATGAAAAAACTTTTTTTTTTTCGATCACTGCTTTTTGTTTTAGTTCTTATATAGCCAAGTATAAAAAATTTAAAAGGAAAAAAAATTATTTTTTGTTTTCCAAACATAATCGAAATTGGATGATAAGAAAAAGTACTAAAACGGATTCAAACATAATCAACCAAGGACAAAAACGGTAAGTGGTAGACGTCACCTATGTTTATTTTTTTTGCTTTCTTTGTTTTTCTTTACGATTATTTTAATTAATAAATTTTCTTTAACAATTTCAAGTAAAAAAAAACTTAAAAAAATATAAAGCCACTTTTGAGTATACCAAGAAACCGAGTGTATCGTGAACCTCACGTCGCGAGTAATCTACAAAATTACTGTTGTTTTTCTCTATCAAAAGCAATTTATGCAAACGCAAATTTAAAAAGTACTTCGATTTTCTTATTAAAAACCGTGTGAATTTGCTAAAAACCAAATTATAAACTTTTAACACTTTTCTTTAAATAGGAGGAAATAACCGTCATTCTTAGTTGAAAACTAATTTAGTTTATCTTTTATTTTAATTTAAAGTATATAATCCAAAAATTCACTACCTGTTATACACCCTGTATATATATCTGCATTTTAATTTCTCGTTTTTTAATTAAATTGGTATGATTTTGTAGTTAATTAATAAAACAAAAAAAGAAAACTCTTATATTCTACATACGGTTAGTGTACGAATTTAAATTATTAGTTTTAAAAATAAAAACTATAATTGTGAAGATAAATGCATTTTATATAATATAATATCATACATACATACATTAGAAGTTGAATGCTTTTTGTACTATATATATTTCAAAGAACGGAATGATTATATATCATTCATCATATGCATAAAATTCAATTTCTAATAAGATCATTTGGTAAAAAAATGTAAAAACTATTTCGAAATACCAAATTTTAAAAAAATTAGAAAAGTTATATTACATTAGTAATGGGAATTGCTACAAAATACTAATATTCAGTTCGGTTTATCTACATTGGATTTGAAGCATTAACAAATTATTCAACATTTTTTTTATGAAATTATAATGTAATCAAAAATGATAGTGTAAATGTCATTATTTTTATAGTTCATTTGTACTTTATTTAGTGTTACATTTAAATGTTAGACGAATATAAAACTTTTAGATTTAAATAAAAGAAATACCATTTATTTAAGCCATATAAACGTACAAATTTTAATTTAACTATGTACATAATTTGATCTTTTCAAATATGTAATTTATGTATTCAAATTTTCGAAAACAAAGTTGTCAACAAAAATTCATGAAAATTTGTGGTTGATCTTAATCAGATTAATTAGTTTGCATTAAATGAATTGGCGATTATTCCGTCGAAAAATTACTACAATTAAACGCATTGCTGTTATTCGACTAATTCAAAAACTGCTACAATTAAATGTTTGTTGCTATTCAACTAATATGTCAGTATAATATTGCTATTCAACTAATATGTCAGTACCTATGTATGCATGTATTTTTGATTTTAATTAAAATAAAATTGATCTTATAAAAATTTGGTAAATTTAAGATAAAAAAATCTAAAAGTAAACCCTTGCTCTTGACATTGGTTATTACCAATTGCACACAGATGTACATATTATATGATTAAGATATGTACAATCAAATTATTAACATGCATTCAGAATAACCATTTTTTTTTCTTATTTTACGTGGAATTAACTTATCCATAATTTTGAAATATAATATAAAAAGATCTGTAATGGTATTCATCTTACCTGTCCCATTAATATTTTTTCCAAAAATTTTTCCTGGAGGACTTAAAATCGGACTTGGTGTTGATGATAAAATAATTGAAGTTGATTTTGGGTTTTCTGGTAAATAAAAACTGCTACTTGTACCACATATATTAGAAGAAATTTGTGTAGAACTGATATTTGAAATGGTCGAACTTGGTGTTATTACTGGAATTGTGCTACAACTTGCAATTGCATTTATTAATGATTTTGAATCATCTGATTTTGTACTATGGGCCAAAATATTTCCTGATGCAACAACACTTGATGTCGGCGAAACTACTGGAGTTGTTGTAATAGTTGTAACATGATCCATTTTCATGAATAAAACGTGGTCTTATTACTTAATGCATGATTTCCAATTTAAAAGTAATTATAAGCATTCGTTTCAAATTTTATATTATTTCGTATTTAAATGATTTTAAAAACATGCAATAGTGTAATAGTGAATATTTATATAATTGAAAAATTTACAAATTTTAAAAAGAACTAAATTTATTTTGAAGAAATAAAAGGTAAATTAATTAATTAAAAAGAAATAAAATAATTACACAAATTTTAATTTACTTCTAAAATACTTAAAATTAATTGCACACAAAATTCATATGTAAACAAAAAGAAATAACGGACAAAAACATTATTTTTACAAATAACACTAAATATTTTCAACCGTTTAAATTATAAAAAATAAATAATATTTAATCGTTAAAATATTTAAGTTGAGTTCAGCAATTGGTTTAAATTTTCTAAAATCATAAATTTTAAATTTTTGAAGCACTGCAAAAGGCACACAAACTCTTAGATATTTTAAACCAATTCTCTTTTTCGTCCACTCTCAATGATGGCAAAATATTATCTAACTGTTTTTATTTACTCTTACAAGCATTATTACCACTTCTTCTTTTTTCCTTGATTTCCTTATGCGTGTGTGCATTTTATTTCACATACACTTACAAAGAAAAAGGATTATTTTGTTGTTTACAGAAATTAAAAAAAAATCGAATTACCACTATAACCGATTTATATACACACATCATTCGGATAATTTTGTTTCCTTTTTTTAATTCGAAATTAAAAAATTCAGCTTAGAACAAATACGAGTCGTTAAACTTTAGGTATATGTTAAATTAAAATAGTTTTACATAATATTTCTATTGAAATTTATAAATGCACAATGAACTGTTAGAAAATTTTATATGCTAGACTTTCGAATACCGATCAATTGTTTTCAATCTAATATAAAAAAATTTTAATTTTAAACTATTTTAGTAAACATTAGGAATATAAGCCGGATTTATATGAATAATTTGTAAATTAATTAAAAAAGAATATTCTTGTAACAGAAATAGCGGTAGCAGATCCTTTTTTATATGTTACGCTAGGACACCGTTTTAAATTACACCACACATTTCATTGTAATATATGTATATAATTTTATTTCATAACAAATAAAAGTTTCATAAAATGTTACCACAAATTTCTTTTTTGCTCTGAATTTAGCTATTATTATATATATATAAGTACGTTTTAATAATTTCATTTTATTTCATTAAAGATTTTAAATTTAAAACTTGAATTATCGTTAAATAAAATGTAATAATATATATGGGAATATTAATTTGTTTATATATCTTATAATTTTTCCAGATTCTACATACACATACGAATTTCGTACAATATATTTTCGATATAATTAAAATAAATAGACTATGCTACTTAAAAACCTATTTATCTTATGTTTTACATAAAGAATTAGTATTATTATGTTAAATACTATTATTAAAACTGATTCACCTATATTACTTCAAATCATTCGATTCTATACATTGTGAAAATTTTTGTCTAGTTTGTAAAATAAATAATTAATAATATGTATGCGCTTACTAACTATTACAAATTGTTAACACTAATAATTTGATTGATCCAACCTATAAATGATGAAACTTTTACATAAACACCAGGAACGTCCATTCTACCGCAACCAAATCCCCAGGAAACTAACCCTACTAATTCGTAGAAACCATCATCTTGACATACGAGAGGACCACCGCCATCCCCCTATAATTCATAATTAATTATTGTTATCAATTTATCAACTTATCACTACTTAATTTTAATCGAAAATACCTGGCATGCATCATTTCCTTCTTCACCACCAGCACAGAAACTTGAAGCTGGTAAAATAAATATCTTCTCCGTTACAGCATTTACCTTCCTAATGCATTCTGCATCACTGACTATAGGTAATTCGGCTTCACGTACTCTTAAAGGAATTGGTCCAGCTGTAAATTATTCAAATAAACGCATTCAATTTCATTATAAAATCAGAAGTGAATTACCTTCCCCCATATAACCGTACCCGGTTACGGTACATCGTTTTCCAGCAGCATGACTTACTCCTCTCGCTGGGAGACACACCTTAAAATTTGAGAATATTATTTAAAAAATTTAATAAGAAGAATATTAAAGTAAATTTTTTACTAAGCAAACTCCATCTTTCAGCTCAGCTTGCCCATGGAGTTTTAGAAGAGCAATATCGTTATCCAAAGTTTGACTGTTGTGATTGTGGTGAATATAAGTTGTTGCTACTCTTAAAGTTTGAGCTGCAGGGCTACCGTATTTTCGAGTTAAATCGTAATCTCCAACTCGGACATAAATAGCATCACCTGAACGAACAATACTTAAAAAAAAAAATAATGCAAATTTGAATGAGAGTTCTATTTTAATAAAACTTACTTTGTCACGCAATGTGCAGCAGTCAAAACCCATTGTGTACCGATTAAAGCAGCACCACATAAATACTGGTTCAATGAATTAATTAATGCTACTTGCCAGCACCACTCACCATTTTCTCCATCTTCTCCACCAACAACTCGACTTTTTCTTTGATGATTTAACATTTTATTTAAATTTACTTCCCGTGGATTATCATTTTCTCCTGTAAAAGCAATATTTCTTGTAAACCTTCCCTTAACTAAATCTCCCAATTTGTCAGTATCAATTTGAATTGGGACGATTTCCGTTCCTAAAATGAGTCTTTCGGTTGACTTGTTAAATGTATCATATATAGGATATGATTTTGCATGTTTTATGTAAATTTGTTTTAGTTTTTTAGATATTTCGGAAGCAGTAGAATTATGATTTAATATTAAAGAGCGACTTGTCCTACTTGTTCCTTTCACTCCACAAACATATTTTGAATAAACTTGAGGTCTAGCAGTGGTCGTTGTTGGAATTTGGGTTGTTGTTGTTGGAAGATTTGTAACTAAAAATTTTCTTTAAACAATATATATTCTAAATATTTAAAGAATATGAATACCTTGGGCATGAACCATTGTCATGGGTGGTGGTATGTGTATTGAGTTCTGCACAAATTGAGGCGGATTGGCTGCATATTGCATACTCGATACATATTGTTGAGCGTTAGTAACATAATTCATAGTGTTTGGAGTATATTGTTGATTACTTGGAGCATATTGTTGAGATGTTGGCAAATATTGTCCTGTATTAATTGAAGGTCTTACAGGTGGTGACATTGCCTGATACGGAGGTGGCATAGGATATTGAAACGAATCATTTCTAACTAAAAGACCTTGCTTTTCTTGAATTTTGGTTTTAGGAGCACAACACGTTTGACCCGATTTTTTGCATTTAAACAAATCTGTCATTTCTGCGTTATCTAAAAAGTGTACAAGTTGCACAAAAAATTGATTAAATACATTATTAAAAAACTTACGAAAGCATGTAAAACTTAAAAGTGGCACTATGCAGGATCCAGGGCAGTCTTCTCGCGGATCTGGAACTGGTGTTGTAGTTTTTATTGTTTCAGGTTGTACATAACTTTTAGTAGGTGGAACTGCTGGTCTATATTTTGTGGCTAAGTTTGCTCTGGTATTATCACAGCAAACAGATCCTTTCTTACAACTTGAAGTATGTGGCATAAGAACAGAAGGTCTTTCGCAAAAAGCTGACATAATATTCAACAAACAAAATCCAGGACATTTCGGTAATGGGGGTGGCGTTGTTTGAGGACTAGTTTGAGAAAATGTATGTTCTGCTAAATTTAATATTTGGGTAATTAAATTGTCACCATTGTTCGATACAGGGGCTACAGGAGGTGCAACTGGATATTGTGGTTTGATTGCTTGTGGTTTAAGAGTTGTAACAATCTTTTCATCCACTTTATTATTAGTCGGTTCGATGTTTCCAGTGATGCAACAACTTCCTTCCCCAGCACAAAATGCATTGGAATCAATATCATCACAAAATAATGCAAAAATACCGGTAATGCATTCACCTTCACATTCTTTTAAAGCAGTTTTCATATTATCATCTTCATCTGGGAGATCATCATCGTCATCTACCAATGATGACTCGACAGTTGTAGTAATGATTTTTTTCTGTACGTTTTTTGTGGGCTTAGCATTTGAATGTTTAAACTTTGTTATTTCTGTGGTTTTTGCATATGGTTTCAAAGTAGTGGTTAATGTTTTATTATTCATATGATCTAAAAATTATACGCTTAATAAAATAGTTTATTCAAGATAACGCTTACATACTAGCTGGGACATATAAATCCTTTGGATACTTTCCGAATGAATATTCATCTAATGAAACACAACATTTTGTACCAAATTTACAGAGATTTAATGTTGTTAAGTATGCTTCACAATATTCTGCAATTCTATCAGCTACGCAAACACCTATACAGGATTCTTCCTCAGTAGAGTCTAGAGAGGAACTTTTACTTTTGGTAGTCTTAGGAGTATTTTTTTTTGTTGTTATAGTAGTTAATCGTTTTGTAGGTTTCACTTTAGAAGACACCGCAAGTGTTGTGATGACATGCGGAGAGCTATTATTCTTCGAGTTGGAACTCTCAATACAGCACTTCATACCAGATGGGCATGGTACATCATCCAAAACTTCATAACAAATTAGAGTTGCAAGTGTATGGACACACATTCCGGGACAGTCTTTCGCATCAGCAGTACTCGTTATAGTATCTAACAAACCTACAATTTTTTACTTATGTATTTACATACTTAAAAAAATAGAGTTCTTTAAAAAAATAGGTGCATCTATACCGTGTTCAAATATTACTATCATATTATGCTTATACATTTCGAATACAAGACACCTACACATACATACATAACATAATGTGTTTTTAAAGTAAAGTGAAGGGAAAATTATACAACATTATGATAAATTTATAAGTGCGTGAGTCTATAATGAAGGCATTGGCAAAGCAGATCATAAGTGATAAAATAATAAAATTGCTGTGTAAATAAATAAAATATTTTTTCATACATACGTCTTAGTATTGTAGATAGTGTTTAAACTGAAACCTGCGACGTGAAATATTTAGCCTTTACTAAGAAGTAATGGAAATTTTTAATACCTGTTTTTGTATACATATTTAATAGATACTTGTTTATATTATGTACATATGCGTGTATGAGATATCCCGAATATGAGGTTTAAAATAATTTTTTATTTCAATAAATATTTTGAAGGAGGCTCTTCTCAACTGAAATTATTATTAAAGGGAAACTAAGTAAACAAAAAATTAAATAGCATTTTTTATAGCTTAATATTCTAGCTATAAAATAAGTACAAACATAATAACGTATGTCAATACAGTTTGTATCTTAAAAACTTAAACTTTAAAATATAAATAAATAGTTGTAAAATCAAGAGGTATATTTGCAGTTCAATTTTTTATATATACATAATGATGTACGAATTTTTCTAAGGGTATTGTTAATAATAATATGCATGTATAGATACCCATATTGCATACATACATGTATAATACCCATAATACAAATTTTGCCGTAAAATTTTCCATAAAGTTATAAGATTTACGGTTGCATGGTAAGGTTAAGGATGTTTTAAATTTCGATTTCAATTTTTTCCCCACAATAAGAAAATACTTTAAAATCTACGGTCCTCATTAGAATCATTACAGCAGTTACATAAAAGCAGAATATTTTAAAATAACATTTAGAGTTTATTAAGTTTTTTAAAAATTGGATTTCAAAGTTGATTTTACAAATAGTGTGAATTACATTCTTGACTCAGTATCATAAATCTTCGTATAAAAAAGTATGCAACATTTTGCCAATTTCTTTGTTCAGTTAACATATTCACCATGATTGTAAATAATACTTTATACAATTCGTGCTTACCTGAAAGAAAACTTCCTGCCAAAGAATCATCTTCTCCCGCACCACTTATCGGCAGCAATAAATACAATATTGCAGTTGAGTAAAAAAATCCCTTCATGGTTTTAAATTTCATATGATGTTGATGCCTTAAATTGAACAATTTCGAATTTTAATTCCAAGTTATTTTATTTTTATTATTAAGTAACATTTCATTATAATACTGCGTTTATGCAGTATATCGCGATATATAGCGAGAGCTGCGCTATATTTGTGTTCATAAACAAATGTTGCTAATCAATTTCGTTCATAAACATTGCTAATCTATCACAAAAATATCTGTAGTATCATGGCTAGCGCAGTTAAATCAGCTGTACTCTTTTTTTACTAGTTTTTGCAGTTTGGTTTTACATTTTTAATTGTTAATTATTGTATTTGAAAATAACGACATTTCTTTTTGTTCCGGTTTTCTTTTTTTGTTGTAAAATAGAATTTTCCAATATTTGGCCCAAAATATATAAATTTTTTTTTTGTTAACGACAATTTTTGTTTATGAACACAATACTGCAAATTCAAAATAGCAAAAGTTTTTATACAACTGTCAAAAACATATTGCGCATGTACTACATTATGGTTTTGCAGTATTGTTGTTATGAAAATCTCTATCATATAATCTTATAAAACCACATGTCGTATAATCTTAAATTAAATCGCAAAAAACATTATGCCCCCGAATACTTCCACCAAATAGTTTTTCTTATTTAAACTTACCTAGGATTGTCAAATGGTGACCAAAACAAAAAGAGACGACAAAGAGAGTTCGTTTATCAAAGGTATATAAATTAAAAAAAAAATCGCTGTTTAGCTGAACTTGTTTTTGAGTTGTTCAAAGACAGACAGACAAATATAACAAAAATGTAAAAAAGAGTACTTCGATTTTTTCAGCCACACTATTAGCAATTATTTTTTACACCGCAATTCAAATTCAATATAAAATGCCTATATCAACTTTATTTGTTTGTTTCCAATAATACTTCCATACATACATAAGTACACACATACATATGTACATAAATATAATCTTAACTCTCGAATGTGAAAAATTCTCAATTTTCCATTTTTTTCTTCTAAAAACTTTTAAAGGCAAAAATGTTATTGCTTGTATTGTGTTGTAATTTCAACTGAACAACTACAATCAATATTTTAAAAAAATTTATTCATTTTGAAGCGTAATGTTTGTCATGCAATTAAGAAATGCAGCTCATATGAAACTGGAGCGCCAGAAGGGCTCATTTATATTTTTCTTTTGTTAAAAATAATAGCTAACATACGTATGTATGTACATATACTTTATACTTTAATTTACTTTATTTGAATTATAATAAACTATTGAAACAAAGTCACCACAGACAATTTTATATTTAAAAAATAGATTTTTAAAAAGGTGAAAAAATTCGAGCTGACATAAAAACAAGCCTTTTTGAAATTTGTAGAGCTACATCATTTTTTAGACAAAATTCTACATGATCTTGTGGTCTGGAAAAATACACTACAGCACTTAAGTACTTGTAACAATGAACCTTGACATTACAAAAAATCAAGGCCTGGACACTGCTTTTTTTCCCCTGCTTTGAGTTTTCTGTACAAAAAGCTGACTTTAGCCTTAAAAATTTTTATACTAGCATGAAATATGGAGTTTTCTGAACAACATATGTATGTACATACTCGTATCAAAAATTTCAACTCAAAATTTTAACTATAATTTCGATTAAATATACATATTTTCGATTTTTTTCCGCATTTTTTGTACCGCCAAGTCAGACAAAATATATGAGAGAATTGAGAGTAAAAAATGACAATACAGTGAATAAAAAAAATTTGGAGCATATAAGACATAAATATAATCTTAACTCTCGAATGTGAAAAATTCTCAATTTTCCATTTTTTTCTTCTAAAAACTTTTAAAGGCAAAAATGTTATTGCTTGTATTGTGTTGTAATTTCAACTGAACAACTACAATCAATATTTTAAAAAAATTTATTCATTTTGAAGCGTAATGTTTGTCATGCAATTAAGAAATGCAGCTCATATGAAACTGGAGCGCCAGAAGGGCTCATTTATATTTTTCTTTTGTTAAAAATAATAGCTAACATACGTATGTATGTACATATACTTTATACTTTAATTTACTTTATTTGAATTATAATAAACTATTGAAACAAAGTCACCACAGACAATTTTATATTTAAAAAATAGATTTTTAAAAAGGTGAAAAAATTCGAGCTGACATAAAAACAAGCCTTTTTGAAATTTGTAGAGCTACATCATTTTTTAGACAAAATTCTACATGATCTTGTGGTCTGGAAAAATACACTACAGCACTTAAGTACTTGTAACAATGAACCTTGACATTACAAAAAATCAAGGCCTGGACACTGCTTTTTTTCCCCTGCTTTGAGTTTTCTGTACAAAAAGCTGACTTTAGCCTTAAAAATTTTTATACTAGCATGAAATATGGAGTTTTCTGAACAACATATGTATGTACATACTCGTATCAAAAATTTCAACTCAAAATTTTAACTATAATTTCGATTAAATATACATATTTTCGATTTTTTTCCGCATTTTTTGTACCGCCAAGTCAGACAAAATATATGAGAGAATTGAGAGTAAAAAATGACAATACAGTGAATAAAAAAAATTTGGAGCATATAAGACTAAGTAATATAGAATACACATAAAAAATATATATGTAGATGTGATTATATCAGAAGTATGCATTGTGGGAATTATACAAAACAAGTAAACTCGTTATTATCAAATGTACATTTTCTCAAATTTGAAAAAATACCCCAAAATCAACTAAATACTTCGAAAAAAAAATTTCACTTTTTTTTTTCCTGTAGTGCAGCATCTACTGAAATTTTAAAAATTTGTACGGAACCTGCAAGGTTTTTTTTAAATGATTTTTTTAATGTTTTAATAACAAAAAGCTTTAAAAATGTAAGCTCTAGTAAAGTAGAAAAAGATTGAATTTTAACTTTTTCTAATTAAAAATTTGAAAAAAGTAGATCTTGTTTGAGATTTATGATGTTAAAAAGAGCCCTATATAGATCCCTAAGAATACGTGTAAATTCGTCAGCTGTGAACTGTCACTCTCCCTTAGGGTTCAGGTCTGTATTTCTGTCAGCCGTGCAATGGACACATACCAAAATCTCTTAAAAGCGACAATTGTAAATGGCAAAAATGTTAACGCAACATAAAAATTCACCCTCGTAAGACTGGACAAAAACGAATTTAAAATAAAATGCAATAAAATTCACAATCATTTTAAATTAATAGTGTATTTTTGAATCCAAATTAAAAAAAACTGCCCGTCATCATATCTTAGCATTAAGTTTGCCATGTGAATAAATATATGTAAACGTCTATTTAAAAAGAAAAATTTGCGTGTTAATTTCTTTTTCAGGAAAACGCCTTGTAAATAATAGAGTTTCCCTTAATAGGAAACCTTTTAAAGGAAACTTCCGCTTACACAAAACAATATTAATGGCAAACATAAGTTTATTTTATGCAGGCTATATTTTTAGAGAACTAAAATTAAAAGATTTTTATTAAAATTTAAAGTTTACGTATATCCTTGATTTCATTTTCAATATTTTAATAAAACAATTTCAAAACTTTTCTGAAACTATCAGAACGAATATTGAGATTCGAAAAATTTTTTAATCCCAATTTCTACATGTTTTTTCAAAACACACATGATCAGATAAATCTAATCTTACACATGCATCGTAGATATACATATCAACACATAGGTGTTTATGATCAAAAATAGTTTACATTTAATTAGAGACTTATTAGAATCTTATAGAAATATCAAACTCTCTAAAAGAATTGGTTTTGATTTTTTTTCACAAATATCTTATTTTTTATTTAGTTTTACGTGACTTTATTTTTTTTGCTCATAAAAATACAAATTACACATTACACATTACTGTAGTTACAACTTTGATGCGTACATAAACATGAATGCATAACATTAATTTATCATAGATAAATATATATGTACTCATGTGTAGGCTTATACACATCCGACATGCAACAGGTACATAAAATATACCACTGTTATTTCTTATTTTTAACTGGTATAAGTACATAATAATTATTCAATAAATATTACCTTGTTCTTTCCTTTTGATAAAAATATTATATCAATTATTTCTTACTGGCATTTTTTAAAAATAAAAATATTTTTTTAAATAGTTTTCTTTAATCTTACAAACATATACGTATGAACCCACTTTCTTTATTTAAAAAAAATAAAACAATAAAACTACTCGTAAGTACAAAAAAGTATGTCAAACTAATAATTATGCATTAAACATATTTTTATAATTACTCTTATACTATGGAGTGTAAATTAATATTCACTTAAATATGTTTTAAATCATTATAAGGTAACGTTGCTAGTATAATTATTTTTAAAGTATTTCTTACAATCAATCACCCGCGCTAAATCATATTACACGTATACACAAAAATTAAATTATAATTCTAACGGTACATTGATTTTTTTATAACATGAATGACTATGGAATTTCTACTATTTCGTTAATAAATGACAACATAATCTTAACTAATACTTTTTCTTTAAAAAGATGAACTTATTGATTTCAATTAAGAAAACATACTGAAGATACAATTCATACTATGAAAGAACTAATGCAGTTTTAGCAGTACATACTTTGAAAGTTGATTCTATGTAATATACTTATACCGATGTCTGTAGATGTAAATTGAATGTGAATTATAAATATACCTATATACTATATATGTAATTAAAAGCTCGAATGAAGAAAAAAGTTTATGAGCAAAAAATACTTTAAAAGAAAATTAATACAGGTTTGTAATTTTGTGTTTATGTATGTACATGTAACCATTAATGAATGAAATTAAAGAAATATATTTTGTTAACAAAATGAAAATAATCCAACCCAGAACTAAAAAGGAATAAATAAACAAGTGAACACTAACAGAGTTAGAACCTTCTGATGATTATTTGCATGACAGTTAAATTGAAGAAATCCAATAGAATTTTTTTCCATATAAAAATATTACAAAAACAAATCTCATATATAGTTTTTTACACATTCAAACAAATAAAATAAAAACGGATGTCACAATATTTATTAAAAAATAATAAACCTAGAGACTAGTTTTAAAATAATTAGATTAAAAAATTTCTGAGTTGCTTTTCGACGCTGACAAGGTACATGTCAAAACTAATACAACTTGTCAAAAATTTTAATAACAATTTTTGAGGAAAAAAGGGGTTTATGTGACAAAGCTTTTTATTTTTGTTAAGATAACTTACTGATTTAAAATTTAATTTTATTCTGCGAAAGGACGCTATTTTTTAATAAGATAACTGATCCAAAACTTATTCTACGTCGTAAAGGGAGTTAAAGTTAACATTCAATGAAAATGATTTAACTTTCAAAATTATTGAGGAAAATATACGTACACGTAATACGGTTCAAACATGATTACAGTAATAATTTTTTCATTTTGTTTAGTTATGTTTACATTTACTTGCACTGGTTGTATTTAGCTTATTGAATCCAAAAATTTTTGAGATTAACTTTATAATATATCCAAAAAAATTTTTTTGTCATAAAGGTAAGTATGGATATAGATTTTGCGTTTGCATAAAATCAGTAATGAAATCAGTTGTGAGATAAACGTATAGTCAGACGAAACAGGTTATTTCCGCATTCGGTAATTAATTTTTTTTGATTAAAGTTGTTTTTATAGTTTTATAGTTTTTACGTTTACTTGGATCATGATAGAAAGATAAAATTTTACTTATCAGTTCGTAGCTTGGTCTCTTTCTAAGCCTTTTGACAAAAATAATGTATTCCAAAAATATATAAGCACTAAAAGCTCCGCACTAAGAAAGCACCACTGAAAACAAAGATAATGAGAATTTTCTGTAAAATAGATTTCATCCGGAAACCAGCAAATGATTTCATCATAATAGCAACAGTACTTGCTACTTATTTTGAAAATGATTGCATACTGTGTTTATATACAGCTTGAAATCAAATTCAAGTGGATTTGGAGTTTCGCTACTTGACCTGTAATTTTCAAGTCAAGTCGATCCGATAAAATTATTAACTTGACTTGTATATCTTCAGCATATAGCGGATTGAAAGATTGAAAATAACAAATTAATATACATGTAATTCTTGTCGGCTTATGTCAAACTCAAATCAATTTCAAGTAAATATATTAATATACCGCATAGATTACAGTATATGCGCAGGTTGAAATTTTATATCTAGTATTCGATATGCCATATAAACGATTCGACTCTTAATTGACTCGAAATTTTGTTTTAAAGAACGAAATTGGAGAAAATATTTTCGCATACATTTCGGCTTTTCGTTGAAAAGTTTTTAATAAGCAAAATTTAAAATCAATTTTAAAAGCGTACGTCTTCAAACTAAGTAAAAAAACTTCAATGTAATACAATAATTCTAAAATAAATATTTTTCTTTTCACGTTGGCAAAAAACAAATTGCTTTTCAAAACAAAATAAACTGTTGAATGAACTTAGTATGCATACATACCTACTTTTATTTTCGGAACCTTGACATAACAAAAATATGTCAGCCGTCTTCGGAACTCAAAAATATGAGATTTGATGTCAAAAAATTGCTCACAGAGCCCAGTATTCTGTTGTCAAAGTAAAATTAATATTTGAAAATAAAACTAGAAAATCAGAAAACATTTGTCTTTTCACTTTTATCAGTTTCTCAATTAGAAAATAATTCGGAATAGCTTTTTTGTGCATTTGTATTTGCTCTTAAAAAATAATGTGATTAAATTTTTACATAGGAAAGCATGAGTACGTGTACTTCACCATATGTGATTATTTTTATATTATTTTAAACGTTTTCAAAGAAGAAGTATTTTAGCATTAAAAGATTATTGTGTATAATAGAAACTCTGTCTTAAACCTTCACTGGGATAACTAAGAAATAAATAATGTCTGTGCCGGCAAAACTTATTTATTTCGCAATAATATTCCTTGTTTTTTACATATATTACTCATGTGGATACTTTCATTCACAACAATATGATGACGACAAAAAGTGTTTTTGTGAGGTAAAATTTAAAAATATCCATTACAGTAAATTTTTAAGTTTCTATTTTAGTTAAAAGGTTCAATTAACGATTGCAGTTGTACTGTTGACACTGTAGACTATTTTAATAATGTTAAGATATTCCCACGTTTGAAAAGTCTTCTCTTAAAAGATTTTTTTAGATTTTATAAAGTTAATCTTAAAAACGAATGCCCTTTCTGGCATGATGACAGTAAGTGTGTTATGCGATTTTGTCGAGTTAAATCTTGCTCAGAAGCTGATATTCCTCCTGGTATTAAAGGTGCAGCTAGTATCGAAAACCCAGCATTTAAGGTAATACTTTGATTTAATTTTTATATGACTTAAGAAGAAAAAGCGTTATGTTGCAGTACACAGCACCTGGAAATAGTGAAGAATCAGACTGTCGGAAAGATTTTGATGAAAAATTGGGATACTTGAACACAAGTATAAGTGAAGCAGCTCATGAAGAATTCCGGAAATGGGCAGATCATGATGAAGCCGAAGATGATTTTTGTATAAGTGATGATCAACAACACGAAGCTGAATACGTAGATTTGCTTCTTAATCCTGAAAGATATACTGGTTATAAGGGAAAATCTGCCCACAAAATTTGGAGTAGTATATATCTTGAGAATTGCTTCGACAGTAATACTCAAATAAATAAAAAACTTACATACGTGCCGAATGAAATGAAATTTTCTTGTCTAGAACAAAGGGCTTTTTATCGCTTGATTTCAGGTTTACATACAAGTATTAATATTCATCTATGTTCAAAATATTTATTATCACAAAATAATGACTTTTTAAATCCGAATGGTGTTTGGGGCCCTAACATTAACGAATTTCAAAAGCGTTTTAGCCCTGAAACAACGAACAAACAAGGAGCTTACTATCTTAAAAACCTGTATTTTTTGTATCTAGTTGAGCTTCGAGCTTTAGCTAAAGCATCACCTTATCTGAAAACCGAAGAATACTTTACTGGGAATGCTGAAGAAGATCATGAAGTCAAATTAGCAGTCAGTGACATTCTTAGCTTAGTGGAGTATGTTCGATTATATGTTTGTATGACCAAAGTTTGCAAAAAATTATAATTTTTTAGGAAGTTCCCATCACATTTTAATGAAAATAAATTATTTTCAAGTGGAATAGAGTCAATGAAGTTAAAAAGTGAATTTAAAGAAAAATTTCGTAATATTTCAAGAATAATGGATTGCGTAGGTTGTGACAAATGCAAATTATGGGGGAAACTACAGGTAATGTATACATTATGCTGTAAACTCTCATGTTAATCAAAATATTTATCTAAAATTCTTATTAGACTCAAGGCCTTGGTACAGCTTTGAAAATTCTTTACTCAGATAAATTTAATACTATTATTGGACCACATAGTTCAGAAAAATACTCTAAAGATAATGTGACACCACATTTAACTAGGACAGAGATTGTTTCCCTGTTTAATGCTTTTGGAAGGTAAGAAATATACGTATATCTATACATGTGTTTTTTTACAAATTGATTTCTGAATAAAATCTGAAAAATTTTCAGGCTGTCTAATAGTATATTTGAACTGGAAAACTTTAGAAAAATTTTGAGGTAACAAAAAAATCATTAATTATATTTTTACATGTGATTTTATTGAGTAGAGTGAAAGGGATTTAAAGGTATATTAAAAAATTTGTTTGATTGAATTTGATAAAAAAAAATTGTACACGTATTCGAAACATAAATCTATATAATACATATTTTTCAAAATGTAAATAGCTTCCCAATTTATTTTTAAAAAAATTTTTCAAAATTTTTTCAAGAAAACATAAGTATTTATTAAGTTTAACTATTTATTAACTTGTAAATAATCAAAACTAGGATAACAAGAGTCTAGTTTTTAGAAAGATATCACTTTTAACTCCGAAAGAACAGTAAGAACCACTTATAACTTGTAATCATTATGTTAGAGGTTAGATGTATCTAAAAATATATTGCAGTTTTAGCAGTGAAACAAAACAATTGTGCTTACATATTTTTAATTTATTAAGTAATTAATATATTCGTAATTTAATTGAATAATTTAATGTCCATATAACTTTTGTGGTAGACTAATTATATCAATTATTGTATTTTTATATTTGTTTGAATAACTAGTAATAATAAAAAATCAAATGAAAATTAAGTTAAACTCAATTCCATTTATTCTTGATTAACATTTTTTAATTTATCCTACAGTAAAATAAAGTGTACTTTATAGTGGTGGCAAAGCCCACATGGTGGCAGTCTTGTCAGCTGAAGTTGAAATAAAAGAGAAATCTGTCGGATGCCAGCGACCGGAAATAACTTTGTCAGTGTGGTGCGCTACAACAACCGATGGAAGCGGCAAAGTTAAGTCACCTTGTAAATCAGTTAATGCAAGTTTATTATCATATGCTGCTGTCAAAAGATAATAAGCTGAAGGTGAAAATCGTATTGACCTAATATCTGCCGAATGTGGTTTGAAACATTGAATTGGTCTATTTCCTCTTATATCATATAAGACACAAGAGCTATCTTCATGTCCTGAAACTAATAATCTTCCGGAAGGATCTACACAAACGGATCCAACTGGTGAACCTTGTCTCGTTGTGGGAGCTGTAGCTGGCGTTATCGTGTTAACGCAACCTCGGGTACGTAAGTCCCAAAATCGAATTGTTTTGTCCTGAGAACCAGAAACAAACATAGCACCACCCCAATTAAACAAAGACAATATATGTCCGCCATGACCACTTAATGCTTGGAAAGGTGTTGCTGTTGCGCAATCTGTAACATATATTTTGCAATCACCTGCGCCACCACTAATAAGTAAACTTGTTTTGTTTATTGAGTCTTCTAAAAAACATAAATCTCTAATAGTGCCATCGTGCATTGTTAATTCTATTTCTTGGCCTTCTAATTGCTTTTTAATTTCGTTATATCGCATTAATTTTATTGTTTTGTCGTTAGAACCTGTGGCTACTAGTTCACCATCAGGTGACCAACCCATGCAATATATAGATCCTTTATGGTGTTTAGTGCGTTTAAATAACACTGTAGGTTGATAAGTGACGTGATGTTCGTGTACATCTGTTAAAGAAGGATATTCACAAATTCTGAAAGTTTTTGAATTTGACCCAACAGAATAAATTGTCCCACTTGGATGAAATTCAGCACACCGTACTGCTTGAACATCTTCAAGAGTAGTTACAGCAACAAATTGAGGACGATTATTATCATTGTCGATATTTTTATTTGCATGAGGCATTTGAGTAATATTTTCACGGTTTTTGTCTGCGTATTCGTTTTGATTGTTTACCACATCTTTTGAATTCAAATCATTCACATCGATTTCTTTGCTCATTTTTTGTTGTTGATATTTTTCAAATAATTCGCCCTTCATTCTTGTAGCAAAATTCATGTCAGTTTTACCTAAAAAAAAAGTAGAGTGTTTTTATTTCAAATAAACATACAGCACATAAATTTTACAAAGTTTGTTAATACATATTTGAAGATATAAGTTAATAAATGGAAATATAGTACGTGTTTCATCTTTTAAAGAGGACAATAAATTCCTTATTTTCTTCAGTTCTATTCATAAATTCTCTGTATTGATGGCATGTTTGATTCAGTTGCCACTTTGTATTCTGTTACAAAAAAAAATTAAAAAAAAAAAAAAACAAAATCTTACAGACTTTGAGTGGCTAAGAAAATAGAAAAGATTTTCGATGGTGAATTCGTGATATATTAAATTAATTTTTCTACTATGCATGAACAGATTTTAAAATAGAAAAAAATTAATAATTTAGGTGCAGGCTTCAGCATTCTGTAAATTAGGCCAACTTATCAGTTATAAATGGTAATGATTAATTTAAATCGAAAAAAAATCTTATAAATATAAGTCAATCCCTTTAACGCAAAACATTTTGTATTAAAATATTATTCTTTCAATGAAATGGTTTCCAACAAGTTTAACAATTTTAACTAAAATCATCAATATTTAAAAATTTTGCTAACAACTAACAAGTTTTAATAATAACTAATATTGCAGTTTAAATAACCAATAATTTTATAAATTTTTGTAAACAAATAATGTTAGTTACAGGTATAATTGGCAAGGTTATATCACTTGAAAAAATTGGTTTAACTTTTTCGTGTGATCGTTGAACAACGCATTAACACAGTGCAATAACCAAAATTTTAAAAATTGAAAATTTTGCGAATTTAATATAGAGGAAGCTCATATTTGTCGAAAATTATATATCTCTTTTTGTTGTTTGTAACCGATTTCTACTTAATATTTAATAAAATGATAATCAAGAAAGAATAAGTGCTGATTGCTGTACAAAACAAAAGTTCATAAATTATGAAAAATAAACTTTTATAAATACAGATAGTATTTTTATAAATCTACGGTTTTAATTATGGGTTATGTGTTTTTAGTCAATGATCTAACCTTGCGAACCAGAAAGTGGGAGTTGTGTTGAATTTAACTTTTGAATTGCATTTGGTTGTGCTTTATCATATATATTTGGTTGCATGTTTGAAATTTGATGTTCAGTTTTTGCTTCATTTACTCCACTTTTTTGTGACGTATTTGATTGAACCAAGTGTGAACTATTAGCATGCATTTGAAGGGTTGGAACCACTGTATGTGCTTGTATGTGTGCCGTTGAATCCACTACAGGATCAGTGTAGGGTAATTCTACTTCAGAAAGAAAATGCTTGTCGGTTAAAGAATCCCTTCGAGAACTTTTTGCCGTTGAAGTGGCAGTTGCTGGACTATTCCTACCTGAAGAAGACGTTGTTTTATCTTGTGAAAACTCATTCTGCTGAGAGTCTACATGATTTCTCTCATTTATTTTTAAGTCTTTTAATTTTTGCGCTGGTATTTCTTGAATAGAAGGCAAGCTTTCAAATTCACCATGAGTATTGTTTCCAGCAACAACACCACTTGAATCATTTGTAAATAAACGATCTACACTTGATACCATTACATTCCTGTTAGTGGGTTTGATTCCTGTTAAGTGGAAGCTTGCAAAACTTGAGCGGGACATGGAATTTTTTTCTATTGTTTCGTTTATTTTTGCAGCATTCAAACCAAAGGGTAACCCTTCGAGATTCGGTATTAAAGAACGTGTCATGACATCAGCGGCACTCCTAGGTCTAGTAAAAGGCATCACAGAATGTGGAAACGTTTTTGGTTTGATAGGTGTTATCATCATATGTTCGGTCCAAGATGTTTCTAATGTTGGTCTTTCCAAACGCTCTACATCTACGTTTAATGTTTTTTGTTCAAAAGGCACTGAAAACGTCTCTGAAGGAATCGATTGAAGCCAACTCAATAATGACAAATCAGAATCACTAAAGCCAACCGATCCATCAAGAAGTTTGGAAAAGCACATATCATCATTAAAATTTCCAGTTGCACCTGTGGCTTTACCTAAAATTATTATTCAAATCAATATGCTTTTCTTTTGAATTTATGAATAGCAAGATTTATGAAAATGAAATACTTTTAAAAAATCAATATATATACCTTGACAGTAACTAACACAAGATTCATAAAGTACTCCTTTAATTAAAAGTTGTATTAACCGATCATTTTTTGCCGATGGATTACAATCCAATTTTGAATCATGAGGCAAATATTTTTCCACTAAAGGATAAACTTCTCGAAAACATTGCACACGAGCCTTGCTTGGATTCCAGTCGCGGAATTGTAAATGATCTGCTAGTCTTGGAAATGTTAAAAGTAAGCATAAATTGGAATAATCTTCTTTAGAGGGGGCTAATTTTTCTAATTGTTCAAGTACTTGTACTACTTCTTCTACAGCACCCTCCATTGAATTAACACCTTGCCCAGGAGCTGTAATAGATCCTCCAGCTTCTGATTTAATGCATAACAATTCAACATATTTATGACGCAGAATTGTATAGCAAAATTTTTTTATGTTGAATTCCGGCAGAGTCTCCAATGGTTGTATGAATTCTATTACATCATCCCATTGTCCATCCAAAATCAATTGACGGAGAAATAAAACATCATCAGAGTACTGCCCATTAATCACTCCAGTTTCTCGTTCTAGTGATAATTGTGTGATATGTAACTCACGATTATCGAGAAATTCTAGGGCCAGTCGCACCACGTCTTCTTCACGCAAGGCAAGACGGGCGTTAAAAGGCATTTTATTTTTGTTTATTTATTGAGTCCTTTAATCCTTCGAAGTTGAGATTGAGATTCATAGATGAAGGGAAACAATTAAATTATCTAATAACAAATGCAATATTATTATTATGATAATTAGATTCCTTTACACCTAATAATTTTCACTTTGTATGTTGATCTAGAACAACTAAAAATCAATCGATTAGAAAATTTTCTTTCATATTATGTGTTTTATTACTTCTTTTGCTTTACTTTGCAAACAATAAAAATTCAATGACTCGAACTTACCAATTTTCCTCCCACTTCACCTATAAAAAGAATTCAATGGAATCTTAAATTTTTTACTTTATTAAACCAAATATTCCATAATGCCAACAAATTAGTTAAGTGATCGTTGCAAAATATTAATAATTTTATATTTTAAAGAAAATGAATAAAATAACCCTAAGTAATAAAATATATTTTCGTCAAAACTAATCGGTAAATTTATTAAATTGGATAGAAAACTACTAAGTGACGTTGACTACGTACAGTTGCCAGACAATATTATTAAAAAAAAAGAGTTAATATTTCTCAGCTAAATTTGAGTAATAACTCTATGACTCTAATAGCCGGCTGGCATTTCGATAAAAAAAAGTTATCAGCTGTTTTTGATTTGCGGATTTCACTTTTGGTCAAGTTGAACGTTATTTATTTGATGAGAAATTGCATTTGACATGTTTGTTTAATTAAAAAAAATAAAATGGAACATTTCAATGCAACAAATTTGAGCCTAATTCACTATTTCACTATATCTGAGTTGACTCTGTATGCAACAGTTGTAATTAGGGAACAAACTCGGGAAAATTACCAGAATGTTAATTCCCACATAAAATTTCCTAACGCTTCTCCTACAAAACATATTTAACTGAAAAATAAACCTGAGAGTTTCATACTAATATAGAAGTCCTATTGGTCTTAATTGTATAAAAGGTGCAGTAATTATTGTTTTTACAAATTTCTAATTGCAATTTTCTGAGTGCGAAAAACATTATTAAAGAATCAAAAAAAAATACTCAAAATGAAAAATATGGTAATTTAACTTACCCAGCATTTACACATACAAGTTACTTGCATGCAAGTTTGTATAATATTAATTGTCAATTAGTTTTTCGAAATGTCAAATTACTTGCTATTATGACGTAGGCGTTTAGCAAGTTAATTTTTGAAAATGTCTTTGAGAAGAAAACAACTAGCAATATATATAATTGTTTATAAATTTTAGAAACCATAAGTTTGCTAAGTTTAATTTTTTCAAAACAAAATTCAAAAATTTTAAATTAAAAAAAAAAAAAATCAAAACAACAAATTTTTTTTTGTGAATTTCTCAATATGTCAAATTACTTGCTCAAATTACTGGCAGCAAAATTTTCTTGCAAGTTGAACTGCAAGTAAACAAGCAAGTAGAAATATTTCAATGTGTTAGTAAAATTTTTGTATGTATTGCAACTTTCTTGCAAGTAACTTGTACGTGTAAATGCTGGGTTAAATCCTAACAAAGTTCCAGAGAACTGTCAAATCAAAAATATCAATTCTATCAATTAAAAATTATTTATTGAATGATGAACTGACACAAAAGGGACAAGAAAGACTTCAATTATATAAAAAGTTTAAAAAAAAACAAATATACAAAATAAAGTCTGATGAGGCTGTAAGTGTGAACACTATTTCGACACCAGACTTTGTCCGACTGCAATAATAGAAATTAATCTATTTCTATCGATTTCTGTCAGATTTTTTGAAAGTAAATTATTGAAAACTAATTTTTCGAGAGTTTTGAACAGCCATAAGTTGATTTTTATTATGGTTATAATTTTGGTAGAAAAATTATTAATTTTTGACGCCAAGTCTGAGCTCTGCTAAAAAGTTTTATTTTAGCTCTTTCTTTAAACAGTCATCAGAATTCATCGTATATCTAATCTTAGATTTTGTCGTGCAGTAAACTGCATCTTAGTCGCGTTACTTTGTGGTATAAAAACCTATCACGTGATGTCATCTCAAATATGATGTACATTATAGAAACCAGAGTTCAAAATTTCGAAAAAAAGGGTCAAAGAAAAGCTAAAAGGGCTATAATTGATAATATGCTTAATTTTAGGAAATCAAAAATTTATTTAAGTTCTACTTTGAAATTTAATTCAAGTTTCGAGCTTCTTATTTGAAATTTTACATGGGTTGCATCATGATGTGTTGTATGAAGTCTGAAAAGGTTACAGGATATACGTACTTATATAAAATTGGAAGTGAATCCTTTGGCAAAACAAATATGTACACATAGTATTTTATAACTAAAAACACAATCTAATAAGAAAATGGCAATATTAAATTCCCAATACTAAGAGCATTATACACAATGTATAACTTAATCTTACGGTCTTGTTATATTTTTATAATAAAATTTTATATAAAAAAGCTTTTGAAAAAGAAAAAACAAAAGTTTCGTTGAGGATTTAGGAAATGGGCAATATACTGATTGATATTTTCAACAAAATGATTTTAAACAATAAAAATGGGCACTAGTAGGGACGATAAAAAATGTTTTTAAGATAGTAGCATTACCAACTTACGTGACATCACAAACAAATTGAATAGAAATATTTAGTATCTTATTGTTTGAATGAAATTAAGAAGCAATCCCATTGGTATTATCTTATAGTTTTTTGAATTATGCATATAAAATACCATATTTTAACAAAAAAAGTAGGTACAATACGTATGCATAGATACTAAAATCAATAATCCAACAAAAAAATATGATGTAAAAGCCGATCTTATAATATATATTTTTCTTTTACACAAGAAAATCATTTAAGTTTGATATTAGCAATATTATATTTTGAATTTTATCAGTTACAATCCTTATAAAAGTTTTTAAAAATTCCGTACACGTTATACTTAATAAATATGTATGCATTTCAATACAAAAAGAATTTAAATAGTAAACACAAATATTACATTTGAATTGCGTTTTTTACACGAACATGCATAATATTGCATTTTTTTAAGTGCTTGATAATGTTCTAATCTAAAAGCCACTTAAAAAGTGCCTGAAATTAAAATCAACTCTTTTTTTAGTTGGTGCTTTAATTTTTAGAAATTCAGCAAAATTACAGTGGGCCTTTTTAAGCAGAATTTAAGACAATTAATTATTGATATTATGGGTCTGTCTGGTATAAAACTTGAAAAAACTTCAAAAAGAAAAAAACTGTAACGTCATTTCTGGCAAAGAAAAAGAAATTCTGATTTAAAAAAAAATAAACAAGACGGAAAAATTGAAAAAACTTTATAAAATAGCTAATACCCGTCAAATTTTAAATTATTTATCAAACATGAACAGTTTATGTGCACATAAGGAAGAACATATGTTTTGACAGCTTTATGGTTTTAAAAACTTTAAAACTAAATTTTACTTTGCAAAAAAACGTCATCATTTTCTACCAGACACTTTACATACTAAAACTTTATAAAGTTTTTGAAAGTTTTATAAATTTTTTAAAAACTTATTTATACCAGAAAGACCTATTTTCTTTTATATGCAATTAAGTTTAAGTGATACATTAAAAATTTTATAATTTGGTGGCCTTAGGTGGTCAAACTTATATTAAAAATTCTAAAATTACTTCAAGTTGTAATTTTTTTTGTTTCATTCGTTATATTACGAAAATTTTCAATATTGATATTGTAATATAAGTATAAATTTATGCATAAGTATCATAAGGCTAATTACGTGAATTCAATTAACTTTTTTTGAATTGAAATTTGTAAGCAATATGCAATTCAAATCTATATAAATACTTATGTATGTGTGTATGCATGTCTTTTTGTTGCGCAAAATGCAAAAATGAGTTTATGTAATATGTATTTAATTACATAATATGTGTGCATATTGCAGCTTAATATTTTTGCAATTTGAATTTAAAAAAAAAAACTAAATTTTGTTATAAGTTCGTTATTTTATCAATACAAAAATATTTTGCTTATAAATTACATACATAAATATATTATATATGATTATATACATATATATATACATATATACATATATGTGTTTCAACTTATTTTTTCAAGTTAATTAGAAAAAGGTTTAATTTTTACTTCACTATGCCTTCATGCATTATTTATACTTTTACAAATGTTTATGTGAGATTTACATTTTAGTTGAATTTTATTTTTTTCTAAATATACAAAATGCATTATAAAAAAATTTGTTAAAAATTTCCATAAAATATTTTTACCTAGATATATACATATGTATATATAAAAAATTTTCATCAAAAACATTATTCGTAAGCATAAAATATAAAAATATCATTGTTTCGTTTATATAATATACATGTTATGTAAGATATAGTAATTTTTCAAAAGCTTTAAGTGTTAATAATAGTATTTTATACAATATAAATGTTACAATAATGTATAGTAAGTACTTACTAAAATATTAAGGACTTTCATCTAATTTTTTTTTTAATTAAGGCAGATATTTTAAATAGTTACATAATTATAGTAACATAATTACACATGTTATTATAAGTGTGTGTATGAAATAAAGTTTTTTAATGGAAAAATGCAAAAAAGTACATTAAATAAATTTATTTCGGATATTAAAACCGAATGTGTATATTTATTGAATAATATTTATGTATGTAGCCACAACAAAAAATATTAATAAATTGCTGGTATTGCATCTATATTTAGAAACTGTTTAAATAAAAGTATATATATATATATATATAATTTCAAATTTAATAGCTCATATTAGTAATTTCGTAATGTAAGATATGAATATAAAAAATGACTTTAATTATAAATATAATATATGTACTTTAGTTATAAAGTAAATTTCAAATACAAAAAAGTTATTACTCTCGGTATAAGAAAGTTAATTATTATTAAAATGAATGAAAAAGAAAAAGTAAATAAAATAAATAAATATCTAATTACAAACAAATAATTTGTAAGAATTATGTACCATACTGTTTAGGGTGGCTTTGTGTATTTATTTATAATAATTTATCTGTTGTCAATGACATATTCAGGTTTTTATAAGAATATTTTAAAAATATTTAAATTTTTTAAAAAATTTATAGTTTAAAAAAGTGAAATTTATAATTATACAGTTATATAAATTTATTTTTTGATTTTATAAATTTCGATGTTTTTCTGAATTTTTAATTTCTAAATCAATAGATAAAAATTTAACAAAATTTATACGTTTAATTTAAACTTTGTTATTGTTAAAAAAATAATTTTTATTTATATTATAACTAGAGGTAGATTTGATTTCTCAGAACAACTTTTGGTGCGATCATTACATTCGTCTAAATGCTTTTTTTCGAGCGATTCTTCGCAAGGACTTAAAGGAATGAGTGATTTTGTACTTCCAATCATTTCATTTTGTAAATCAGGTTGTTCAATTTGTAATTCCTTGAATTTAGAGAAAATTTAATTATCAAATATAAAATCATAAATATGATGACTTAAGTTCTTTATTACCATAGGATTTATATTAACTTCCTCACATAAATGAACGTCGTCAGGAAGTTCATAAACATCTTTTTCACGGTTCTTTTTGCTAGCAGTTGCAAATGCATGATCAATTTGAGAATCGTCGTAGTCAGAACAACAGACACATCGCATTTTCGCATCATCGCCGACCTAATATTCAAAATTAAAACAATATATAAAATTTTTTGTGACAATTTTAAGGATTTAAAAAAATGATTACTTTTACTGATTTTGTTATAACGATTAAAGCTATAGAAGATACTACAAATAAGACACTTGGTATTATTAAAGTTATCAAAAGAAATTTATAAGTTTGGTCTAAATCGTAGCGTATTATAACATTTGCGGAATCAGCCTTTAAAGAAAATAAAGTATTAGAATTTTTGAAAAAAAGAAAAATTGTTAGGTACATAGGTAAACATAAAAAAAACTTTTACTTACAGGATTATAATAACATCGATATCTAGACTGGGCTGTATTGTTATCGCCATTCTTATTATGGGCTTCCCCAAACTCTCTACATTCACCTCGCAGAGTATTGACACAACCTTCTAAGTTGATTAGTAATCGACTTGAATTATATATAGTTAAATTTGATTGCTTAGGTAGATACCTGAAAAATATGTATAAAAAAAATGTGTAGTTTATTTATGTATATAGTAGTTTACCTTTGAGTAGGATCAACCACTGTAGTACTATTATCATAAATTTTCCAAAATTGAGTAAAATTCATGAAAGGATGAGGTATGCTATTTTCATCTAACAATGTTCCATTTAGGCAATCTGTAGCTCTGTGTATATACATTATTTAAAAATTAAAAACACTTCTAATCACTATTTTGCATCTATAAAGTAACACAATATTTTGTCTACACAACAATATAATACACTACGGGTTTTTCTCACAATATATGACATAGTTATTTAGTATCGCACGAATATTATAATTATTTTTTATTACTTAAAAACTTCATAACATAATTTATTTTTTTTAATAGTGTTATTTACTAGATGCGGATTGATAATGTTGGAATAAATTTGAAAATAGCTTATTAAATATTATTTACGTTATTTTATCGGGGTATCTGTCTACTGTCATACAACTAGTCATTATCATTCCATCGGTTTCTTTCCAAAATGTAAAAGGAGAAATCCGTATTGGTGGGTTGTTACCATTAGCCTCATTAAAAGCAACGGCTTCTTCGCAATCTGCTGTTATAACATCATTATCCTATATAAGAAAACAAAATAAATTGAGTGAAGTGAGTATCATTTAGCATTTCGCAAAACTTTTTATCAAAGAAAGTAGACAATGTTTATATATTTTTAGGAACGGAAATATACACAATACTTGTGTATATAAAACAATATAAATAAATATGTGGTATATTTTTCTTTTGTATAGATTATTTTTATAAACATACATGTATATAGTTTATATGGTAAATGTAAATACCTGCATTATTATAACATTGACATCAGCTGTTGTTATTTTCCCGCAGTACCGGTCACAACGAAACTCTTTTTTGATTTTAGTACATTTTGGTCCTAAAATTTTGTTTTAAAAAATGATTAGTATAATATGAATTTGAAATTTAGGTTTGGAATGGAATACCGTAACATTCAAAATATCCATTCAATTTAGAATTATCCTTCTCTGGATCAATGCTGGGGCCATCTGCAGTGTGATGACATAACATAAACTCGGAGATATTTTTGCAGTGGCCTATGGAACATATACAGACCACAAAAAGTTTATAAGCTCATATTTTGGAATTTACAGTTTTTGTAATTATTGTTATTACATATTATATACATTTGTATATGTAATATACTTTACCATTTGAACAATTGAATAATCCATGCAAATTGGAGCAAATTGTACCATTATTACAATTATATTTCTTAAAATTGTTTGGATCAACCTCAAAAAAATTTTCAAAATTTTAATAACTACATAAGATTTTTATATACATACATGTATGTATCTATTTCTTTTTCATTATTTTATATCTCATTCATTATTATATATCACAATGTTAAACATATATACCTGCGGGCATTGAGTTACATTGATTCTTGTACAATTATTAAATTGAATGTCAGTACCGTTTCTTCGTACTGTTGAAACAATTTGAGGACAATAGCCGCTTGTTTTGGTCAAACACCATTCTCCACATGATGCCCAATTACAATATTTCGGATCTTTAAATTCTATAGTTTGACATATGACTGGTTCAGAATCATAGCCAGCTTTAAATGCTCTGGCATAGAAAAAAAAAATCATATTTGAATAATAACAAAATTTAAAAATAAATTCATATAGTAATAAAGAAAATAATTATTTACTTGAATGATGGACTATACACAGCAACACTTAGGTATACAATAGCTACACATGACAAAACCATTGTTAATTGAAAAAAACAAATGGAAGCACATATTCTTTTGTCTTGTTCTGGAATTATTCTAGGTTTATCTTTCTTTCTAACCATTGCATGTACTTGTTAATTGATTCAATTTAATTAATAATTTTATTTTATTAAATTTTAAGATAAAATCAATCTAGTTGTTATAAAAAATGATGAAAAATTAAAAGGGTTATCACTTTTTAAAGTGGTTAAAGTCACTTTTTATAAAGGTTGTCCAATTTTTTAAAAAAACAATTGCTTTTAAATAAAATTTTGGTTGTAATTGCCTGGAAAGTAATAAAACGAAGTTTGGAAATTTTATTTTATTTTATCTCTTAACATATTAAATAACACTGTATTATATAAATACATAGATATGTACATACATACATATGTTGACTTGTCTTTATGATTTTACTTTATTATTTACTACCACGAAGTATTTAATCAAAAAATAGTTTTAAAAATCATAAGCTTTCTTGATTTTTTATATTTTTCAAAACAATTTACGAATGCAAACAAAGAGGTGATTTTAACAAAGCTTTTTAAATTAATCAATATATTTTATTAAATTCTACAAATCATACGATAATTAGAGCGATATATAAATGGCCTTATACTATTCTTTTATAATATACTTATTTAGGTTGCACTGGAATTTACTTTTAAAATGCTTTATCCTTAAAAGATACAAGTGTACTAAACACGATTATGTTTTTTGTGTATTTATTTGTATAATAGCTGTATGTTTTATTAATCCTCTGAAGGTCTTTTGATTAACTTACATTACTTATGTATGTTTTCGTTCATTAGTATGTGTGTAATATAAATGTGGGAGTGTTTATTACCAATAACGTGAGAAAGTTACTTAAAAAGCAAGGTAGTAGACTTATGATTTTTTTAAAGGACTTTTTCAAATTTTCAATTTTTAATTCAGCCTCCATTATCATCGTTTACAATAATAAATTCATATTTCAGCCTTATTATAATATAAGTGATTGATATAAAAATTTATTTAAAGATTAAAACATTAGATAAGGTGTGATGTGGCTTATACTACATAAATTAACATACATATGTATATATAGCAGCATTAATTGCAAAAGTGACTTCTAAATTCCCAAAAACTAAATTTATATTTCGAAGAAAACAAATTTTTTTTTTAATTAAAAGAAATCTACAAATACCAAAACTATAATGATCAATCAAATATAATAAATGCCGAATTTTTTGCAATGCCTAATGAACTTTATGTAGGAAAACGCAAAAAAAAAAAATAACAGTAATTAGTGTTACCGCAATTTTATCTTAAAAATAGATCAATTTCGAACTAATATTTCTAAAAGTCCCTTGAATAATAGTCAATATCTATCTTCCATTTACGTGTGCAAATTGCTCAAGTTTAGACAAAACTGAACACAACCACACTATCTCGAACAAATGTGTAGATGATATGCGTAGTGCTTAATTTTTTTCCGCTAAGTGGAAATAGTATTTCTAACCTACAACAGATGGATTTTGTGTTTTTGGAGCTATTGTGACATTTGAACAATAAAAAAAAAGCTATATGAAAAAAAATTACTATACGCTATCAGGGTTAAAACTACATTTTGAAATTTGCATACCATAATTGTAAAAAAAATGTACTATTTGGCAAAAATTGTAGTAAATTCAAAACAAAATTTGTAATGCTTCATTTTTATATAAAAAAAATTATATAAAAACTTAACAAAACGAATTAAAAAAAATTATCTATAAATGCAAAAATTAACAAAAAATATTACCTATAAATGTATGTAATTATTTTGTAGTTTTATAACTAAATAAAATCTTTTTTAAAATTTATTAAAATGTACTAAATGAGAAATAGTACGTATTGAATTTTAAATAACGAAAACGTAGTAGAATATAATACATATGTAGTAGAATATAATAATAAAGTATTAATCCTGTCAGAATAGTGTAAATGGAATGCAAACAATTTTATCCTCTTATGATCCGCACTTGTGTTTTGTTTATACCTCACCCATATTATTTATGTATGAATATATGTATATTATTATGTATACATATATTTTTATATATTATAAATATAATAGTATATAAAAGATATGTGAACTACATATCCATAACGCACACATATGAATATATATATATATAATATTTATGCGTATATGATTCATTGCTAGAAGTGGATTAACACATACATATAAAACACAGTACGTGCATTTGTACATATAAAGGGTAACTCGAAGCTATGTGCACTACTATATACCATAGCACACGTCTTGGTCCACGTGAGTAGCCAAGAACAATATTTAACTTTTCATTTTAAAAAACGTTAATTTTCTAGGTGATGTAACATTGCAGTTTTCTCTAATTTTAGGACCACATCAACTGATTTTTATTTTGGTGTGTGAGTCATCTTCCAATCTGATTTAGTTTAGGAGTTTGTTTTTAAAAAATAATTGTATTTGAGGCGAAATTTAAAGTTGTCTCTCCGTTGAGTGCTATGCGTCTTACGTAGTAAGTAGTACGTAGGTAATGTAGGTGCTTCAGGTGTTCCGAAAGTTTAACCTTCTTTGTTAATTACGAGTATTTTTACTATAGTCGCATTCAATCGATTAAAAAGTTTAAGCCCTAGTACCTTTACCAATAACAATTCAATTGAGATGGGTATGGTTTATTTATACAGAATACTTTAGACAGTTTTAGCTTATGGCCAAGAACTAAAATTTTTTAATTGTTAGGTTTTAAAAGATGTCATGTCAAATTTAATAACATGTGTCATCTAACAAAAGTTAGTTTGAAAAATAATAAACACTCCTTTTTTTAATATCTTAAATTTTTTATTGCGTTTCAAGTATTATTTATTTTTAGTATAATTTTCCTAGAGGACATTAACATAATTTTGTTTTTAATTGTTTCTAAAAATACTTTAAGGATTGTAATAATAATAATATACATACTGTATTTGAATGGATTGTTCTATTTTTTTTTTGAAAAAATTTAATATTTTTATGTTTTTTTAAATTTTTTTTCATATTTGTTAATATATACACATATGTATGTTTATAAATTAATACTCATTTATATGTACATATATTAATTGAGATATAATAATATGCCTACCGTCTTTTAATAAAGTTTAGTTAATATTATACAAATATGCATGTGTACTTTTGTATTAAATTGAAAGTAGATTAAGTATATTTTTAATAAGTATTAAACAAATATTAATATAATTGCATAATAAAAGTCAATTCATTAATTATTCAATTTATCATATAATGCAAATAATTTGTAAAACAAATTTTTAATAACTTTTTGATGTTATAATAACACAATTGAGCTTATGGCAAGCTAATTAGTATGCAATAAAAAAAACTTTATACATAGATTCAAAAAATAATACAAATATTTGGCTTTTCAAAAAATGGTTATAAAACATTTGGTTTTAAGCTATACTTACTTTATAATGTACCTACTTATTATATAATTTTTTTAAAGATGTACATGTACATACAGACATGTAATGCATATTAATACACATAATTGTCTTACATGATTAAAAAACGCCATGATTGCAAAAATTTGTAATATTTTAATTAAATTTATATTATTTTATATAATTAAACGTTTTATATTACATTAAACGTTTTTGTTTGATAGATAAATATATATGCTGAAATATAGTTTTATATTGCACTGAAAATTCTTCAGTGTTGTATACATATGAAATATGCATTGCATTTGTTTAGAATTAAATTTTCTTCAAAACATGAATTCATATGAATTCGTATAACAGATAATTTTCAAACTAATTTTTTTTTGCTAAAACTTAATTTTAAATGATATATGCATGTATTATAATAAAAATTATTTTGATTTTTAAGAAAATTACTTTTTATCGGGAAGATAAAAGTTAACTCTACAAAATGTAAGTTTGAATTATATTAACGGAATGAATCCTCAATGCACAGTAATTGAATGTAAAGAATTTAGATTATTAAAATTATACGTTTATAATTGAGTAAATTTAATTTATTCGATATTTTTAGTCCAATAATATTGACGCATTTATGATATTATTTTATGTATTACATTATGATTACATATATCAATTATAGTACGAATATGCGTATCAATACATTTTATAATCATTAAAATTTAACTCAAAGAAAAGTTATAACTTACAAAAAAAATAGTTTTTAATTTAATTTTATTATTTCAAAAATTTTAAAAATAACTCCGTGTGGTCAGAGCGGTAAACTTTTTGACTTATTTAATTTTATGACATGTGTAGTTGGCTCGCCCTTTCAAAATTATAAAAATATTATTTTTTATTATTTTTATGTTCTTTTTAACTTTATCCATAAAAAAATTCAAAAAGCATAATATTAAGCTATAAATATTTAACAATGTGTACAAAATGTATAAAAATTAGACAATCTTCCACTTTCGTTGTTCAAACTTTTAAATTATTAATTTAAAAAACACCATATTTACCAAAAGTTTGCAACCCTGACCACTTGCAACAATTTTACATACATATATTTACTGGTTAAAGTGAAATACCATCGCAAATAACTTTCAATCTATAATTTTGATTCAAAGTATTTTATTATAGTGGGAGTTTAAGAGTTTTATTCAAAACATTTCATTTTCATTTCAATTTAATAGATGAGTTTTTAAGTTTTACTATGTATATAAATGATGCTTTTATAAGTATCATTGCAATGTATGTTTTTAGAAATTTTTTCAATTTTTGTTGTGTTGCTGCGAATATTAGTTTATATTCCTTTTTCTAATTCTATTTGTATATAATGCATGCGTAGATGATTTTTGAAAAGTTCAAAAATTATAAACAAAAAAAACTTTTGTGTACAAAATGTTCATATTATATTATTGTATAAAATAAAAAACTAGAGGCTTTATAGAAGTGTTCGACGTTTCAAGTCTTTTTACTATTTATATCAAGTTTTATTTTTCGATAAATTTTTAAAAATTTTACATTGGAAAAAAAGTATGTTTTTTAATTTTGTATCTGCCTATCTGGTTTTTATTTTTTTTTAATAATATTTTAAACTTTATACATGTATTAAAATTACGCAAAATAATTTGTATGAAAAGCATAAAAATTTTTTTATTTTTCTTTTGTATTTAAAACTACTAGTATTTTTTTAGTATGTATGTCGAATTACTAATTTTTTAATTTCTCTGTTTTTATTAATATATTAATATACATTTTTTATCTTTTTTTTGGTATTGATCTATTAATTTGCAAACAAAATGGCTTTTTAGCATCTCGTATAATATTGTAACAAATATTTTGTGTGTCATGCGGTATAGATTATTATAATTTTGCTTAACGAAATTTATATAAAGCATTTTATATTTCGTTTCTTTCAATATTAAAATTTATATTTTATATTGATTAAATATATAATAGCTTTGCTTTTTTTTTATTTTCGTTTTAATTTTTTTAAATTGTATTTTCACTGTTTACTCTATGACTACTTTTCAACAGAATTTTCAATATTTATGTATTTAGATTTTACACAGCTTCTAGGTAGCTTGATTAAGACTAAGTTCTACTATCACATTTTTTGTTTTTATTATATTTTTATTTAATAAAATAAAAAAAAAAATTGATATCTAGCACTTTCTTGTTTTAAAAGTTACAAATTATTCTTTACTGAAACGCTATAACTTAACTTCAATTTGTAAAAAACTAAAACAAAAACTTTTATAGAACTAAAACAAAAACTTTTATAGAAAGACTTAAAAGATTAAGAACCAAAAAATTTAAGGATAACTTCAGTGCAAAAAAAATGTTGCGTTTAAAATAAAAACAAATAATAGTTTGATACACATTTGTGTACCCTTCGAAAAAAGGACGAACAGACCTCATTTGAATTTAAATCAAATTGAAAACAATAATTTTATATATGTATATAAATAAAACAAAAATTAAAAACGAAAGAAAAAAATACTATTTTTTCAAATAGTATTTTTTTCTTTGCCTATTAAAATCAGTTTTATTTATAATCTACATACATACGTAAATAAATATGGTATTACTATATTTAAATTAACAATTTAATAGGTTGAATTCAATTTGCTTGATTGAACAGGTTATTGGAAACCTAGATTGATTAAAAATATTTTCTAATAAGTTTAATTGGGAAATGATTTATTTTAACAATTGAACAAAGAATTATGTATTTATTCTAAATATTTTATTATTTACATATGCTTGACGCGTTATTTGAAATTTTGAACATAGAGCGGAATTCTTAACTTAATAACACTTTCTATTATGAATTTATAAAAATTACAAATATAATGACCCAAACTAACTTTAACACTATTCAAAGACAATTCAAATATACCAAAAATAAAATAAATACTACAAAAATTCTTAATTATGAAGGATCAATATTATATTCTAAACATAATTATATGTATGCCTTAGTGTTTTTGGGGGAAAAAATGTAGTAGCCAATATTATGTTAGAACTAATTAACAACGTGATTTCGTTAAAGATTGATTAATAATTTACGTAATTTTATATTTTTACACTCACTCTATATAAACGTGAACATAATTAAAAAAAGTCAAACATAATGTTAAATAGTAACTTTAACTACTTATGTTTTTTTGTACAGAGTGTACATTGACATGATTTGTTCTTCGGCTCTATGAAAAAAATAGGCTTCCATAAAATGTATGTTAAAAACCACTCGAAATGTATTATTCTCGTCTATTTACATTAAAAAGTATTTTTAAGTATTTTTTAGTACTAGTATAACAATTTCAATTTTTTTTATATAATTGTGTGCATAGTACCTAATAAGTATACAGAAATGATTTTGTATCAAAGAAGTGTAGAAAGAATTTTTTTTATTTAGTTTCGTATTTGAAAATTTTTGTGTATGAATTTTTTAATGAACATTCTCTTGAATTTAAAGCTACTTTACATATCATTTGTATTATTGTTTATATTACAATATATTTGCACATACATGTATGTATATATACAAATGATCCTATTAAGTAAGAGTTAAAAATTTACTTCAAATATGATTTTATGCGATATAAATTGGTGTTTCTACACATAAAAATACACAATATATTTAATTTTAATTGAATTTTTGTTTGTGAAGTTCAAGGTATTTGTATGAAATTATATATGTATTTAAAATAAAATGTCAAACCTCCCTGACCCCGAAATTCTAGTGAAACCATAAATATAAAGTGTAATCGATAATATCAGATGCAGTTGCATAACTTCATCTATACAAATTGAATGTAGAGCTTTACACATATACATGGTATCCTAATTCAAAAAGGTATTATAAAATCTCTGGAATTTGCATCACATTCGAAAATGATAAGTATAGATTTTCACTGTAAAAAGAAAGCAAAGAACGTGGAAAATCGAGCCTTTTGTAAAAATTTTACTGAAAAGTTTTCAAAATTAACTAGTAAATAAATTGAAAGCAAAATTTTAACAGCAAAAAAGCTTTTTTTTTCTTTTTTTTTGCTAAAAATTTGTCTTTTAGATTTTTGTAATAAGCGTTGGTTTTAATAAACTACAGACTTAACATACACTAAATTTTTAATTTATTTAAATAGAATAGTTGTTTCAGCTGAAGCTCGAATAGAATAACATACGAGCAATTGTTATAAGAAAGTTCTATTATAAGAAAGTAATATGTTAAAGTCAACACAATTTTAAAAAATTTAAAATTTTGAAACTGTTTTAATGTTTCTCTTATTAAAACATGGTAAATATATAGTATAGGTAAATTGTTTAAAATTAATATGCTAAGGTTCGATACTCAATTGAACTACAAATATAAAAAAACAATGTTCAACATTGTAAAGTTGCTTGTTTGAATTAATTAATACTTTGAATTTAGCAGATTTCCCAATTACACTTATTGAAATATCCTTTAATAAATCATATCAAATAGATTGGTGATTGTTATTATAGAACTATGCTCTCACTATTATATTTTTGTACCTACACTGAATATTTTAAATGTAAGGTTTTTCTACAAATAGTTTATAATATTGTATATATAATAATTTTTAATACACAACATAAGGCTTGTAGTCGAATATTTATTGTAGCTACATTATTTTATTATATTAGAAATAAAACAAAAATATTAATGTAATCAGATAATGAAAACCAAAAATAGAAAAAAGATATACATTAAAAAATATTATTTTAAATCTAAATTTTTATATATCCTATATATTTTAGTTTTGATGTTTATATTTTTAACTAAATAAAAAACTATACTATACACAATAGAAGAAAAATTTTTAGTATTCCAGTTCATCTTCGTCATCACTGCGGCACAAAAGTTTTCTAAAAATGTGAGAGTTTAGGGATGATAACATATGTCAATATATTTTCATACTTTAAAATTCATAAAAGAAAACCTCTTGAAATAAGACTCGTATTAAAATTATGTTTTATTTTTGTTTTGCAAACTTGGTAATTATTGATTTATTTTTTTGGTAATTTTTATAAAAAATTATAAATTTAAAAAAAATTTGTATATTTATATGAGCATTCTGTTTTTACGAGAACTATTTTACTGGAGTATTTCTTCCAAAATCCTTTTTGATAATCATAGTCCTTCCAATGATAAATAAAAATTGCTTTATAAGTTTTCAATTAACTTACATTGACAACATAAATAGTGACCAATATCACTGCGTTATGTATATAGTGATAAAATTGACAACATAAAAGTACAATACATATGTACATATTTCGAATAATTTAAAGTTAAATTTAATAAATTTGATTATTACAATTTATCTTTTTTGAATTTGATTTTCTTAAAAAGTTTATAAATTATACGTACATTTTTTATGTACATATATAAATAGCTTAATCAAATCATCAATTATCTTTCTGAAATGTCATTTGCACATCTCTTTGAAATTTGGTACATGCTACATACAAGAAACTTTGCTCAGAAACTAAATTTGTGCTTATGGCTGAACTTGTTTATACGAAAAACTTGACACAAGCAAACGAAAATCATGCAATTTTCGATTTGTTTATATGTATATGCTGGTTATATTAATGCAATTTTAATAATAAAAAAAAAGGATCTTGAAAGAAATTGCGATTGAGACAAAAACAATATTTAGTAAACATACATACGTATGTATGTAAATATTTGGAAATTGAAAAAATATTTAAAATATAAATGTTTAAAAGGACACTTTAACGAAAGTAGCTATATAGTAATCATAAAGATTTTTTTTGTAAATTCTAAATATTATAACGAATCTTACTTCCTTATGTATTCTTGTAATTTTTATAAGTATGTATTTTAAAAATGTTAAAATTAAAGCAAACAATTTTAGACTTTTAAATCATAGACATCTTCAATACTAATAAAATATTATTTTATGTCATCAAACTATCAAAGAAATTATCATGCTTACTTTTTTTTTAAAATGAAATATGATATCACTATTTATATGTATTATTATATTACAAACTGTATATGTATAGCGCGTTATATAGTTAATATGTATTTAAAACATGAAATAAAATAATGATGAGGTCTAAAATTGCATAATTTTGTTTTGTAAGGGACAAAGAATAGTTATATTGATATAATAATAATTAATTATTTGTGTATATATGAAACTACTATATGGTATAAATTACAAATATAGTGATTATGGCAAATATGTTATAAAATATTTAAAAAAATTACACTAAATACGGTTTTAGTTTTGTTCACAGGCAAAATTTAAATTAAATACAACTTTTTTACATTATTTTAAATATGTATAAAATTACTGAAAAATAATTTTGATTGAAATTTTTATAGGCTTTTTTGAAGAAAATTTAATATATTTTAATATATATTTGCAGTTTAATAAGTTCAATAAAAACGTATGATACAAATTTATTACTTAATTATTTAATAAATTTACTCATGTAACATATTGTATAAAGTACATAATTTTTGAATGTGTGTGTATATAAATATTTTTACGTATTATAAAAGAAACGAAAAAAGTGTATTGTATATGGTATTGTAATTAAATTTACTATAGTATATGTATGTAGGTAAGACGAAAAACAGCTTAAAAAACGTAATCATACCTTTTCTAAATTTTGTAAAGAAACTCTTTTAAATTACTCAGTAAAGAAAAGTTTGAAATTTCATAAACTTATATGTTGAGTATATTTTTAATTGATTCAACTTTAATCACAACAGATCGTCTCCGCTTTAAACATTGCATGTAAGGAAATTTAATGAACATGTTGCGGTTATTTGACGTTTAGTAAATAACACATTAATTTCTTTTATTTCATCCGACATTAAATAAAAATATTTCTATAACTCTTTTGATGCAATGTTGATTGGTAATGAACATGAATTTATGTTAAATGTTAGTTTGAAGAGCTAAAATAATTTATTGGGATAAAAGTTATATATTGCAATTTTTTGTGTAATAAAGTATTAAGAATTTTGCATAAATTGAATTTTGAACTTTTGAAGTTTTCAATAAACAATATAAACAATTTTGTTAAGAATAAATAAGAATTGATTTTGTCAGTTGTATTATTGCATATTTATTTATTTGTCTTGCAATATACATATATAAATTAGTTTTTTAAATTCCAAAATGAATATTAAAGATACTTTAATATGGTAAACATTTAATCTATTTTTTAAGCTGCTGTTTAACTTATATAGGAAATTTTAAATAATACAATTTAAAAAAAAAACACGTGCTTAATTTTAATTTCAGAACCAAATTGATATAAAACTATTTTATAAACACATGTGTTGTTGCAATAAAAATACTCATATACATTATATATCACAGTGTAACACAACATTATATGCACATTTAAAAACATAATACATAAAAATCACATTCGTATCAGATTAATTTAGTTTCAGTTTTTCTCATTAATTCAATAGTAATCAATTATGAATCATTTTACGTTTGCTTAAATCAAAACATAAGTAATGCAATGAAATCTTATATTTTAAGCTTCTAAACACAGAACTTGAAGTTGGTCTAAATTAATTCAATCAAAGTGTTTTTTGCATCTACGGCTTAAAATTTCAAATAAGAGATTTTTTAAAAACCTGGAAATACTGAAATCAAATTACTTTACAATATAGATTCAAAAATAATTTAAATTTTTGAGAATTATACATATATAACTCAAACATAAACCTTTTTCATTTGTAAAATACGAATTTATCTATATATAACAAGTAGCAATTAATGTATTTTAACTGTAATTGGGTAAGAATCATTACAAATTTTATGTTACTGCAATAGTAAAAGTTATTGGTAATTGATTATTATTGAAAGAGTAAGCTGAGTTTTTTAAAATTCTTATGCTCCCTTCCTTTGGAGTTTTGGCGTTGTTCGTGCGAACAGCCATTTAATTTAGTTATACATTATTTCAACATGAATTTTAATTTTAATAAGTACGTTTACAGAAATTAATAAAACAAGCACAATTTTTTTTTAAATTTGAAATTAGCGGGATTTAGTTGCGTGTTTATATATTATACGTTTTATGTTTCATTAAACCAACTTTTTTTTTTGTTTTTTTAAACTACTGGTACTTAGCCCATAAGAATTGGTTGCTGTTTTCTATTATGTATATAGTTTTGTATTGGGCACAAAATTTTTATAAAGCACTGCAATATAGTTAGCTACATACTGTTAATATTTTACAGAATCTCTGAAAAAAATTAATATAATTGTCTTAATTGAGCTTTAATTTATAAAATATTTTAACAGATGCTTAGTATGTTAGAAATTGATTTAATTGAAAAAGTGTTAGATGAGAAACTTACTTATTGTTATAGAAAATAAAACTTATTTTTAAATGCACATGTTATCAAAGTTTAAACATTATAAATTAAAAAAAAAAATTGACAATTATCATGTTATTTTTCTACCTTCTTTCTTTTGTGAACATTTAAATATTTCTTCTATTATTATACTCTTGTTATTTTATTTAAAAAAATACCTATACGGTAAATTATTTATTCAATACAATCATATATGAAATATATGAAATAAAGTTAATACTCGTAATAATAATATTAATCCTTGAATATTTTTATTTATACAAAACACTCCAAATACAGTTCATTTGAATTAAAATAAAATTGCTTAGGGAAGATAAATTTTTAGTTATTTCATATAATAATAAAAAAGGAGATATCAAATAACGTTATGCTGCAAATAAACTTTATTCTATATTCAAAAATACACATGTATACTTTTAATCAAAAAAAAACTTAGGAAAAATTTTGTTACAATTTATTAGTGCAAAAACATTATACAAGATAAAAATACATTAATAATTAAGGAATATTGCATTTTGTGCTTTACTACCAAACATATACATAAATAGGCATGCAAACTTTTTCTTTTAAAAAAATAATAAACGTATATGTATGTAACATTAAAACCTTTGAATTTGTTTGTATAAATTCTGTTAAAAAGGTTGAGTGTATATATAATTTAAAATGTATTTAAAAATTTCTATTCTAACAATTATTATATTTTTGTAAGTATTTTAGAAACTTTTAAGCTCAATCTTTTATTTATATTTAAATATATGTACACACATATGATCATATATATATATATATATAAATTTTTTTTTTAATTTTTAAAAACTAGAAACTTAGAATCTTACAATTATGTCTTTGAAAGAAATCGGAGTTAACCAATTACCTACTTATTAAGCATATAAATATAACAATTTATTTACATACACGTAAGTTGGAAGCTAAGTCAATTTTATGTGTTACGTATCTAACAAATATTTCATTAATGAACGTAGAAGGAATATAATTTTTGTATAATGATATCAAATATTGGATATAATAAATTTACCCTAACAAAATTGTACATTATGGAAACAGTTTAAAATTCATTTTGAGGAATGCAATTTTATTTCAAATCATAAATGAAAAATGTGTACTATATACCTTCAATTATTATAAAATAACTTTTCAAAAAAGAATTAAAATTTAAGGAGGAATATACCTAAATATACCTAAAATTTCTTTTCCATTTTCTTAAATTAACATTTTTTCTTTATTACATAAGAAACCAAAACTAAAGTAATTTTCCATATATTTTACGAGATATTTATTGTGTAAAAGAAATTAGTTTAATTTTACAAAATGAATTTTTGTTAAAATTTTTTACGAAATTCATAGTTGTAAAAACATTAAGAAACTTAAAGTATTTCTATTTAGTTTTAGTATTTGTAAGAATCTAAAAATAATATTATATAAATTTCTCTCAATAGGAACAGAAAGAAAAGAGTATTTTAATTGAATAAAAATTACAATAAAAATTGGTAACTTAAAAATTTTTTTACAATAAAAAATAGTGGATAAGCTGTTAAAATAACTATAAACGAAGAGTTAATATACAATATTATCAACAAGATAATATTGTATGTCAAGCATTGATTCAAAAACAGGTATTTATCAAACTTTTATATACGCATGTATGTATACGGCAATTTTTCAATTTGTTGGTCATATTTATATTATAGTTAACTACAAACTCAGTATTACCCATTAAATAAAATTCTAAAAATTTTTTTTTGATTTTTTATTTTTACTCGTATTACATCATGTAGAATATTTGTATGAAATATTAGAAATAAAATTAGTGTTTGTATATTCAAAATATTTTAAGCTGTATTGTCGAAAGGCAATAAAACGAAGAATGCTTATGTATCAAATATTGGAATACTACATGTGGTTATTTTCAACATACTTCAATTTTTGATTTTTGACTACTTTTTTAATTACAATAAGATTCATAACAGATCCTCAATTTTTCATGCTTCAAATTTCTAGATTTATGTTTTGAGTTTAGTCTATAAATGTATGTATGTTTAATATTGTATTTGAATTGGTACAGATTCAATAATTTCAGAAAATTTTGAGTTGTTTTGGAAATATATCTGCGAATTTGTTTAATGATTGTTGACGATTATTTTATTTTATGTAATGTATGGATTGACGGTATGAATTTTAAGAAAAAAATAAAAATAAAAATCAAATACAAATATAATGCCATCAACATTTTGATAAGTATAAAATATGTAATCATATTATATATATATGTACATATATGTACATATATAACTAGAGTAATAATCAAACAAAAAACAAAACATTAAAATTCTTAAAATATTAAAACTAAATTCATACAGAACGAGCAATACCATTTTATTAATTTGAAAAAAATAAACGAATTTTTTAATAACGTATGTAAGTATATATTAATGTTATAAAATGAACAAATTATCACGAAAGGCATAATGTAGATAAAACTTTAATGACTAAACAACTCACTCTTCTTTTGTCGGATATTTATCTTCATAAAGACGCGATTTGTTACATTTCTCGCAACAAGGACAATACCAATAACTTAATACCCCAATTGATATAGCAAATAAAACATTTGGAATTATCAATGATAAAATCAAATGGGTTAAATTATCATTCCAAGAATATCTTCCAATTACTAAATCCGGATAAGCACGACTATAGAAACATGGAAATGGTTCACCTAAATGATTATATCTGAAAATATATATGATTTGAATTTTATCAACTTTTTCTTTCATGTTTTATCATACCCATATTTTTTTGCAAATACACTACAATTAACACTCGGAGGATAACCACATCCTTCAGAGTTAATTAAAAATTTTGTGTTGCTTACATCCCATAAAATTAAATCTAAATCTTGAGGTTGTTCTTGCCACTTTTCAAAAGGTATTTTTGTGTAATTTACTAATAGTTGGTGACATCTAAAAAAAACACAATGTTGTCACATATTTTTTTTTATTGAATTTCATTTACTTTATGGGAGCATTTGTGCAACCTTCCCGACAAGATGCCCATGTACAATTTCTAATTCCTTCGGCATAAATATGATCTGTAACAACACATGTCACTGGGATGGGGTCAAAATCAGCGATAATGGTAGAAATAGCTGGATCAACCACGAAAGGAATTAAAAATAAAAATGCAAAAACTGAAACAATTGCAGTGGTTCCTACAAATAGAAAAAAAAGAATAATACATATATGTAAAATATTTTGAGACAAAAAAAAATGAAAATATAATTTTAAAACACATGTATACATAATTATATGAGTCACAATTTACGTGCGACATATTATTTGAACTGTACTTACATTATACATATTATATATATAATTTTTTATTCAGGGTGTTTCGCATTGTTCTAAAGTTATTTATATGCAGGAAACTTTATACCATTTATTTATATTCAGGAAAAATATGGTATCTTTATTTTTCAGTGGACTGTAGCTCGAAAACGAGTATATCTGCTCCCCCCTCACCCATACAATTTTTTCCTGGAAATTAGTCAAAGAATCGCCTTTGAAATTATTTGTCATCTTATGCGAAACACTCTGTATAAGCTAAAAAATATTTTGTTTAAATTAATTACCCATGCAAAGTGATGTATAGAATTTAGCTTTTTCAGCAAATGTTTCAATAATTTCTGATTTATTTTCGGAAGCAATACTGTGTGTTTTGGAACGATTACTATTTAAGCTTACTTTACTTCCGGTAATACTAGGGCTACCTCCAGGAGATGAATTAGAAATCGAAGCAGATCCGGTTGGACTTTTCATTTTCGATTTTTTGATATTATATTATATAATTTTAATGTTATATTTTTCTTTTTGTTATTAGTTTCTATAAAACACGCGATATATTAATTACTGAAAAACAAAACTTATTGTTTCATACATAAAATAATAAACTAAATTTTACTTGGTTTTTTTTTATTTAAAACTTGTAAAATTTTGTCTATTTTAGAATTTTTTACTTGAAAAAAAAATTAAAGTTAAATTTTTTATATAATTATGTATATTTATTTTATGTATAATGAAATTATCACTATATCAATTTAAAAATTGATTTGACATTCAGTTGAATTTTATTTTGCTCTATTAAATTAATTTCATTTTAACCTAAATCTAAATTTGTTAGATTTATTATTAAATGTATTTTACAAATACTTTATTACATTTTGTTTTTCATTTGATGGTAAATTATTTTGTTAATGATTGACTATTTATAAGCATGAAAAATTTCTGCACACATTCATGTAAATTTTTACACTTTTTATCAATTATCACATTTTTATCATATGTTAATCTTTGATAATTGTTCTTTTTTTGTATGTTCTTATCGGTTAATGGATTTTTGTTTCTAATTGTTCATTTCAGATTATTATTATTTTGTTATATTGATCATTATTATTTTTTACACATATTTTAATATTTATAGTTAATTTTGTCTCAATTAAATGATTTTTTTTTGTTCTTGTACATTTTGTTTAACCACGCATTCCCCTAATTGATCATCGAATTGTCCTCATAAACCAAAAAAAGAAAATTTTTTCTCAAAATAAAAAAAGAAAACTAAATGAAAAATCAACAAAAATGGTACCAATTTAATTTAATCCAAAAAAGAAACTCTTTTAAAAATATTAATTTAATCTTTTTTATACAAAATTGTTTGTTTTATTATTTATTAATAATATAAGATAAAAATTGATGCTGTTTAATTCAAAATTTATTAATTTACTAAAATTTCAGAACAAATCACATTTTTTTTATTAAATTTTATTGTTTAGCTCTTTTATTTTAATTGCAATATGTGAAGACTAGTTAAAAATGTTCGTGTTATATCATTTCGCAATTAGCAAAGAAATATTATTAAAAATTATTTGTATTATGCGGTACTAAATTTTATGTTTTATTTTTTTAATGAATTAAGAATAAAATTTATTGTAATGAAAAAACTCCAGGCTGGTGTATAGGACTGTCTTCTTGCAGTAGAGGAATGCCTGAAAATATAGAGAAAATTTGAAAAACTTGAATTTTTAAGATGTTTTTGGTTGAACTAAGTGTGCATCTAAAAAACAAAAAAAATAATATTTACTGTATTATTCAAATTAATGTTTAACAAAATTCTAAACCTCTAAAGTAAAAAAAAATATAATAAATTTAAAAAATTATATATAGTTGTCATATATACATTTATATATGGTTTTATAAACCTGTTATTAACATTGGAGTACATTATAAAATGTCCTATAAATAATTTGCTGTAAAAAGTGATAAAATGATTTTACTGAAAATTTATATATTACTTTATAGGCTCAAAAGCATGTTATTATTAGATTAATTCTACATAAATACTTATATTCATATATGTATATACGTTATTACAATATATAACATAATATAAATAATACGCTATTTAGATATACTATACACACTGTTATATAATGATGTAATATATGTAATGATTAATTACTTTTCTTTTATTTTTTAACTATACTGCAATACATAATTTCTCACCCAATATTCTTATATATAAATAACTATGAGTTTCTGTTTAAAACTATTACATCTTAAATAAATATACATATGTATTATTCATTTCTACGAATTTTTATTCATATTCAAGAAACAAAAAAGAAACTATAAATTAAAAAAAAACTGTTTCTTTCTTTTTATTTAATTTTCATTGTTCCAATGCATATACTTATTTATAATACAATTGTTTTTTAAATATGTATGCTTACAATTTGTAATAAGTTTCTGTTTCTGTATATTCAGCAGCTCTTAATAAAATAAATCTTATTAAAATTAAAAAAAGGACAAAAATCTTACGTGACGGATCTCAAAGCGCCATTATGTTATCTCCTCCACCAGCATCGGTCACATCGCGTTGTGAGTTTGCTATGTCATTTTTTGATGCTAATATAGTATCGGTATCAGCACATCCCTTAAATCTCATTTTAGCATCATCTCCAACATATATAGTTTTTTGACATAATAATAATACTAAACAAGAGACTACAAATAATGTAGATGGTATTACAGAAGCTACTAAAAATTGTTTATATGTTAAATCTAAATCAAAACGTGCAACAACAATATTTTTATTTGATGGAGCATAAAAACATGGGAAACGTGCTCTTGCATTATGATCTGCGCCATCACGTCCATACTCTTTTAAAAAGAATGCACACTCATCCATTAATGTATTTACACATCCTTCTAAATTTATCATAAGTTTTGATTCATTTGAAATTGTCAAATCTAAATCTGGTGGTGCAATTTCTGGTACTGACATTCCCATTGCAACATGCATATAATTTAAATATGTAAAATTTGTTAAATCTTGTAACATATTTTTATCCAATACGGTTCCATTAATGCAATCAACTGCTTCAACCTGATCCGAAGTATTTTTTATTAAAAAACATGACACCATAACCACATTGTCAGCTGATTCATTCCAAACTTCTTCTTGAGTTTCTGTATTTATAGCATTTTGACATTGCGATAAATAAACTTTATCGCCACTCAAAATTACAATCTGTAATTTTATTTTGTTTTATTTATATATAGTGCTTGATACTTGTTGTTTGGTAATTATTCCGTAAAGAGTCAAAATAAGGTCAGTTAGATGACCTTCCCTACAGGGTTAGTAATTTATTTCAATAAATCATATTCACGTGATTTGGGCAATATAAGTATACGCATAACATATATAAAAAACGTAAATTTTTGCAGAAAAAGTACTGTTAGGAATTCACAAGACCGATATAGTGATTCTAATGGCTGATCTGAACGCGAATATGGATAACCATAGCAAATTGTGGGAATATACGGCATACAGAACGGAGAAAGGCTGATAGAACTTTGACAGGCTTTCGAACTCAGCATACAGCGGTACTAACTTACCTAAATAACAACCTAGTGGCAAATAAGGAAGCCCAGCTATCCCCCACGACCAAGCCAAGAATATTTCGGTCCTGTGTAAAATCGGCTCTATTGTATTTCGAATATTTTAGCTAAAATATATAAGCAACGAAGATAGAAGGTAGACAAATAAGAAAAGGAAAGTAAAGATGAATCGGATACACTTTAAGAAAACCAGCCACTAAAATCGCTATAATGGGCTTTGAAGCGATCCCACAATGTTCAAGAAGATCCGAACGTAAAGTCAGAACTAGAAAGACGAGATCTAATATATATAATTGGATAATAATATTATCTAATTTATAAATTTATTATTATTAATTTTGTCTAATTTATTTTAACGAGAAATGTAATATTCTATTTCTTGCCAAAATAAATTAGTCAAGAAAAGATTATTCTATGGAATAAAGAATATGCAAGCCCTATGTTCCCCAGAGGAGTAAGGAAAAAGAAAAAGAAAAACATTATTTCAAAATCCAAAACTTGTGATTTGAAAAAAAAAAATTGCCTTTCCCAGGAAATGAAAAGTGTAAGTAAAAAACTTATAGTTTACAGTCGTATACTTACAGTCGTTTTCTCGGCCTTCATATCACATTGATAAATATTTCAAGAGATATATGACTATAATCTATTCATTGGTCCTATATAAACTATTTAGTGGTCCAAGACACGACTGCCTCTTACGCTCGAAACCACGAACGGTCAAAGTTGCCTCATTTATATGGAATATTTACCAAATGTTATATATATTTATATATATACATATATTATGTATATATATATAATATATATATACATATGTATATGTGTGCTTCTATATGTGTTGTAATGGTGATGCAGAAAAGTTCGCCTTTTGTAAAATTAGTGTATGCAATTAACAATGAAATGAATTCAAAAATAAATAAAGGAAATTTTGAAAAGTGTAGCTGTATATACGTATGTACAGTATACCATGTGTACTCGTACGTAATAGTAAATTTAGACTGTTAATATAATCTTACAAAATCCACTTTATTTTAAAATTCTGATCGATAACAATATTTAGAATAAAAAAAATAAAGGTTTTCCAAAAATAAATTCTGTGTTAGACAAACTTTATGATTGCATTATAATTGCTGGCCTTTAGAATTTTATTCAAATACTTTCAATAAATTTTATAACTTGAAAAATGACATAAAATATAAATTTTATAAATTATTTAGCCCTTGTTCTTGAAACAAAGACGCATGAAATGTATAATAGGTTGGATTAAAATATGTACATAAGAGCATGACATATTTGTAGTTTTGTGTTGTACAATGGTTTAAATCACGTCTTTGCACACAGCAGTGTAATGCTTTTAGTTTGAAAGCAAAATGTTCATAGTAATGTAATGTAAATGCTATTGACATTCGTTATGAGCAATGCCCATAAACTTACAGGGTGAACACACTGAACCTTGCAAGTTTAAATAATCTGAAAATTTTCACGTAATTATATGAGGAATTTTAAATGAAAAACGAGAATGGATAGAGTGGACTGTAATAAAGTTGAAGGAGGTGTGCTAGAAAAATTTATACCTTTTTAATTTTATGTTTTGTAAGTAGTGATCCTTTTGTTAAAATATTTCGTATATAACTTGAAAAGTGCAGTTTGAACACATATAAAAAATATATACATATGCATATATTTGTTGTATAAAATACATGTTATAAAAAACATATGTCATTCATATATTGCTACACAACATTTCATAATTACTCTTACATTTTTATTGCGTGTTGGTATATCTACACATCTTCGGTCACAGTTATATGGTGTTCTAATTTTTTTACATGTCCCCCGATTACAAGAAAATAACCCCTTTATATCCATACACGTTATTTTACCACGTCTCCCAGAACATTTTAATGATTCACCAGTATTGTGAAAAATACATTCAAATGCATCTGTTATATTTAAACATTGCCCTTCAGTACAATTAAATGTTCCTGTTAAATTTTTGCATTCATCCATAATACAACGAGCTTTGTCTGCACGATCTTGATCAATACCATAACATGTTTTGTTAGCTGAATTAGTACAATTTTGAAATGTCAAATTTGTACCATTATTTCTTAAATTAACATAAATTTGATTACAACCGCCACCTGACGTTTTACTTAAACACCATTCACCACACGAACACCAATCGGCTGAATCTGGTCTTGCGTTTCTTGTTGTCGTACACATGACTGGATTTTCATCAATACCACTTTGAAATGCACGTGTTGATGGCATATATATAGCTACAGTTAAATATACTAAAGCCACTGAACTTAAAACCAGTGTCATTTGACAAACACATATTGTACCGCATATCCTTTGATCTTGTGGTGGAATTATTAAATCTTCAACAGGAATTTTTTTCTTTTTACCCATTTTTTATTTCTTTTTTTTGCCTTTCTTCTTGTTTTCTTGTACAAAAAAAAGAAATATTAAAATTTTTGTTTTCTTCTTTATATATATATATACATATATATATGTATTTATTCAAAAATAATTTTTTTTTTAATTATTATTAACATTAAAAAAAGCACATGATTAGAGAAAGAAATTCCAAGTCAAAGTTTAAATAATCATCTCGTACGTTACATAAATAGGTAAGTAGTATATAAATGTGGGTATTTTTTTAATACTTCCGTTAAAATTAAGTTGAAAAAAATTTTAAATCAATCAAATGTTTTTTTTTTATTATTTTGGTATAATATTATAAAATTAATAATTTCTGTGGAAGATAAATAATTTAGATAGCTTTTTACGTTTTTGCAGTAAAGTTACATAACCAAAAATATTTCACGCGATTTTTTAACTTTTTTGATTTTTTCCAAAAATATTTCCTTTAATACGAATGAATAATAAATGGAATAATTTTCTAAATACTAGGAACAAACTTTATTTTTATGTTTAATTGAATCTTTAAATTTTTTTTTTTAACTGGTACTCATATTTTATCACTTTTTTCCATACTTCTTAAAATTATGTTTTTGTTGATTTAAAAATTATAATATTTTCATGTATAAAAAACACTTATGCAAAATTTTAGTTTTTCTCTACTTAAGTATATTATTAGTTCTTATTTGAAATTTAAAAAAAAAAGTATGCTATTTTCTTTTGTTATTTTCTTAGGAAAAATCTCCTAATTTAAAAGATTTTTGTCAACGTAAAATACAAAAATGATTTTATTTAATTTTTTTGTTTTTTGAGGTTGCAGAATATAATAAAAACAGATTTATAATGTTAAATCATGTTTAATTCAAAAAGCAAAGAAAAAAAGGAAATAATTTGAATTTTGTGTGTATAGCATGCTAAAGAAATCAAGTTTATAGGTTTTTGTTTTCTATAAGGAAAAAAGCCTCTGCAGAGAGCCTTTTTTAAATTTTTTTTATTGCGCGCGCATCAATCGATATAAATCTTACTATAATATAAAAATTTTACTTTATATATGCATATTGTATGTGTTTGCGTATAAATGCAATTAAAAATATATGAAAAAAAAAAATAAAGAATAAAAATAAAGAAACAAAAAACCTCTGCAGTTACCATATTATTAAACTCATGTCCTGAAAGCCTTCCTTTTCCTTTTTTACATTATACCCATCATAAGTATACTAATTTAAATTATTTTAGAACGGTATAAATATGCAAAAATACATTACAAAGAAGTATTTTACATTAAAACACTCCTAATTTCGTGTTTGTTTTCTTTTTATTCATATGAATTTAAATGTTAAAACAAGTCATGAACATTACGTACCAAAACTTTTCCTTTCATTGTTTTAATTTTTTTATTTGTTTGATTTTTATTTAAGCTAATTATTATTTTATACGGGTTAACTTATACCAACTATAGAATTATTGTTTTTTCAGCCATAAGATTTTATTAACGCCTAAAATATATTGTATATATTTATGTATTAATAATTTATTTTTATAAAATGCAAAAATCTTATTTATATTTCAACATAAAAGCAAGGGGAATAATGTTTCAAATCGAAATGCACTGAATCCTTGATTTACTAATTAGGTAAACATCCGATCCAGTGAAATATACAAATTTACATAGAAATTACGTAAATACATAGTATGTAGTTAATAGTATAAATATAGTATATGTACACTATCGCAAAGCAAAATATTTTTATTTCAATGGTCCGTTTGGTACTTAAGTTTAATTTTAACAAGATTTGACTATTATCCAACTCAAATAATGGTTGATCCATACTATAGTGTATTGGGATTAACACATACATTTTTAAATTAAATTAAATTTGATTATAAATTGTAACGCTATTTAAAATGTAATAAGCCAGGTTAAGGTGTTTTTTAATCAACCATTGGTGTTTATAAGCATTAAACTAATGAAAAATTAATTTTCATCATTTTATCAAATAAACTAAAAATTTCAATTAATTCTATCAAAATGTCTATTACAAGCCTTTTTAATATAAGTTTTTTATAACATTTTTGTATAAATTCTTATACTAATAATACTGATTCCGTTTTTAATTTATGAAGTCGTAGTTAGAGTAAAGAGTTTTTTTAATATTTATATGAAATGTTTTTATAAATACAAAAAATTTTTTATTTGAAAAAAAAAATTTTACATATGAACTAATTTAATAATTAATTTTATAAAAAAAACTATAAAACTATAGTTTTAGCAGTAAACATTATGTGAGCTTACCTTAGAACTGAAATCCTTGAATGAATTATATTTATGTATATAAATATATTAATTTATAATATTTTATAATTTGTTTCCTATTTCAGTTTAAATTTTTTTAAAAAAGTTTTATTTTAAAGGAAAATGTAAACACACATTCTTCGTTCCTATTGTCATATTATGTTATTACGTTTAGGTTTTGTCACATATTTATATATGTATATACATAATATGTCTCTATATTATATGTGTGTATCTTATATTTATATATATTTATTTTTTTGGATAATAAGTACTTTTTGTTGGAGTAGTAAGAAATATTTATTTTTCAATTACATATGTACATATATAGCAGTAGAATTAGCTTTTTTTTAACATTTTAAATGTTTGCACATGCTCACTTAAAAATAATTTTCCTTTCAAAAAAAGAATTTCTGCTCTTTTTTCCTTTTGGTATTATCGTTATTTTAATGTTTTTAAAGTAAAACAATTATTTTTAAATATTAATATTTTTATATACTATTTGATTATACATATTTAACTCAAAGCAGGTATAATATACACATATATATAATATATATATATATGTATATATACATAAGTCGAACTCTATAATAACAACTTTTATTATCCTTGATTGAACTATGTTACATTTATCTATTGTGTATTATTTTTTATAATGTACTTATTAAATTTAATATTTATGCACAATACCCACATGTATATGTAAGTTTGTATTTACTCATTTGTTATTACGATTTAATAAAAATTACGAATAAAAATTTAGCACTCACATAGCACAATAATTTTAGGTTTACACTTTTTTAACTTAAAATTTTCTCTTATTATTTATGAATAATACAGTTTTTTTTCAGGTCTCATACTAGTTTTTATTTTTACAACTATCTTTTAAATTTAAAAAATATATTAATTTTAGTTATGGATAAGTTTAATATGTGTATCATTTTTGACTATCGTCAAATTTCAAAGATATGTTAAGTGTATTGGATTTGAAAAGTATGATTTTTCTCAAAAAAATTTTACCTTACACTTCTAAATGTTTTTATAAACACTAAAAGCTAACGAAATAGAAAAAGCTTAATACTAATTGTCACTAGGATATTGAGAGCTTTCTTATGATACTTATTTTTCTTTTTTATTAAGTTTAAAATCCACAGGAAATTTATTCAGTGAAAATCTTTTTCTTTTACCGTTAAAAACCGCAAAGCGGATGTCATTTTATTCTCTCGGTGAACTTTTTTTTTATTCAAAAGTTTTTTGAAATAAAAAAAAAAAAAAAAATATTTTTATTTCATTTTTAAACGTCCTTTTAAATTTATTTAAGATTCGATTTCAAATTGAACCATAAAATTTTGTCGTATTTTTTCAGCGTAAAATCCATGTATATCTAAAATAAATTAAAATTCAAATTATATTATAAAAATTTATAAAATTTAAAATAAAAAATTGAATTTATTTTTTAAAAAATAAATGTGCCAAGTTGAAAATTGTTTTTAAATATTAGAAAATCATTTAGATCCTTCATTTTTTCATGTCGTTTTAATTTTTTTCTTTTAGCTTTCTTAAATACTAAAATCAATTAGAGAGTTAAGTTTGCAAGTATAGTATATGTGTAAACATTTATGTATGTATTTATATAAATATAGATTGCAAGACGTCATTAAATAAAAAATTTTCAATGCGTTCATAGAAATTAGTTTTATATATTTGTTTGGTTGTCAATTGATGCTTTACATTTTATCATTAAAAAATTAATAATTGAAAAAAGAACAAATGCATCGTATTTAAATATATACATATATGTAGAATATAAGTAGTTAATTATTTATGAATCATACTAAAAAAACGTTGCGAGCATAGAAAAAGCAATAAAATTTTAAAAGTTTTAGAGAAACGTTTAAAATACGATCCATAAAACGTTGTTGTATTACAAAAACTAAAACAGGAATTCAAAAGAAAAATAAATATAACAAAAAATCTCACCACAGTTATATAAATACATAATACAACATAATATACAAATTTAAAAACATTTTATATAACAAAAATTTATAGTAAAATCACAGTTTTGTTGCTGAGAATTAATATTATTCAAGATATATAAACATATATATACATACATATATTTAAATAAATTTGTATAAAAAAGGTAGTGAATCGATTATTTGGAAGAATTAAGTACATGTAATATATTCAAACAAATATAATATAATGTAATAATAAATTACTGTTTAAAATCGAAATATATTTTACAAATTCTTTCAGCTTTTATTCTTTATTCTTCAGTTTCTTATTCTTTTCATATGTATGTATGTATATTTAAGAAAATAACAGAGTTATTAATTTAGTTTCTTTTTCTTATTTTTCTTATTATTTTAGACATTAGAATACAAAGGATTGTACATGATCATTATAACATGATAGCTACATATATATTTCGTATTTATTTAATTTTCTATTAAACAGTATGAAATGAGAAAAAGTGTTATTTACATAATAACATAAATATAAATGTATATGGTAATTTTTGACTTTTATGTTCACTGCAATGTTTTGTCTGGTTATATATTTATACATATGTATCTACATGTATTTTGAATGTAAATTAAATATCCTAAAATAATATTTTGACTTTTTTTCTCATTAATTCTTAGCTCGCCAAACGTCCTGAACTAATTTTATATACAAAAATATTGAAAGCTCTAACTGAAAGTCCATCAATGTTATAAAATACTATGATACTACATATATGTACAAACATATACATTAAAAATATTAAATGAGATTTAAAATAGAAAAAATGTCTTTTGATTGACTATATTAAAATAAATTTGAGAAACTTATGACGGGAAATTGAAAATTGCCATTACGTATATTATGCATAAGTTGCTTGTTTTGCAGATGTAATAATGCATGCACATATGTATATGTGTCTATAAGAATAAAAATATAGCGATGAAGTAAGATTCATACAATATAATAATGAAAAAATTTCAAAAACACGAAATAAATTAAAAAAGAATAAAAGAAAGATAAGCACTCAATATAGGAAATACTTCTTCTGGTTGTAGAATAAACGAATACCGTCCACTGCTACATTAAAAACACAAAAAAATATTTAACTTTAACTAATCAAAGGTTAGCTGGAAAGTAAAGCAGAATAATAGATTATTTAAAAAAAGGAGAAATAGATTAGTGGCGTTTAAACATATTCAATGAATTTGTTTGGTAAATATTATCAGAATTTAAAATGTAATGAATAAAAGTTTTTATATAACTTTTTAGAAAAGGAATATAATAGTTGATACAATTTCTACATCATCTTGATTTGGCTGTTCCTTATTACAATGAATATATATAATATATAATTTATGTATATGTTGTCATCGTGAATGCGGTAAGTTGTAATTTTACAATCGTGTATTTAAGAACTTCGTTATTTTCGTTTATAACTTAGTTTGTATAATGTGGTAAAATTATTTCTTATTATCTACTTTTTTTCTAAAGTTCTAATACAGGACAGAGAGAAGTGATAAATTATTTTATACTTATTTGTAGATATATATCCACATTATTTATACTTTTGAACATTAGAAAAATTTTTTTTAAGATAATCAGTCACTTTTTTTTATTATATTATTCTAGTAGAGATATCAGGAGCAATTTTTTAATTAAGTTTGAATACTATATGCATACGTATGCAAATACACGTATATATAACAGTAGTTACATATTATAGGAAATAACATCTATTTTTTTAATTGAATTTAGCCGCTTGATTATAAGCTAATGTTAAAGGTTCTGCTGAATAAAAAATGATATAAAATGAAATAAAATCAGTAATAAATGCCAATACCAGGGCTTTCGTTTGATTTGGATGGGGAATCGAAATATTCAAAAACAGGGGCCAATTTATATATTTCACTCATTAACATTTTATTAACATAAGAATACAAAATAAAAAGCAATAAAACAACACAAAAACTTTAAACAAAAATTATAAATACCAAAATAAATAAAATCACATAAAAAAATTTCACAATAAAAATTTAAACTTAAAATATGTATTAAAATATATATTAAACTTAAAATATAATTTTATATTGCACAAAATTTTTTTTTATTTAGAAATTATGTTTTTCAACTGAAAATTTTTTTTTGAGAATAAATACATATCAATATTTTTTTGGGTCTTTACTGAGGATCTAAAAACCTTTGAGTCTAAAAAGCAAAATGCAATTATTGTAAAGCGGACATAAATTTTCAAATCGGAGCCAAACGACAACTCTGGCCCATACCTGATCATGATCAGGTGAACGATGCGAATTCAGCAACATTTCATATTTTCATATAGGTGAATAATTCAATTTACCTAATTGAAAATGTTTCTACTTCAAGATATCAAAAATTAAAAAAATACTAGAACCTCAAATAGTTTTCCTATAATCAAAATACTTTGTTTTGATTCGACAAGCATGTCTTACAAAATTTTCACTCGGTTGACATTTGCTTAAAATTTAAACGGATAAGCAAATAGCGATTAGAAAATTTATAGTTCCCAAAAATATTATTCGCTTTGCTAATCGTGATAAGGTTCTAAATTGAAACAAAATTTTTAAAAACCTCAAAATAACCCATATTTTAGTTTATTTCAATATGTATTTTGGCAAATCATAATACTACATTTTACAATTTTAACATTTGTATTATTATTTTAAGCATTTATACTTTAAAATATAAATTTAATTTTAAAAAACTTTAATAAGAAAATCTTCCATGTACATATAAATTCATACATACCTACATATAAAGAGTTTCGGAACGAGAAAGGTATTGTTGTACACTCGAAAACGCAACTACATTAATTTAATAGAAGACATATTGTTTTTAATCTTTTACAACATTTAACATACTTATGTATACTTGGTTTATAAATTCTATGCACTTTAGAATTTTGAAATTAAAAAGCATTTTTTTGAATTTGTGCATGCAATCTGATTTTTTTAACTATTTGCAAAAATAAAAGAATCTTACTAAACTAAAGTTTTCAATTTAGTACAAAAATATTAAAAACGGGAATTTTTAAATTATGGGATAATAATTATGGGTGAGCACATTCAAGTAGCCAAAACTTTCATTTAAAAATATGGCAATTATTGTAAAGTTATATTGTATATTTTATGTACTTTGCAAATAGGCGAAATTGATTTATGCAATTTAAACCCACATTCTTCTTATGTTTCTTGCAACTTTAAAATTTGAATCATTTGTATTATATTGTGTTTGTATATCCATTAAATCACATAAAACTAATCATGCATTTTTTCAAATAAAAAAGTAAATTTATAATGATTTCGACCCTTTTATTTCCAGTTTGGCAAAAAACATTACACACACTATAAATCATTGAGGATCCTACATCCTATTATTTTTATTATTATGCATTATTAAATTGTTATTATAGACCAAAATAATATTGTCGAATATACAATATATTATATGAACACAAGCAAATGTCGAAATCAAACGAGCCATAAAAAAGGAACTTTAATGAGTGATTTATTATGCCACTAATCTATATTTTTAATATGACTCATCATTTAAGTCCAAGGATCACAAAGATTATAAAAGCAAATTAAACTTTTGCGAAAGTTGTTAAACATTAAAAATTGTAATATTGTAAAAATACTATTTTATTTTAATGTATTCAACGTTGAATAATAACTATACAGTTTTCAAAAGAGATGAATAACAAGAAAAAATAACAATGCCGTTGCTTTCTGAATATTCTGCATATATTAAAAATATAAAGAATTACTAGCCAACATGTATAAAATAATTAAAAAGCTTAACTTTCGTGATGTTTGTTCCAATTAAATCTAGTATAATAACATTATAGTAAAAGCTAAAAGAAAACTGTAATAAATAATAAATTAAAAGAAGGAAAATATAAGAAGCTAATTCATTTTAAAATTACATAAGCACATTAATTATCACAAAAATTAAATAAAAATTTTCAAAAAATGTTGAACAACTAAATAAATAGCTATTGAAACACATTTCATGCAAAATAATGACGATAAAAGGCTGCTAATAAACATTTTAAAAATTTGTTTAAAATATTTATTATAAATACATTATTTATAAAACATACCCCTAATATTTTTGTTAACCAATACAAATTAATCAATCGTTTCAATTAAGTTTAAAAAATGTGTTCATGCTATCAAGTTTTTTATATATAAAGTATTTTCGATCTAAAGCGGATTAAAAAAGCATAAGTAAATTTGTGTCAGGCAACAAATACTAAAAGAAAAAAAACCTTTTAAATAAAATATTTAAATAAACCCAATAAAACGATAAATATTTAGCCTGTGATATAATTAAAGCAAGATGAAATTTTAATACTTTTCAACCGAGCTATAACGAAAATGAATTAATGAATACATAAAAGTATATTAAAAAATTCAGGAAGAGAAAATAAAGTTAGAAAAGCACTTTTAATGAACCAGAAGATATTTACAGTTTCGTTGTTGTACAACAAATGAAAAATTAATAATATTTCTCCTATATATCAAATATTTTACTCAATTTTCATTGCCGTTGTAAAAATATTAAAACAAAAAATTTATATTATAAAATAAAAATTAGAAAGTTTAATTTTTAATAAACTGCAATGGGAGATGAAGTTGAAATTCGGACGTTACGTCAAAAACTTCTGTTTTATACAACAGCGTTCTTTATATTACTAGCCACGTTTAGCCTTTTCTCCTTTTTATTTTTGGTTCCATTTGTCATAGATCCAGCTTTTACTACAATATTTATGCAATTTGATGAAAATCCAGCCTTATGTATCACTTATCAAACAATACAATTATCTGGTACTAAAAATTGTACATGGTCTTCATGCCGTGAAGGATGCACACGAGATATTTATAATTGTACACAAATACGAGTTAATTATAAATTAAATTTACATAATTATACTGATGAATTTAATTGGACTGATTATCATCATAGATTAAGAATGAGTGAAACAGAACCACCACCTGTCAAACGTACAGATCGTTATGAAAGGGCGATACGTGAATATGATTATATTGAGAACGAAATTAACTTTGACGAAACGTCTGCTAATTTTATCCAATCTGATGAAAAAAATAATTTTCAAAATGCAAATGATAAATACAAAAATATTAGAAATAGTGAAAGTGCTTCTTATTACAACGCAAATAATGATCAAGAGAATGATATTGATGAAGACGGTAATCCATTAAATAAATATAACGACAATAATGAAAATAACGATAATATGGTTGATATTGTTGAGGGTTTTTTAAATGATTCAGAATGGTATTACGGTGGGGCCAAATTATTTCCAAATGTTAAGGGATGTGGTTATCCTCCAATGTTAAATTGTACTATATGGGCGAAACGTTATATTAAAGAAGGAACTAAGTTTCCATGTTATTATTCAAAAGTTGATCCTGGTCTTGTGATAAGTGATTTAGATTATTGGCAAAACACTTTGAATTTAGTATATTCAATGGCAATTCCAATACCATCATTCATAATATCCATAATTTATCTAACGTTTGCATATTTCAAAATATATAACGAAGATGAGGAAGCTGTGCCTTTAGATAAAAATGCTGAAGATATGGCAACTGGTGATGATGAAGAAGATTTACATAATTTTGATGATGATTGCGAATTAAATGAAGGAGATGATATAGTTGAGGTTATAATTCCTAACGGTATTACACCAATATCAGCTACGGGTTGCCTCATAGGTGTAAATCCAGGTTCTGGTCAAATAACTAATATTATAAATGGTAATGGAAATATTGGACCTTTAACACCAATGTCAAATATTGATAATTCATTTGGAACTCAGCTACAAATTAAAATGGCAGATGAAGCATCAAGAGAAAGTTTAGATAATGGAGCTTCAAATTCTGGTTCAATAGCAGGGTAAGTTTTTTTTTTTATAAAGGTAAGCAATTTAATGATTGACTTTTAAAAATAAATATTAAATATCTTCTTTAATATAATTTTTCTTTTGTAGTAACATTAGCAAAACAATGACAACAAGTATTTCAACGCCTCCTGGTCCTACTGCTGCTGTTTAAATAAATTAGAAATTATTAGACTCTATGCTAGACAATGTTAATATGGATATGCTATATTAAATTTAATTTTCCCAATATGAGCTAAGTTAATTGTTTTGAGGAAAACAAAAAATTTATGTACTTAAAATTTTTTCTTGCCTTATTTTTTTTTATTTCTTCTCAACACAACTACTATTTAATATCCCGATTCAGCAATATTTGAATTATATGTATATTTTGTAAACATTTATAAGATTGAATAACTGTTTTGATGCTAAACAGTTAAGCAGTAATTCTATGATTTAACAGAAAATTATCCTACAAACAAAAAGAATTTGAAATTGTTACTTACCCAAGAAGAATGACTTGATCTGGACATCAGAAGAAAAAATGCGCGGCTTTTTTTTGTCTTATTTATAAGTACTTTTTTTTGTAAATAAATTTAATAATATTGTATTATGTAACTAGTTTTGAACAAGAAAAACAAAAACTAAACAAAATACGTAGTATGTATATATTACATAGTAATACATATATATACATTATCTCTTTTTCAAAACTGTGGAATGTGAAATTAAAAAAATTTTCTTAAACTGGTTTTTATTATTAGAAAAATTATTAATAATTTACACAAAATAATTTAAAACCAATTAAATTAAATAATTAACAGCATTAATAAACAAACGTACGGACATATTTAGATAATAGCCATATGAATTAGAATGTGCCGTACTGCACTTTTTTTCAAGAAATAATCAAACCTTCATGCATTTGATTAACAATTGCTATTATTTTATAGTTATATACCTACATTAAATTGTTTTTTCTTAAAATATTTGAAAATTAATAATTAAATTTAAAAAATTATCAATACTCTTTAATTTTTTTTAAATTTTATATTTATCAATAATTTTAAACTTTGTGAGTTAAATTAATTGTATAATATAATTTGATTAATTTTTTAATTTATTATATTAATTCATTATTAATTTCAAAATGTTGTTCATTAAATTACAGTATCAATAGATTTTCGCAATAAAAGGTTATGTTTATATAGAGCGTCTATACAGTCATATCTCAAAATCATAACTGTAATAATATTATATTTCTAAACTCGTTTTTTTTATATATAGCTTATTAAAAATTTTTTTATTTTTTTTTTAGAATTTTTATATTTAACAATATTTATATTTTTCAAAATATGTTTTATAAATAAAAAGGAAAAAAAATCGATTTCGCTATCTCTAGTGTGGAAAAAAAATGCCTATTTAATATAAATCGACAATAATTGGCATGCAAAAGTATAATTAGCATACTTTTTCCTTAACACACTTGTAATTCAATTTTTGGCTTAATTAAAAAAAAAATCGTATAAAAATTTAAATATTATCGAATAATTATCATACAAAAAATCTTTGCTAAATCTATTAGAAAATTAATAATAATTAATTGTAAATTAATTATAAACCAAACATTAAGGAAAAAAGATATATACATATATATATATCCTTTATTTATATTATATAAACATATATATAATATATATATAATATATAATATATATGTTTATATATATATATATATATATATATATATGCTATATATATAAACATATATATATATAATATATATACATATAATATATATATATATATATATATAATATATATATATATATATATATATATATATATATATATATATATATATATATATATATTATAAATAAAAAGAACTTCAAATTTTTATAATTAAATTTTACTACTATCTGTGATGAAATGCAATTTTATCTTGAAACACGCTGCTATGTTTTAAGTGCATGTAATATAATAAATATAGTATATGTATGTGTATTTATGCCACTCTATATATATATATATATACATATTCATATATTTATATATAAATATATACTATATATTTACATATATAAAAATATTAACTTATGCATATATATTAAAAGCATCTAATTATTTTATTAACTCTAAAAGAATTTCATATTTTCTATGTTTAAAAAAGTATCCTTTTAAGTTAATAGAATATATGTATAGCATTTTATCGTCATTTCATAACCTTTATATAAATATTTTTTTTAACTTTTTACTTAAATAATTTAACTATTAACAAACTCTCTTTAATTATCTTTAATTTATTTATTTGGCACAGTAAATTTTTCTGTATTAATTTGAGATTAATTTAAACAAAGGTGGAAATCAATTCAATACATAAGTTAAGATTTATATAATATAATGTGCATGCAATATATATAATATATATATATATACATATATATATATGTATAATACATATGTATATATAAAAATACATATATATACGTATAATTATATATATATATATATATATGTATATTATATATATACACATATATGTATTTGAATACATTTTCAATATTTTAAAACTTTCAAAACACAGAATAAATACCACCGCCAACACTATTTTTAATGTTACTTTAAAATGCTAATAAAATGTTAAGGTACGGATTTTATTTAATAACAAAAACAAAATTTCCAGTTACATAAAATTGTAAAGTAAATTTAACACTATTTTAATTATGCTTAAATAAATAAAATTAAAAATTTAAAGTATATATAGGTATGTATTATATAGAGATATTTTATTTTATGCGAAATAGAATATAAGTAATTCATTTTTTTATATTGTTTGTAACATTTTATTAAGTATTCGTGTTTATTAATTATTGTAAATAATTTGTATTTAAAAAAAAATATATATTTTTGTTAACTTTTAATTTAAAATTTGAAATATCCTACTTTTCCTAAAATTTTTTAAAGAAGACAGAATACTTACCATTATTAAATATGAAAAATTTTTGATTTCTTTTATTCTTGTCTTAAAATTTCATTTTAGATAGAAGAATTAATTAAAAAATACTTAAAAAATAATTTTGCTTTTCTTTTAAAATAATTTTTCAATTTTTAATTAAAAGTGTAATAAATAACTATGTGCGTTTTAGAATTATAAAATTGATTACAAATATTGAATTTTATTTGGCAGAATTATTTACCATTTCAAATTTCTTTTATAAAGAACTACATATATTTTGGTTAGTGAATCAAACATAATAAATTTAATTAAGAACTTTATTAACTTTTTATGTTCTATATTTAAAAATGTGGTTTTTCCACTTAATATCTAGTTTTTTTTTATAAAATAATGACTAACGTATTAAAACGTTGTAAATTGTAACCGCCGCTTCATAAAACTTAGCGTTTGTTTATTTATAACTTTCACTGATTTTTAAATTAATAAAGTATTATATATATATATACATATAAATTCAGGTGTTTAAAATCAAAGCCTAAACGCAAAAGAAAATCAAACTGTAGCTAATTCCTAATAATTATCAAACAAAAGCAACGTTTTGATTTTGATAAACTAAACGTAACCGTCTAAGAAAAAAAATTATACTATATATCTTTTTAAATATTTTTAAAATAATAGCTTTTGCTTCTTTATTTATCAAAAATAAAATTTTTGCAAATTTTTATACGATAATTTTAAAATTTTAAAATTTCATATAATTAAGGTTTGAGTTAAAAACAATATACATAATGTTTTGTTTAGAAATTTCAAATAAAGGGATTTTAAATTCGTATACAACACGTGGCATATCATAGTTCGGTGTGTTAATTTAATATTTGTTTAATTAAATATTATTTTTTATAGCTATAATTTTTATATTAATCACTAGAGAAATAGAAAACAAATTTTTTAATTTTTATAATTAATAATAATTTTTATTATTATAAATACGTTGTATATCTTTCTTATATTTTATAATGAAATTATTAAAAAATAAATTAAAGTAAGATAATTAGTTAAATATGTATAAATATAAATATTATAAAACAAGGTTTTGAATTTTTATAAGTTTGCCTATGTATTTTAAAAATTGTTTTATTGAGTTAGTATACAAATGTACGTATTTATAATTAAAATATTATGATCTTTTATATTAACCTGAAATCTCTTGGTAAATATTTTAAAAAATTAAACACACGTTAAATGTGAAATAGCTCAAATATAGGAAGACAGAGCAGTATTAGTATATAATCTTAAAAATAATTAAAAATATTTGAGAATCTATAATTTTATAATATTTTAATAGAAGTTATTACATCTCTTATATTATACTTCCCAAAATACGTCGGGTTTTAAAAATTCTTTTCAAGTTTCTTATATTAAATTATTGTATTGATATACTAACGTTTTAAATGATTAAACTTCTTTATTTTAAAAATTCGTTTATGAAAAAAATTAAGTAAATAACCGTTTTTTGTCCGTTAAGATATTTGCAAAAACTTTTAAAATTTAAGAAAACAAGACTGCTCCAGGTTTCTAGTTGATATACATTTTTAATAATTTGAAATTTTTAATAAAATAAAGTAAAATCATATTATCTGAAAACACAATTTTTGAAATACATAGCATTGATTTATTAAATTTCTTTAAAGTTCTACTTAGTTTTTCTATTTTTGAGTAATTTTGATATTATATTTATTAAAATTCTTTCTTAAATTTTTCTATATTTTGCATATTAATGAAATAATAAAAGTAAATGAAAATATTACTTTATAAGAAATACACTACGTAAACTTACTTTTATCTACATACAAGCAATTTTTAATAAGAATATTTTTAATTCATTAATACGTTTAGTATGAAAACCAATAAATAAAATTTGTTCCGGAAAAAATAAATTTATAAATTAGATAATATACACAAATATTATAAAAATATACAAACATATTTATACATATATGTATATGTACATAGATATATAGATATACACAGTTAAATGTTGTATACATACACGCGAAAATAATATATGTAAAAATATATTTATAAGCATACATATGTATGTATAAATTTTAAGGATCAAAAATTTTTAAATATCAACTATTCCTCAAAATTTCTATTAAAAGATTAAAATGTTAAATTTTAAGGAAAATTGCTAAAAAAGTTAATGTTTAATAGCAATTTTATGTAAATAGCTATTAGGGCAAGTTAATTGGAAAGTAATTTTAATTAATATTAGTTATAAATGTTTTAAATTTAATTATACGTACTTTTGAGATTAAAGAAAAACGAAACTGTTTCATTACTAAATATCTTTGAAAATATGAATAAAGTTATAAAAAGAAAGAAATTCTAATAATTAAAAATGTTGTGAAAGCTTTAAATACATTTAAATATTTTGTTTTATTTCCTGTCGATTAAAGTTAAAAAGTATCCTTCAGCTTTACTAATACATATATTACCATTTTCTAGATCTCAGTTTTAAAAAGGTTCGAAAACAATTAAAATTGTGTAAAAAAATAAGAAAAATTGTATGGGTACCTTTTTGTTTTATGAAATACATACATTATCTTATAACCATTAGTTATGGAATGCTTTTATTTATAACTTTTAAATATCAAATATGTAATACAGTTTTGTCAAATATAAATACACTAAAATCAGTAATTAACAAATTTTAAACATTTAAAATATTTTGTTTACGATTTTGTGGCGGAAAAAAAATTCCAATGACTGCTATTTTACCATCTCTTAACGGTGCTAATATATGGGTGTTTTCTTGAGAAACAACTACTGTTTGAATTGGTACGTGCAACGGTATTTCAAAAACAGGTTTTAATCTAAAAACAAGCAAAAGAATATATAAGATTATTTTATAATATACTTTTTAAAAATTTACCCGTATAATCGACTTATAGTAATATCTCCAGCATCGTCAACCACAATTAGGTAATCTGAAGCAGTTGTTAAGCCAGTTACGCGTCCTGAAACATACTTTGAACCTAAACTATAACCATTAACATTGAAAACATGTACTGAATGAGAAGTATCATCGAGAGCTGAAAAGGCGATGTGACCTACCCAGAAAAGTTTAGTTTTTTTATGAAAAGAAATTAATGTTTTGATTATAGTTTCACCTTGATAAGAAATTGTTATGAAAGTTATTTCAACAAATTGTTCGGTACAACCTTGTGGTCTCAATGTTCTTATATATTGACCATCTTGTATCGAATAAACGTTAACACTTCCATCCTATTCAAGTAAAAAAGTTAAAATATTTGCAGTTTTATTTTGTTGAATAAAAACATTAAAAAACCTTAGATCCTGACACAACCATATCTAATTCTGTATATATAGCTACACTACTAATAACATCGTCGTGTCCGTATAAAGTTGTCAGTGGAACAGGGGTAAAAGGATTATTATTACTTGTATTATTATTTTGATTATTCTGCGCAGATCCAAATTGATTTCCAAATGTACTCCAAATAACACAAGTACAGTCTTTTGATCCTGTTACTAAGTAAGAGCCGCAATTATCTAAAGCTAAACATGTTATTGTGTCCAAATGTCCAACCACAGATGAAATTAATTTCCCTTTATGTAAATTGAAAACTCTTAACGAGCTATCAAAAATTCCCCCGGCGTACAAATGTTTTCCATCTAGACTAACAGCAAATATTTGTGAATCAATTTTAATAGAAGGATGAAATGGTCCAAACACTTTTTTGCGATTTCTAAAAAGTAAGAAAAATTAAAAACATAAACAGTGATTAATATTCAAATAAAATACTTTATGTTTGTGGTCGTTGCGTCTATTTCTAAAAGAAATCCTTTCTCTTTATCATATGACATCCAAGAGTTGCAACCCAATACTTGTGATTTTGAAATACTTATGAGAATGTCTGGGCTGACTTGTAAAAAAGATTTCGGTGGACTTCGCGGTACACTAAGATACACTATGGGGTCCTTTGGTGTGGATATGTCGCAATAAAATTTAAAAGTGCGATCCAAGAATTGAGTAATGTCAGGCTTTTTCAGTTCATATTTTAAAAGTTTATTCAAAGTTTCTTCTTGGTTTAGTCTCCGTGGATGAGGTTCTCGCAAAAGTTGCGAAGGTATCTGTCCAAAATTATTTATCATGCCTAAAAATAGATTATTCAAAACAATATAACAATATACATTATAAATTAAAAATACTTGATTCTGTCATTTTATACAAATTTTTAATCGAAAGTACCTATTTTATAATAAGTAGTATAAATATTTCTAATTTAATTAGTTTTAAAAATTCATATAATAAAAAATTTTTATAAATTATATAATAACTAACTTGGAATAACTTTGATTTTTACTTGAAGGAAAACCTAATGTGAACTAAATATTTCGGTATACGAGTATTGGACATTGTCGATCGGTTTTCAAAATTTCCAAATTTTAATTTTGATTTGAAATTAAAAAGGATTTAATTTTTGATTAGATAATAGCAGTAATATTATTTCATATTTTTAAAAAAATACCTTACGTAAGCAATATTGGAAATATACCTTACGTAACCTTACTTAATTGAGGTATTTCAAAAGAAATTAAATATATTCTCAAGAAATTACTATATTAAAAAATATAATAGAAGTGCAGTACAAGAGTGTAATAAATTGAGTTCAAATGGAAATTCCTTTATACAACTGCAGAACAGAAGGATAACATGGAACAGATGGAAAGGAACAGTCAAGGCAGAAAAATTAATTTATCCATTATTTATTCTCATATGAAGTCTTATCCATTATTCATTCTCATATGAAATTAATAATAAAAATTAAGAATTACGATAGTAATTTACACGTTGTATTGTTAATTTGAGGTCCTATAATTTGACGGGAAGTTAAAATAACTTTTCATTACACTTAGTACGATCACCTACAAATTTTATTATTTTATCTGAAATAATAAATTGTGTACATATATATTTCAATAATTGAATTTACTAATTACGTAAATAAGAGAAGAATAAATTTAGTTGAAGTTGAAAGTTTCAAACGTTATTTTAAAATTGCTTAATAAACATTTTAATGTGAAGCAACTAATTTCACAGTTATTCTAAGATATTTTGACATTCGGCACGACACTTTAAGTTATGTCAACTACTTTTATAAAAACAAATATATAGATACAATAATTATATAGATAATTCCACAAAAAAAAATTAATTTAGAAAAAATACACCAAGCCAAACAAATTCAGGTAACAAAATCGTTTAAAGTATAGTTTTCATTTTGAATGAAAACTTTTTAACGTTATGCAAAGTATAAAGTACCTTCTATTGCCTCTCGTTCTATTGGGTTTTTTATTTTATCTAAATCAACCGCACCTTCATAGGAACAATAATAGAAAACATTTAGCGCTTCGACAGCTCGCAAACCTTTTTGTTTATATCTGTGAAAAATTATACTTATAAGTATATCAAAATGTTGTGTACATCACATTTGTTATAATATACATATATATATACATACGTATACTTACCCAAATATTAAATCTATCCAATGATGCAAATTTTGTGAAACATATTCGGACTCTAGAGCTCTTCTGTGAATTTCTATAAATTCTTCAGGTGTACTTGCCCATCGCGGAAGAATAACGTCGTCAACTTTTTCCTTTGTTATTTGCAATACACCCAAATCAAATCTTAAAGAAATAAAAAATTAAATTTCATTTAGGAAAGAAAAAGTGTAAGTTACTTATTCATATTTTTTAAAAACTCTGGGAAATAAAAAAACTCCGGTATCAGTTCTTTAACGTCGTTCGGATTATCCATCAATAATTTCCATGTTTGAGGAATAGAGTGAAATTGTCTGTCAGCTACATCAAATCTTCCACTTTGCAATTCTATATGTAAGGATGTAAATGGTTCTACTCTTAATAAATAGTGTAAAACGCCAGCCGAATTAGAATAATGTGTTCCATAATGAAATTTTGGTATTGCACCTGATGGATCTTCAAAACTCTCATATTTAGCACGAACTTCTGCCTCATTTTTCGGGTTAACCTTAAAAAAGATTGTTTTCAATGCAGTATTTACCATATATAATATATAGTTTCATGGCTTTTTACCACCCCGATAGGTTTAGATAAATCTCGAAAAGATGTATGGTCTGTTAAATCTAAAATTTCACTGGTGTAATCTGATAATATCCAAGGAAATACTGGGTATTGACTTAAATCATTATAAGAACGGCCTGTAATACACAAATAAACTAGTTGAAGATATTTCTGATGAGGTTATTTTAAATTATTTGTGTTCACCTGCAATTGTGTTTAGATACATCAAATACTCAAAATTCGAAATTTCCCTTGCGACCCATTTTTGTGTTAATCCAGATGATTTTAATAATTCTGGCGGGGATCTACCAGATCCATATAAGATGTGGGGTGGTTGCAAGCTTAAGATTTTTGTGAATATTTTATTTCTTGTCTAGAAAGTTAAATAATTACTGTCTTGTAGTCTAACGTTTCACTTATTAAAAAATTAATAAATAATTGGACTAATATTCATTTAAGATCACTTACTTTTGTTGTAAAATTCAAAAAGTAACTAGTTTGATCAACCAAAAATATTTCTAACGCACTTCTTCTTAAATTGTACTTTCTTAGATGAACTTCTCGTATTTTCGAAATTAAGAATCTATGAAATTTTTGTATTTTAATTGTAAAAATACTTATGTATATATATTTCAATTATAACCTACCGAAAATCGTTTCGTTCTTTATCTTCTTTTACTAGACTAGTATCGGTAAAAGTAAATACATCTTGATTAACTTCAATTCTGCCTTTTATTTTGGTCATCAATGTGATAAGCTCGCAGTCTTGTGTAATAATTGCTTTTTCTAAAAGAGCATCTTGGGGTTGTGCCTCTACACTCGAACGCAATTCCTCCTCTAACAAAACATTTTCATCATCCGTTAGAAAATCTTGCACGACTGCGGTTTTAATTGTAGAATCAAAATCTGACGCAATGTCTCTTAAAAATTTTAAGATTAAATAATAATCATTAGCATTATTTAAGAATGAGAATTTTTACAATGCTTGTTCAATCTCATAAAGTGATCATTAATACTACTGTTATATAAATAAAACAGAAATTACTTTATTTCTGGTAGGAAAGAGGCATTATCCCTTAAATTAGCTGCATCTTCATGTTGGTTCGGGTATAATTGCGGTTCGAGTTTTAAACGCATTCTAGAAGTATTTTCGTGATTTGAAAGTTTCCAAAATTCTTCAGGTTCTGTACTGAAATTTTAAATTTTTAATAAATATTTATTTAAATTTTTTTTTCTTGTTGTTCTCAAACATATGTATGTTTAAAAAAGTATCAGTATATTAAAAAAACTACCTAAAAAGACTAAAATTAGAGAAAAACAGATTTTTACAGTAATAAAAGGAATTTTTCTTATTCACATGTTATATGTTTAAATTATAATATCCTTATTCGCGCGCATGGATTTTTTACAAACTGGACAAAGCTTAATTACTGACGGGCTACTAAAATATATCTATTATGACAAACTCTTTTCAGAAAACGTTAGTTCTAGTAGTTTTGATTAGTTTAACTAAAAAAATGTTCAAAGTTTTTTATACTCCCAAAAGCAAAAAGAAAAACAAAATATTTAATAAACTGAAATAACAAAATTAATGTAAAGAATAATTAAGTTAAAAAATGCAACACACATCGCAAAATATGTATGTTTGTGTTTTGAATATATTCATGAATAGATGGTTTTTTAAATTTTTACATAAGAACGTATAAGTTTAACGGTCCATTTGCATGAAGTAAAATTGCACATTCAAATTTTTAGTAGACTTTATGTAGTAGAATTTTAAATTTTAGTACGTTGATTACTTTGATACTCTGACGTTTCTTGAAACACATATTTTATATTTTGTTGCCAGCATATACGAAGCAAAAGCACGCATATACACATATTTCCTTCATAGGTTTTTGGAAAAGGTGCAAAATTTATTTAAATTTCCAGATATTTTTTTAATTTAAATACAAATATTTTTGATATAAATAAATCTTTATATAATGTCATATTTCCAAAATTATACAATAAAATTTTATTTACATAGCTCACAAGAAATTAATTTTTATTTACAATAATTAAATTTTATAGCTTACCTAAATGATGAAATTATGAATTATGAGCAAATAAGTGATAATAAATTTAGATTAAAATATTTCTTTGTGATAATGCATTTATATGTATATATAAATGAATGTATTTGCATATATATATATATATATATATATATATAGGATATTATATATTTTTTGTAAACATCAAATATAAAATAATATCTACGTTTATAATATATAATTATATACTAGTTTCAAACATATTTTTTGTAAATCAATAAATCTTTTCACATTAAATATTTCACATAAATATGTATGTTAATTAAAATATATTTCTAGATTCATATGTACGATCATAAATATTTCAGTTATAAATTTATTTGTATTAACTTTAACAATTTCTTTTTCTTCGAAAAAAAAAAAATTAGATATTTAAAAAATTGTTAATTGCATTCGTTGAAGATAATTCTTCAATGATGATAACCATAACCGTGATAACCTACTGATGGAGCATAAACTGCTGGTGGTGGTGCAACGACAGCTGGAGCTGCATGGGCTACCGCAATTGCTGGTTGTGCTACCGCAACAGCAGGTGCAGCCTGTGCAACTACTGCTGGTGCTGCCGCGACAGCTACTGGTGCTGCAGCAACAGCTACTGGCGCAGCATGCACTGCATGACCAATTTTTTGCACAACAGCATTAAATCCATTTATTTTATCGGCTGTATATGTAACTTTTCTCACTGTGCCATCTGGTTCAGCCAATGAATAACTGCCATGAACAACACCATTAACTAAAGTTTCTTCAGCATGTTTGGAATCACCAGTATGATGATCATTTACACCATATTTAAAACTATATTGCGGATTTGGATCATAAGGTTCAGCTTTAATTGCGACAGCAGGTGCAGCATGAACTGCAACAGCTGGAGCTGCTTGAACAACTGCTGGTGCCGCTTGCACAATAGCAGGAGCTGCTTGAACCACAGGTGCAGCGGCTGCATAAGCTATTCCTCCGTACCCATAACCACCGTCATACCCATAACCCCCGCCGTATCCATGACCACCATGGTAATCGATTGGTACTGCATTTGTATAGATTGCTAGGCAGAGAAATAACACCACCTTGTAATATTTTTAAAATAAAAATAAGGATTAAATTAAATAAAAAGCACACACATTTCACTTTACCGAAAACAAATCATTCAATTTTTGTTTTAAAAATCAAAACGAAACGTTACCTGAGCAAACATTTTTGATATGTTTTCTTCTTAGAATTCGATTTTGTTTTGATTAAAAACTTGTAACTTTTTTACTTTTATAATCCGCTGTGTGCGTTTAAAAATAAAACTACATTCTAAAAATGGTTTATAAAGTAACTTATACGTTTTCAGTATCTGTTTAATGTACAAAGAAATTGAACTAAATAAAATTTTAATTAATGCTAAATTTCGCCATTTACAAGAGGCAAAAGAAGAAATATATAAGTAACCCAATGTTTCTTATTACGACTTTTGATTTCGTTAGAAATTAATTATGGATTCATTTTGAAATTAAACATTTATGTCATTTTATTAAATTAGAGACATGAATTAATTTCTTGAAATATTTGACTTTAGTAATTTTTAAATTTGTTGTTTTTTTTTTTACTTTTTCATTTCGGTTGTTTTACTAAATAGTTCAACTGTATTAACATGTTATTTGACCAGTATAATAAATCAAATTTGAAAACAATTTTGTTAAATCCAATGAATATGTATGAGTAATGCGTTTTTAAAATTTATAAAGAACACTAAGATTTTTGTAACTTAATTGCAATTTAACATAATGTACCCACTTTCGTACATATTATGTACTTTGAAAATTTTTGATTTACAGTATGCTGTTTAAAATATTGTAATTTTTGCGAAAATGAAAATTTTATGAAACATAAATAAAAATGTAATATATGTATATAATAATTTAACTTCAAATTTAATATTATATTTTTTTTGTGGTATACGAATAACTTGACGAAAATTAATTGTTGAAAATAATTGCTAAAACTGCTGTTACGTTCTTGTTATTTAAGAAGTTCTTCTTAATAACAATAATTTATATTGTTATCAATAAATATAATTTTGAAAATTTTTATATGTGTTACAATAACTTAATATTATTGTTCTTGCCATTTATTTAAAAACAATCATAAAACAATGTTCAAAAAAACCAATCCAATTAAAATGAAAACCAAATTCTGAGAATTCGAAATTGATGTTTTAAATTTCATTTGTGTTTAAAAGGCTAAACTCTTAATATTTTTAAAATAGAAATTTTTTGAAACTAAATTCCTAAACAACTCCATAAAAAACTGAATCGAACCTGAATTTAATTTTGAAAAAGGAAAACTATCATGAATAACCAAGTATGGGGTGAATATCCAAAAAAACACAAAATTGATATCCAATCAAACAATAAAAATAAGGTCACACCATTTTTATACGCAACTGCAACTGGAGCTGCAAAAACCATTAAACCCTTTTTTAATTTCTTTAGCTATAAATATATTTTTTTTAGAAAAAGCAAGTATGTAATCTTGAGGGTGTATACGTAATATATGCAGTGTACATGATTTTTTTTTAATTTTTTTTTTGGTTTTTTAAAGTACATACAAAATATTTAAATTTGTATGCGGTTTCCACGTTCCACCAAGCTATTGGTCAACCCTGTGTATAATATTAAAAAAAACTATCCTAGCATCTTTGTACACATACTAGCCATAAATTATGCGCATTGAGTAAGTTATAAATAATAATTGCTTATTTTTTTTGCATTATTACAACTTTTTATATTTTATGTAGAAGTATGTAGAAGCAAATATTTAATTTTAGTTATTCAAATAAGGTAAATGGTACAAGTAACTTTTTTAATTAAATAACAACGTTTTTAAGCAAACATTCTTTTTAAAATCAATTAACTGCTTTTTATAAATATCAAAATAAAATACATAATATGCGTACCTATTCATAAACACCTATATATACGAGTATGTATGTGTATATATGCGATAAGTTTTTATACATATAATTCCAAACTTTTATAAAGTTATTTTAAATAATGAAATAGAAATATATGAACATAAATCACAAGTACGGTTATCAATGAATTTTTTATGAATTACTCTCATGCATATTTATTTTAAATATTTTAACAAAACAAAACCCATAATTTTAAAAAGTAATGAATAAACTTTTAAAGAACAGTTTGCTTAATTAAATAATGTTAAAAATACCTCTTCAGTTAATTTTAAAGATTCATTTATTTGATACTAATTCACATTGGGATTTAAGAAAAAAATAAAAAAAAATTGTGAGAACATTCAGAACTGGTCTTGACTACTTCCGTACGAATAAGTGATTTTAAAAGATGTACCATACCTGTCACATTGATTTATGCAATCTATCGATTTTTCAATGTAGTCTTTGTAGTTCTAATTTTTTATTACATTGCGTATAATTTCAGTACTTAGATACATAATAACAGATATCAGATTTAACTGATTATTCTCCAAATAATGGCGAATATCAGTTAAAAGATCCACTAACGTGATGTTCAAGTTATACAATCAATTAAAATTTCATGTGTAAAATGTGTAGAACCTTCATGTGTAAAGAGAAAAATTGTTCAATGCACCACTCTATGAAACCCCTTATACTTATATGGTTAATTAAATTGGTAAAATCGGTTAGAAACAATTTACCATCATGTTTTTGTTTTTATTAAGGTATAATAAAGCTTATAAAAGTTTAAAGAAGTGGGAGCGATACTTAGGTAAAGGAAGAAGATATAAAAAAGGAAAATTAGTTTATTCAACAAAAAATTAAAGGGTTAAAGGTTTTTATACATTATACTGCAACCCTTTATTTAAAAGGGCAAGCAGTTTTTCAAACAGGCACAAGGGCGGGCTGGATAAAACTGATAATAATATTTTTTTAGAATTTCGTTAAAAATATTGCATATTTTTATAATATTTCACGTATCTTAGCGAAAAACTCTTTTTTTTTAATCCACACGACAGAATTATATTTATATATACAAAAACATCTATTTTTACAAAAAAAAAGTTAATAAATCAATATACTTAATCGAGGTTTTAATTAGCCTGTTATTCTTGTAACTGGAGCTAATGCTGGTCTTACTTGTACTACAGGACCTCTTTCAACTACAGCGTTAAATCCGTTTACTGGATCAGCTGTATAGAAGACAGTCCGAATAGTACCATCTGGATCAGCTACTGAATATGATCCTCTAACTACATCTCCGTCACGCACTTCTTGTTGACTTTTACTATCACCAGTTATTGCATCTTGAACATTGTAAGCGAATGTATATTGCGGTATCGGATCATAATTTGTATCGACAGCAACAGCTGCAGGTGCAACGTTCAAAGGTGCTGGAAGAAGTGTTACGCCTTCCGTTATAGCGATAATTGTTAAAACAAGAAACCCAATCTATGTTTTGAAAATGATAGTTTAATTAAATATTGTTAATTTATTTTGCCCTTTTTGCTACTTTTTCTCACCTTAACCATATCTTTTTTTGTTTAGTTAAAATAAATTATAAAAATTTAAATTAAAAATAAATTATAAGCTCCAAATACTCTGAACTAACACCACTAATTAATAATTTCCTTAGGTCTTTTACAGGTATAAATATTGTCTAAAATCTTCCCCCAAAAAAAAAAACTATTTATTGTTTTGCATAATGTTTTAAATAAAATGTGAATTTAAAAAAGAAGGATACTTAAAAATAAAGGTAAAGAAACTTCAGAAAGAAAGAAATAATAATATTATTATTTAAATACTTTGCAGATATTGCGTAATCTCTCCGGAAATGGAAAGTTTTAAAATTATATTTATCCAATAAAAAAATCATAATTTAAACTGCATATTATCAGCTAATTTTTATTGCAATACGTGCTTCTCAATTCTTAACACTAATTTCTATTATAAGGGCAGGTAAAAAGTAACGTGAAACTTCATCACTTTCACGTTAATCCAACAAATGTATGCTTTTTTTATTTAGTTTTTTATTGTCTTTTAAAAAGTGAAATTCTACAAATTAGAATGCAAATCGCGTCCTAATATTTGAAAACGATATATATATTACCAAATTGAATTAATTTTATTATTTGAATTATATATAGGTGTCATAAGATCAATTAGAGTAATAACAACAAAAAAAGTTTCGTTGTTGCAATATTTATTATTAAAAATATGTGTTATTTAAAAAACTTTTTTAACAATTACGTGAACACAAGATCTTCATATCATGTTCTTCCATTTTTTCGTTTTGCGCATGTGCTTTTTTAACTAATTTACTACTATATCTGTACATAATTTGAGCAAACTCTCCATTGTTTGTAATATAAAAAAAAATTTAAGCTTTGTTGAATCAAAACATAATATGTATATTGAGGTGAACTACTGCTCTATATATTTCTAAAATATACTTTATTTTATTTTTTTAACACTATTTTATTGTAAATTATTTTAATTAAAAGCAAATTTTTAATAAAGAATCTTCATAAAAGATTTGTTTTACTCTATTAAAAAAATTTTATTTCTTTTTTCACTAGCTGCCAATAAATTAAACACACCCGGTAGTATATATTATATACAAATATTCGGTATATGTATACAATTTAATTTTGATCATATTACGTAAACTTTTAATTGTTATTTGTTTTATTTTTTTTAATCACATTAAATAGATGACTTGAGATTGCCACTACGACTCCTTAAAAATTTAAATAAAAAAAAAAGTCAACTTACAAGGCACAACAAAATATTCTATCACATCAACAGTTTGAAACTGAATTTGTGACACGGAAATGTAGAAAAACAGTAAAAAAATATTAATAATGGTACTTTGAATTTTTAATTCATGTTAAAAGCATACATAAAATATCTATAAAATTCTACATGCATGTATATTATATAATGTATGTTTACTTATGATGTCTTTACTTATCTACACATAAATTGTTCTACACATAAATGATGTCCATATGTCTACATATAAGATTTTGTATAATATGTAATTCTAATAGATTTACCGTTGGTTTTTAATTCTGTGTAGGAAATTTTTATAAACTAAATCTGCAATTTTAAACTTCTTACACAAATTTTTTTTTTGATTTTGATAAATGATACTGTAAAATTCTAAATTCTTAATTTTACGTATATATGTTACATTTTTAAATATACTCGTATTTATAAAAAATTGCAGTAACAGCAGGAATAGGCGAACGTTGGACTTTTGTTAATTTTTCAAAATACTGAAAAATTCCTTTTAAACAAATTTATTTCTTAGTTTTTCTAGACCAAACTTAAACCCCTTAACTTAAATTAAAAAACTTTCTACACCACATTTTGTGCATAAGTTTGTATGCCCTTTACATTGAGAAATTTGTTTTTTGAAAAATTTCTGGTCTTGAATTTAAAATTCGGAAAAATATTTAAAATTTTACAAAACTCATTTCATATGCTTTTATTGTCTTATTTTTCTGCTTCAAAGTATGTCTAACTTTTCTTCAAACAAGTATACATATGTATAGTAAAAATAGAGGACTTGTTTCAAAAGCTGGGAAAATTTTTAAATTTTACGAAAAATCATTTTATATGCATTTTTAGGAAATTTCTGGCCTAAACTATTACTTGGCGCCTCAAACTTCTGCACGAGATTGAGCTTAACGTAAAAAATTACATGAATAGTAACTATTTTTTAACTAGATTTTTAATCTATAGTTGTACACAATACATTCCATATATATTAAAACATGATTTAGATTTGTCTGTCCGTCCGTCCGATCCGTAGTTGTACACAATACATTCCATATATATTGAAACATGATTTAACTTTGTCTGTCTGTCCGTCCGTCCTAACGATAACTCAAAAACTAATTGGGGTAACTTTACCAAATTTTCACAAATGATTTATTGTAATAAGTGCCAGAACCCTATTTAAATTGGGCATAATCGGGGTACCGGTTCGGGTAGCTGCCATACAACTTCAAAATTTATTTGGCTATATCTCAGAAACTATAAAAACTATGGTATTGAAATTTCACACAAGCGAATATATTAGTAGGGCCGATGTGCTTGATAAAATTCGTTAAATTTCTTGGCTCTTCCTGGTAGCTGCCATACAACTTCAATAGTAGTTTGGTACACATAGTCTTTTGAAGAACACAGTACTGAAATTTTGCATAAATTAATATGGTAATACGGCAACTTAAAGTCATAGTCTGTCCCATCGTCAGTGATGGCATATTTATTCGCACATAGGATAACAAATTCGTACTAGTATCGCAGAGTTGACAAGGTCAACTATATTTTTACTCGTTTTTTTTCAAATTTTGCGGTTAAGATAGACTCCGGTTTACAACAACACTTTTTCTGATGTTTCTTTAAAAACATTATATATCTTCCTAAAAAATAATTTCTTCAAAATAGGGGAAAAAACTTTGCTGTATTTTATATTTGGAAAGGGGAAATTAAACTATTTCAATTGTGCATAAAATTCAATTAACAAGTTTGCAATTATCACGAATATTATAATGTATACATACCCACAGTACCACGGTCCACGGAGCCCATATAAAAATCTTTCTGTACTTTTCCACCTTTTCTTGTTTAAGTTATTTTTAGTTTTGATATGCACATTAACCATATTTAATCTTGAAAGTTCTTCTATCTGCTTCACCTTCCATGGAGTAATAATCTTGTGCTATAAAAATGAATGATCATTAAAATAAAATTTTTAAGTATTAATTTTGAAGTATTAAATATAAAAAATATTTTTAATAATTTTTATGAAAAGAATAATACCTGAAATATTTTTCTACTTTCATACTGAATATTTCCCCGTTTCTTTGATGCTGCTTTACAAGCTTCATAGCACTCAGCCCAAAATCTATTAATAGGTTCCCATAACGTTGCTTCAGTTTCTTTTTGATATACGTCATACAAAGGTTTAATCTTTAGAAATATATCATAAAAATAAAAAAAATTTGAAATGTGAACGTATGTATGCATTTAATTTACATACACATAAAGTTTTTTAATTTTATAAATCAGAAGCCAGTTATTATTAACTTGATATTAATATTTTACAATTGTTTTTTAATTAAAAAATTTTTACAGAATCTTTTATTGTTAGTGTATTGTACAATAATTAATACTATTTTTGTAGCCTTGTTGAAAGTTATTATATAATATTTTTTTGATAAAGTGCATTATATTATATTTCATTTAACCTTTGTTGACTGACGCTACTCTCAAGCATCACCAACTTCAAATCGTTTAAAAATATACAAAAATTTAAGTTTAATTAACAATTTAGCAACAGATTTCGCCTATTTCTGTTCTCCGGCAAAAAAGGGTTAAAGCATATTCTATCATATCAAAATATTAACAATAATGTCTAACAATACACTTTTTATTTAATAGTAAAATAAGATATATAATTTATATGTATTTTTTAAATTAATTACTAGTTAATAAGGTTGGCTTAGCTTCTTATTAACAAAGATGGTGTACAGTTTTACATTCTTTTCATCTCTTGTACTTTAAGAGCTTTTTATTGATATTTGATATCTTGTGTTTATGGCTCTCTGCGGAACCTTTTTCGAGACAAGTTTACCGCAAGAAACCTATACTTCTTTTTGAACGTTAAATAAAAATACGAAAGTACGAAAGTCCTGATGCAACACAAATATTTGTTATGCAAACAAAAGTTTTAAAATACCGGCTGAATAGCAGAAAACCAAAATGAAAGTTTTTCAGTAGTTTTATAACTTGTTGGGTTATAAATATAACCACTCATATATACTTGTGCATATTGTATAAAAAGAGTCTAGTGATATGGTAAAAATTTTCTATATACGTTTAACAACTTGAACGCATTGATCAATAAAGCGTCTTGAATTTGATAACACAAGAATTGACGAAAAAATGCTGGCTGTGAACTTAATTTTACTCAATTAAAAACAATGCCGTTTAGGCGACTCAGAGAATACACAGAATACGTGGATGGCATAACCTAACTTGCGCAATGGTATATACAAGAGAAAGCTGGGGTTGAAAGTACTAAGGCGAAACAGAAGAAATTGAGACATATATCTAAATTTATGATACACTCCAAATGTATACATATTCTCAATAAAAAAGATAGAATGTTCTCAACATAAACGTCCTCTTCTCGGCACTACAATTACTATGAATAACATTCGAAGATATATATTTGGAAAGTGAACTAGTTTAACACATGCGTAAAGCTATGTGAAAATGAGATTTCATTTGTAAAATGGACAGTTGCTAATTAAAAAAAATAGCGGCTTCTGCAAATGTATGTAAAATATTTCAGCTTTTCAAAATTTAGAACTAAATAGAAATATATAATAAGACACACTTGTTTGCAATTGAAGTATTTATTGTGTATTATATGATATAAAAATAAAGTTGGGTCAAATCAATGGTTTGTAATGTAGCACTTTTCATTTCAACATGTGAAAATACTGTTTAAAAACGATCTATGTAGACCTACTACACTATTCAAATTATTTTCATTCATATAAAAAACTATTTCTAGGTTTGCATATATTTAGGGTAAACAATTTATGCAATCTTTGAAATAAAGCAAAATAATATTTAAAAAGGCGTTAACATAATGCTCGATTTTAAGGGTTAATTCCGTGAGTTAAGGAAACTAATTATATTTTTTAATGGCATGACATTTGCCGTTATCTTTCTGCATTTGTAGAAATTTGAAAAAGTTTGCGATTTCGCAAATATAAGATGCCAAATTAAAATTTTACAAATTTCGTGGGGCGATACCTTAAGAGGGGGTGGAGATAGAAAAAAATTTTTCTTCTAACAAAATAAACTATTTATAAGTGTCTAAAAGCTGTTATAATTTCAGACCTTTACAACTTGGAGTTTAGAAAAAAAAAACAACATCAAAGATTTGTAAAAAAATGGATATTAAACAACAGTAAAGTTTAGCTGACATTTTGTTTTTTTAAAGTTCAAGTATAGTATGCCGCGGTATAACAAGCAACCCACCGCATTTCTGGGTTTGCAAAATGTGAAAAATGCTTATGGTTCGCCTACAGTAAATAGTTGAAAAATTGCATTTTTAGGGTTTTGGGGTTGTATAACTTTTGGAGGGGTGATAGAAGGGGTGAGGAGAGATAGGTAAAAATTTTGTTCTACGAAAATTAGTTTCTAGTAAAGATCTATGTACATATTTCAGCTTTCTATCTTTAAGGGTGTAGAAGTTTTGTAAACAGACACATAGACAGAAGGACTGACGGGCGGAAGGACAGAGTGAAATTTATGAGCACTATTTTTCAAAAATTTTTTGGAAAAGTGATAATGATTTATTTTAATTATATTTTCTTAATTTGAGATATTTCGAATAAAAAGAAGAATACAGCAATGTAATGTATTGAATTTTTTAGTAATGTAGAGTATAGGCTTATATAATTTGGTAAATTTTAATAATAAACATCTGCACATAACTTCTTCAAATCAAATAACACTATTTTAGTTAATAAGTTAATAAAGAAAATTATTTTACGGTTGCAATATTTATAATGCATGTAAAAAAAACTCGTACACAGCAAAAATTTAAAACAAAATCAGAAAATGAAAACAAAATAAAGAAAATGAAAAACTCAACCAGTTATTTAATTGACTCGCTAAAAAAATTATATAAAAAGGTTTGTAACCGTAAATGCAATTATACATACATTATATAGCATTTAGTCAACATGGAGAAAATGTATGTGCATACTAAATTTAAAAAATTTATGGAAAGATTGTTGATTGCAAATTATATTTACTTATATGTAAAGAAAATTTTCTGAGGCAGATGTATAAAAAAGCAACAAATAATTTTTCATAATTTGTTTCTTTAAGTTTTGTTGGCATCAGAGTGAACATACACTTTCAGAATTGTTCAATCTACAATACGTTAGCTTATTAAAAATATCGTGAACTTGATTTTTTATAAAAGAAAATATTTAATAGACATATAATGTTAGTATAATAAAGAAAGTCAAGTGGTAATGTTTTAAAATCAGTTATATATGTAGTTATATAAAAACTTTAAGCATTAAAACGTGAAAGTATATAATTAAAATAAAGATCCGACTAATAAATAGTATTCTGGAAAAAGAACCTAATTATTTTTTTTGGTTCTTTTTGTGTTTTTTTGTCTGTTTTTCTACTGTTATGTTTTATAATTATAATTATTACTATATTATATATTTAGATGAAAAATGAGGAATTTTATAAAATTTATTCTTGTAAGTGAGTTTGATAAAACTAAATATAACAAGTACATAATAATTATGCATAAATATGTTTAAAAACGATGAAAGTAATTATGACATTAAACATTAAACAGTTTGTACTAACAGTTTCAAGTATGGAAAAGTGCTTATTTTGAAGTGTTGTTTTACCTAAAACATGTGTTGTACTTCAAAGAAAACGATTGTTCTGAAACTGAACATAAAATTTGTATAATTTTTCTCCTTGAATCAAAACTTGTTAATTCTGATTTTTTTTATATAGGAAAAAAATAAACTTTCACTTGCAAATTTACCAATCATTGATCAATATTAATAAAAAGAAAAATCTTTGGAAATTTTTTTTTTTTTCACAAAAATATGAGGACAATGAACTTTGAATATTTAAAAAAACAAAAAAGAAAGTTTCTCTTAGAAAATATGTATGTGTAACATGCAAAAACAAATTTTTTAAAATTTATTTATGGCCCAAAGTATTTTTATTCAATTGTTTCCTTATGAAAAATTTTTTTTTGCAAATTTCTTTTTTCAAACAATGTTTTAGAAATTCACATGGTATATTAAATTTTTTGTGTGTAATATATCATGATACGATCATCTGAAACGAATAAAAGCTAAGCCTTTAAATTTGTTAGAATATATTTTATATTAGATTTGAAAATGGCAACAAATTTACCAAAAACCCCAATAATAATTTTATTTCTAGGAAACTCTATCTACCTAAAAAGGTAAACAAGCACTTTCTCTCACTTAATTAATTCAAAGTTAATGTATACTCCGCAGAATGAGATGATTTGTTTGCAGGAAAACGGGAATGAAATATAGAACTTCGAGAAAACCCGTTGGGTCCGATAGCGAAAATAGTTTCTTTAAATTGTGGAAATCCAGTTTCGCCAATATCCGCTGATCAGAACTAAGACATGTAGTAGAAGAAGACCAACTTCTCGTAAACAGTTTCCGTAAAATTATATGTATGCACATATAATCAAATACGGGTTATTTCAGCTCATTAGTATAAAACTTTATAATGAATACTTTAAATATTGCATAATTAAAAAATGATTTTTAAATGATGCTTTTTAGAAAAATTGTTTAAAAGGTACAATCTTAAAGTCTAAAAATTTTAGTGTGAAAAGATTTTAAACAAATGGTTTATTTTTCAATTTCCTATGTACAAATGTTTTATATCCACTCATCTTAAACTCAAGTTTTCTTCAGTTTTAATTTCAGTTACATTTGCCTAATGCATAAATAATGATTAAATCAGTTTATGGAAGAGCAATTTTTAAAGCCTGTATATACATACATAAATGTATGTCAAAGTTAATAATTTTAAACAAGCACGTTATTACAAATTTTCGTAATAAAAATTTATTGGATTTAGAAAAAAAACTATTAAAGGAGCACCTGTCAATTGCCGTTTAAAACTCCAACAAAATTGAATAAATACTATTTGTTGTTATATTTGATTTAAAATGCTTGTCTATTCCATTATTTTAAAAATTTTCTTGTTTTCAAAAAAATCTAATTAAAATTAAAGCATTTTCTTCCATAAATTTTATACCAAAATAAAAGTTGATATTGAAAAAATTGGAAATATAAATTACAAAAGAATAAACAAAATTGTTTTTGGATTACAATGCAAAAGTACAAGTTTTTCTGAAGGACAGTGTATTTAATGCAGTAAATGGTTTTAATATGAATTAATAATAATAATATTAGTTATATAATATAATATAATTACAAATATATTAAAAATATATAAATAATTTAAATAAAATACTTAAAAAAATTAATTACAATTACTAATAATTTAAATAAATATAAAAAATATTTTCTTTACACAATCAGATTTACAAATTTGCTTTACACATGCATATTTATACTATATTGCCTAAGCAAAGTAATATTTTTTATATTGTTTTTTTTTACAGTTTTTTGTATATTTCAATATATGTGTCGCTGAAGAAATTAAATTAAAATCAAAAAACGAAATAAGCTTAAAAAAAGATAATTCTTCGTTCAATAAAGAATTACCTGAAATTTTGGGTACACCAGAAGCTCTAATTCGTTATCGACATCATAAACCAATTACAATAATAAAACAAAAAGCTCAAAAAATAAAACGGCGACCTAAACCTAAACTTAGGAGAAGAGTAAAGCAACCAAAAATTAAATACGGTCCACCAGGCTTTATTAATGCGGAGCCTCTGTCTTACCCAAAATTAAAAGACAATGTGCATAAAAATCATCCAAGTGGATCTTTGCCTTTTACAAGTAGTAGTAACCCTAATGAATATGAAAATTTTTATAAAGAATTAGGCTCTGACTTCAATTTTGAGGATGTCGCCTTTTCAGAATACGAAAAGGAACCAATTAAATTTGACTTATATAATGAAAAGTTCCAAAAATACTTATTACAACAAAAATTTAATCAGCATAGAGTAAATGAGCGGGAAAAATTTCAAATACAAAATCAATGGACAGATGTTTCTGCTTCACATGGCATAGGTAAAACAAATTCCTTAACACTTGCGTTAACTTAAATGTTAATAAATCACAAATTTGTTTTTAGATTATCAAGAAACATATGATATACCTGAAGAGAGTTATTGGCATCATTCACCCAAGCAAAACGATATTCCAAGAAAGCCTGTCACTTATCACAAATCCTCCTTTACCATAGATATGCCATGGGAAAAACATAAAGATGCTCAGAAAGAATACTATATTCCTCATACAAAATATGGTGTACCATTACCTGTATCTGACGGCGAACTTGTACTACCAAAGAAAAAAAAACAGTATCACTTTGGAGAACCACCTCAAGACGGAAACTTATACGATAAACCATTAAATGTGGAAAATTATTTTAATAAAAACAATAAGGTTAAAGTGCCTTATTTAACTGCACCCAAAATGTATACAGGAAATACAAATCATCAATCATCGCAAAATATGAAACCACCAAAATATATTCAACCGCCAGAAGATTACAACACTTATATGACAGAATCTTCACATTACAATAATGACTTCCAGGAAGAAAAGCACATATTTAGCCATCAGCAAGAATTGCCTTTACAAAATGAGGCGAAATTTGCATATGATTTTTCAAAGAGTAGTTATGATGTACCTCTTTACGATGCTATGCCATTTAGAAATGAAGACCAATTAAACGACAATTACCCTCCTTTAAATGACTCTTATTCAATTATTTCAGAGTCACAAGGTCTGCCAAGTAAAATTTCAGCCATATACGCCGCAACAAATTCGACATTATCTCCTCCAGAATATTTTACAAACAAACCTTATAGCATTAAAAATATTTCACGTCAAAAGTTCACAGAGAATTCAAGAAAGAATATTCCTTATCAAACAAGAATTAACAATAAAATAAATAGAACAAAAAAAAGAAGAACAAAAAATCAAAACACAGAAAATCTTAGTACTAAAATGATTGAGTCGAACATACCGTACAATGAAGATTATTCAAACGAATCGGATCAAAATGTAAAAAAGTTCAGTACGAATGAAAGTGTTTCCTCTACTAAAAATGTTCCATTAAACCTTTTACTGCTATCATCAGCAAATAGAAATCCAGGCAGTCATATCTCTTCCTCAAAATGGGATCCTCTGAAGGTCACCTCATACCATTTTGAAATCGACCATGATAATATTTCTGCATCAATTCCAAACATAAAATTATATAGAAAAACTAAAGAAAGAATTACAACTCCAACATATAAAAAAAGAGCAAAAACAAGAAGAAATAGTAGTTTTGACGATATTGTGTTAAATACAACAAAAATGCCTTATTTGCAAAATGTATACACTAAAACGATTCCACCAGAATATTTTATAAGAAAAACAAATGAAATGATTTTTGACAAGGACAAATCTGGAGCAAATGAAACAAATAGTTCCGAATATAGTGCTGAAAACAATAATCTAAATGAGCGTAAAAATTTGAATAACTTAAAACTGATTCAAGATCCTTTCAATTACAAAAATAATGTAACGATAACTGAATCCTACACCCAACGTTATAAAAATCATCGATACTATTAAATTTATAGCTACTTTTTTTTACTTGTTATTTATTGCTTCATCGTGTTGGAAAATATTAAATAGTTAGTTTTAACATTATTTTTATTGTAATTTTAAGTGAAGAGTTATTACCTTTTTATCCATAAAGGTTTTCCACCTTTTGGTGGTAACGAAAACTTCAAATTCTTTAAAAAAATCAGGCCCTGATGTTGTTTGAGGTAAATCGGGTATATTAACTTCTAAAGCGAATATTTCACGACATTTGTTTAACAAAATTCTTATAACCGGCAATAAAAATGAGTACAGATCTTTATTGTCAACTATACGAAGAGAAAAATTAATTAATGAGTGTTAATTTAAGAAAAAGTATTAATGTTGAGTTAAAAAAAGCATGTTATTTAAAATTAAATAATATACCTTCTAAAGCATTAACTATAGCTACATTAACACTAAATAACAAAAATGCCATTTCAGTCGATTCAATCAAGGCCCTATTTTGCAAAATAGCCAATAATTTCGCAGTGGCCATTGCTACTATTCCAGTATCGGGATGAACTGAGCATTTCAATAACAATCCAAGACTTAACCGAATCATATCTGACCAATCTTCAGAAACCCCCTGTTGAAATATCATTAAGGAATCAATTAATGACAAAACACCATCTAATAGTTTAATTGAACATTTTTTTGATTCATCTTCATTTGATCCCAGCACAACTAAATCATACACCATGCGTAGTAATTGATATGCGTTCTAAAATTGTTTAGTCAATATTTTTCATATATATAAATGAATCCAAATTTATACTTCTTGGTTGTATAGAGTTTGATGTCCTTGTTCAGTTAAATCTGAAAGGCTCGCTTGAACTCCCAACTCTAAGATTCTCAATTTTATTGTTAAATGTGACGTTATAAGTTCATTGTTTAAGCCTAACAAATTAATGCACGCTAAAACCTGTCCCCGCTCTTTCCAACACCCTATATTTTCATTACCAACACCACGCCATAATACTGTAAAGAGCGCATTGGTAATTAAATAAACGAGTTCCTCTTCTACATCTGTTTCAGGAATTGGAGAGGAATCTATAGTGCCATTATTCTATAAAAAAATTAGAACATCATAATTTTTTTAATTCTTTTTTTGTATGAATAATCACCTCTATTGACTTTTTTTTCGACAAAGCAACGGATGATTGCGAAGAACTTTGATCTTCTGAGCTATTTGACGATGTTCTTGTTCGAATTGAAATTCCTGAAAGCTTAAAATATAGTGTTTAACCATTTTCAAATTTTAAAAATTAAGTAAAAACTAACTGTTTCTAAATCTATTGAGGTACCCATTGCAACACCGAAAGATTCTAAGGACTCTTGAAATTCTGAAGTTCTCTGCTTTAAAGCTGAGAAAACGTTAGAGACGTTTTCGGCAACGACACCTGTTACTGATTCGGCTATCTCTAAAAGAAAATTCAGGAGAAAATAAAACTGCACATTTGCATTTATTTTCCATTGATTTACCTTTAATTTCATTTTCCAACACATTCGCCGCCTCCGTTACACTTGTTTGAATTTCATTTAATATTAAATTGTTTTCTCTATTATCCATATTTGAATCTCCTATTTGATTTTCGCAAAAAGTTATTAAATCGGCTTGAACAAAATCATTATTATCTTCTAATAAAATATCATGAAAATCGAGGCCTAAGTTTTTAGTTTTCACATTTTCTGGTTCAACTGAAATAGGTTTTCTTATTAAAAGACGAGCTATTGATTCTTGCCAGCCAGTTTGTTGAGCGATTTTCGCAAGAGCATTATGCCTTGCAAAGACGTTTTGAAACAACTTCTTGACTATTTCTAGTTTTTGTGAAACATCACACAAACTCATATGATGCATTAAAAATATTAAAGCACAATAATCAATATCTGGCAGTAAAATATGATCAATTAATGTTAATAAAACAGTAGAATTTAAACGAAATGGTGATATAAAAGAAAATAATCCTGGATACAGAGAACAAGGTTCGGCACCTGAAATTTCTTGTAAACGCAAAAATTGTTTGTATTTTAGTTGAACCCGTGATGTTGATAAAAGGCAATCAATAATCTAAATAGAAACAAAATTTTATGGGAGTTTTAAAAATGTTTTAAAATATTTACCCGAATCGTTGCACTGTGAATTTCATCACTATATAATTTATCTATAAAAATATTATAAAAGAGAACAGCAGTATTTGGTTCATATAATAATAAAACCATTTGATCTTTGCAAGATTTTCCTTTAAGATAAAACAGGAGCATTTCTAAAAGTTCTATTAAAATTTGTTCCTGTTTCGTTGATGCAACAAAAGAAATTATGTGACCAACCTGGAAATATAAGGATTAATTTAAAAACATTTTAAAATCAATTATATTATAGTATCTTACTTCTTTAATATTGATATCCTTTTGTAAATAATATCGTATTATGTTTAATAGAGTGGATCGTATGGTTTTTGCATCATCCTCAGGAATATTATCTGGTGTAGAATAAAAATATCGTATCGTATCTAAGACAAATTGTACTCCAAAATTTTTCCGGAAATATTTTCTATCATTCTTTATCATTGTTCCCAAATACTGAATGTGACCCAGAGTGATTTGAAATTGCATTCTAGACCAAATGGCAAAGTTGAAAGCAATTTCGGAATGCATACAATTCAATAATTCATAATTACTTAATGATTGTTGATTTTGTATAGATTCAATAAATAGATGAATTGACATGAGAGCATGCACGTCAAATATTTTTGAGTCACATTTCATCAAAAGCATACTTATAGCTTCCAAAGATTTTGACGTCAGCAAATCATTTTGATTTTTTTCGTTATTCTGAGTTAGATATCTAAGAAAACATATAAAACTAGCAATTGGGTTTTGAAGCATTTTCCATTCCGTGTATGAAGTTGTTGATATAACGTCCCAATCAGAAAACTCATCCCCTTTAGAAGGCTTATATGAATCAATATCCAGAACATCATTGTCAGATGTAATAATAAGATTTTCTGACTCTCTTACAAGATTGTCTAAAATAGGCAAAATACACTGTATTCCACCAATGCTATGAATTGTGTTCTGTTTGAAAAATGAAATTGAAGTAAATTTAAATTATTTAAGAATATTTTTGATATTTCAGGACATGTAGAACATACATCTGGTGCAAAAAATTACTAACTACATCAAAATTAATTTGACTACGAAACATTTTTATTTGAGTGATGAAAAAAAGTGAAAGTAGTTTTCACTATATGTAACACAGCTTACCTGAATTTTAAGCAGACGGTAATGTTGACCATGAAATACACCAGGAAATTTACCTCCAGGAACTAAATCAGGGCAAATATTACTGTAATAAGAGGCAGCTGAATAACAAAATACAAAACGCGAAGCAATATCAAGCGTCTCAGCATCTTGAGAAAACATTGATGGAAAGTTGTCGCCTAAGATATGAGGTTAACAAACAAGAAAATAAGACGTATTACAAAGTTTGCATCATTAAATGCGGCTGTGCTTACCAATATCAAATATTGTCTTTATATTAGTTGCAGGATCAGCTAAAATAATGGAATCGATTTGACCTCTTAAACACGTTGGATCTCCAAAAACATTATTTTCCATTCCTATTGGGAAATTTTTTACATTAGGATCAAATCCCGTTGAGCTTCTTAATGGGAGAGTAAAATAATTTGAGACCTACAATTTCAAAATTTTCACAATGTTTCAAGATTTTTAATTTATACTATTTTTACGTTAGAAGAAAGGGTTCTTTCTAGAAAATTTGGCAGTATACCCCTTATATTTGTGTTATCCTGAGAAGCTGAACGGGTATACCTTGTTTCAACTAAATTGTCTGGTTGAGCAGCCGTGAAAGTGGATCCTATTGTGCAAGAGCTGAAAGGCTAAAAAAACGATTTTTGATATTTATGTTTTAAGAACGACGGATTTTCTTTACCTCACTTATAGATTGAACCTTTAACGTAGTACTTAGTTTTTGTAAAAAATCTATATACACGTTAATTTGACTGTAAGAAAAGGGTCTTTTTGGCGGCAAAATGGCAACTGTAATATAATGCCAACGCCCATCTAATAAAGATTTTGCAGTAACAGATGACGTTAAATATTCACGGCGTGTTAGAGCTGCTACTATTAAGTTACCGTTGTTTTGCATAAAAATTTCATATCCTATGTTCGAACTGGTGTTTATTCTGAAAAATAGAAAATTTTAAAATTATAATTTCCAAAACTAAAGAAACTGACCTGAATATCATCCTACGAACACTTTTGTTACTTATAGATAAATCTATTGGATCTAATCTCAATAAGCAATGGAATATAAATCCATATGATCCTGATACAGTCCAATTTTTGATACCCTGCACAATTATACCGTCTTCAGGGTTTTGTATATCTAAATATTGCGTTCGACAGTTAGTAGAAATTGCACTTTGCAAAGTTATTGTGACTAGACTCTAGAATTTAATTTAGATATAAAACGAATAGAAAATTTAATGCATTGACCTACTTGCAATAATTTTTTTGAGTACGGAAATTTACTTTTCCTTCGAAGCAACCACATTATACGTTTCATTTCTTTTGGCTGTATACTTAGTTTAGCAAGTTCTTCCATTAATTTCAATAAATTGTTAATACAGGCTTCTGATAAAAGATCGAAATTTGTAATAGAATCACATATTGCGAAAATTGTAAGTACTTCACACGATTTCAGTTTACTGTAATACAAAAAAAATCAGAAATATATATGCAAAAAATTTTAATGCGATACCATTTGTAATTATGTGTACAGCCCTTTAAAATTAAATTACTCAAGTAATTTTGTTCATTTTCGTTCATTTTTGTAAGCCATTTTATTAATTTCAATATAACTTCTGGAATTACAAGACTTTTTACATCATTATCAAAAGCCAAACTAAAGCACAACTGAAGCAACTTTTCAGTGGGTTTTCCAAGACGCTGGATACCATCAAATAGTTTATCAATTTTTTTCGTTTCATTAATGTTCTTTATAATTTGATTCGATGATTTTGTCAGTGATGATAAGATTTTGATTAGATTACATAAAATTATTTCTGTGTTAATATTCCAATCCTAAAAAAAAACCATATAGATAGTGTTTTTGTAATAATACAAATCTTGAATAAAATACATTATGTTCAAATATTTAATTATCCAATTATCGAAATTCTGAATCATCGAAAATCTTCAAAGAAATCCCTCTATTATATGCTCCTATATATTAATTATTTTTTTAATTTATTTATTTTTAATTTGATTTTAGTTTTATTTGATTTTACAAGAGAAATGTAAATTTGAAGTTATTTGATGTTCATGCGAACAAAAGCTGTATTTTCCTCATAAAATCGTCAAATATTACATTATAAGCAACTTGATGTTGGCTTATAAGCAATATGTTGGTTTTGGACTTGACATAACAAAAATATAAGAATTTCTGTCAGCCGAGATTTTGTATAGCAAAAACTTCATGTATGTTTCATCAAAGGCAAGTGCCAACGCCTATATATAAAGTTACTTTGAAATTAAAATGCCCGGAAAACAAACCTAAGACGCTTTTTTGGGTTTTCAAAAATCTCGGGATTGCAAAACCCTTTGGAAAATATATTTGTCAAACGTGTATGAAAAGTACTGCGTGCCAATTAAAGAAAAAATTACTTCTAAAATTACTTTTAAGAAATTATTTATTAAATGTAAGACACTTACCTCAATTTTAAAAGGAACTGAAATCAGTATGTCTACCAAATTCGTTTCAAAAATAACTGAGCATATATAATCTGGGTCGGATTGATTTAACAAGAACAAATTCACATTTTCAATAGTTGCTTGAAGAGCGGTAACATCTACAGGAATCTCTGACGTCTCGTCTGCAATTATTTCGAAGTGAGACGTGGTCTGATTTTTTTTGTTTTTAAAATGTTCAATTTTTAACAAATTGAAAATGGCATCACTATAAAGTTGTATAATTGTAACTAGCTCAATTTGGCGCTAAAAATATTTTCGGTTATCTATCAGACAATATTCCGATATTGAAACTTACTTCTTCTGGACTAGATCGTTGCAAAACTATCACCATTAAAGCAAAACATTTAAGTGTAGTTTGACGTAATTCTTTAGTACACTCCCACTTGGAAATTATATTTATAATAATGGAGACAGTTGCTGGACAAATTGCCCGTAATCCGTTGTTCTATAACAAAATTTAAAATCCATTAACCGTAAATTATAACTTGTAAACTTGAAGAATAAACTTGAAATACGTGCAACTGTTTTAGCAAAAAGGTGGTGCATTCAATCATACTTTGAACCGCTATTTACCATAAAAAAAGGTAACTTTCGGCGATGAACACGGAAGAAGCGAAAGATAAAATTTTTACATAAAAAATTTTTTCTTTCGTTCGTTTCTCGTGATTGTGTGTTTCAACAAAAATCGAATAGATTGCATTTAAGCAATACACGTAATCATGAGGATCGGTGATTCGCTGATATTTTTAAGGTCTAAAAGTTTTTGACCCAATAATTTCAATTTCTTTTAAAAATATACAATCTTAATTCCATGAAACGGAGTCTTTCATTAATATTTTACATATATTTGAATATTTTTAGAACTGTTTAATCTCAGGAACCATAGAACAAGAAACATAAACGTATGTTTAGCTTACGCGAAAAATAAAATTTTATGTATAATATAAACAATTTTATTTTTGAGATTCAAATTGCAAATACTAAAGAACAATTCGTTTTTCTATCACAAACTGAGAAGTGAAAAGGAATCGATTTTTTTGCCCCATCTTTTTGCTATAATACACAAAAGCAAAAAAGGTACATAAGTAATCTAAACAAAGTTCTTTAAAACTTCAGCCAATCTAATGATAAATTTTTTTTGGTTTAAATTAAAATTGAAAAGATTTAAAATATTGAACTAATTTTTTAAAAAACTTAAACTTAGTAGATGGGAATATGTGTAATTATAATCTTATAATGGTATTGTTTTACATAAATGTATGTATAATTAATTTTTAACATGTAAGCTAGTTTTTTAGCGGAGAAAATAATAAAATTTTGTGAACTAAAATTAAATTTTCTATACACTTTTATAAAATTTATTATGAAACAAATAAACAAGTTAACACAAACTAGTAACAAATATTAAATGCATGCAGTTAAAGTAGATGTTAAAACGTAATGAAAAAAATGCGATTTTCGTTACTTGGCATCTACGAAAATAATGCAATTTTCGTTACAATTTAGCATCTACGAAAATAATATTGGAACAAGAGAAGCATTAGTATAAAAACCTGAACTCACCAAATTATCACATATAAAACTAAGCGTCCTTTCACCATATACTTTATTATTTAAAACATTATTTTCCGGGGTTAAAGATTTCTGTAATTTTTTCATATTTTAAAACTTTACAATAAAATAAAATTAATGGAGTAAAATTAACCAAATGATCAACTGAAAAACTAATTTGAGCAAAATAACTAGTGACATCAATTTTAAAAAAATTTAAGACTTACTTGTGACCCAGATATAATAGAACCCAAAGCGTGGACCAAACTAATACCGATTGAAGGAAATTTAAATATTTCTTCATATTGAAAGCAATCTAGTAAAAAAAATTTGAGTATATTAACTACGATTTCCCGTAGTATTGAAATGTTAGAAAATTAAACTTACCGTACATAAAAGGAATTACTTCAACATGTATTGAGTTTGATGTATAACTAAAGGAATTCGAATTCAAAAAATTTCCGTTAAAAAAATTCCGCCATGTAAAATACGGATCATAAATAACTTCGAGAAATTTACAAAAGTTATCGAAAATTTCCGTTTCAATTGAAGTTAACTCTTTCGATTCTAATATCTAAAACGAAAAACAATTAAAAATAGGTGAAACAAAAATTTTTTAAGGAAATCACTTTCGAGTATAATTTAACTAATAATGCTATTAAGTTTCCTATAAAATCATGTTTTACAATAGTTGTAATATTTTCGAAATTTCTGCTAATTATTATGAGACATTCAATTAACAGAGAAGTCTCCTCAAGTTTCTCACTAGAGATTTGATCCTGAAAATTATAGTTTTGAATAAATATTGTAGATATTTTAATACTTGACATTAATAAGTCATATTTTTTTGGGTTACCTTTTCTATTTCATCCCTAGCAATTATAATAAACTTCGTGATTGCTGGTAATAATTCATCTGGAAGCCTGCTAAGATGAGGTCCACTATCCGTTTTAATGTTGATACTCAATGGGACTTCGGATACATCCAAATTTAGTTGGTTCCTCCATATTTGCACAAAACCACTTACGAATTGGCGAAAGTAAAGTTCATCATTCTAATAAAAAAAAAGTTTAGTTCAGTCAAAAAGAGAATAAAAGGAGAATTAGTTTTCCGTCTATTATCTAAACAATCTAAGGGCGTGTATTTCTTTTAAAATTTGGTAAATTTTCGGGGTACTTAATTTTATGTAAATATTCTTTTAAGGAATTTGAATATACCTACATACCTTAGTGGTGTACTGTATCCACAAATTATAAATATCTTTTTTAGTTTCCATATAAAAGTTTTACAAATATTTAACAAAAAGCAAATACATTAATTCTAAATAGTTCAATGACTAATACAAAATATTATCGTTTTCATTTCCTCAATTTTTTTCATATGTTTGAATGTAAAGCAAACTAAATTTGTTGCAAATAACTACATTTTATAATTTACACTTTCAAATTCATATTTTGAATTAAAAATATGATTCGAATAAATTTTTATTAAAATTATAAATATGTTAAAAAGTTGCTAATGATTTTTCTATTTTGTGTGGCATTTTACAAATAAAGCCAGTCGGGAAAGTGTCAAAGTGTGTATTGACGTTTTATAATTCAAAGAACGTATGTTCGCAAAATTTTACACAGCATATATAGCTATTCACAAATTATTTGATTGATTTAGTAAAGCCGGATTTAATCAAGTAACATTAATATGAAAATACAATGGGTAAATAATGGAAAACAGAGAAAATTTGAATGCGATTATTATCAAATATTTTGCCAGATTTTTGACTTAATTTTTTAAAAATTAAGTTTTACTTATCTAAAAATTTTCTATGATCTAAGATTTTTATTCTTAGTTTCATATTGTCAGAGTGCTTAAAATTTAAAGCACTGCAAACAATCAAAACATAAATGTTATTAAAATTCGATATAAAGGTATAAACAGAGTCTAATTTGTAAATGTTCAACCGATTTTATCTTAGAATTCGTTGATTTGATTTGATATGTAACCGACATCTAAGCTGGGTTTTTATTTACTTTAATTGACACTGAAATAGCGACAGCTTTGTATTTTTATTTGAAGAATAGACTGACTGCTTATTTTCGTATTTTTCACTGCAGTGTTTACTAAACAAAATAGTAGCAGCAGAAAGGCACAAAGAAAGGTTTTCGAAATATTTATTCGATAAGTTTAATATGATTATGAATTTTATTTTATACTTTATTTTGTATCTAATGATTATACTTTTATTTTTTTTTTTTTAAAATAACAATACGATATAACGAAAATTATAGCCAAAATAAAAATCAAATAATCGCTTTACAAAAGTTTTAAAAAATATTAATTGTCGCCATTTTGCTTTTAAAAAATCTGACAGTAAGTCTGTTGAGAATTTCTGACAAGTCTGATTTACTGAGTTTTGTTATATTGTTTGATTAGATAAGAGATTTTGCCACTTACGTATATCATAACTAATGATTATTGAGGTTTCAATTGATTCGTAATTATTGTTTTACAATTCTTTTCAAGAAATATATCTTGTTTTCTTTATTTTTGAACGTATCAAAAAATACTCCAAAAAATCACGACTATAAATTCTTCGCATTCAATTGAGTTGGATCAAAGATTTTAAAAACTGTGTATTTTTATTTTTTTTTAATGTCTTTTCATGTATTTTTATGCTTGATTCAACTTTTTGAGCGACATAAAATAAAAACCGCACAAAAATAATTAAAATTTTTATACAAAATAAAAAATTAAAATTTTTATACCTCGCAGCGAAGTCGACTATTTGTCGAGCTTTAAGTGTCATTTTTAGTTCCTTTTGGAAAATTGGCTTTCAGAATTAAAAAAATATTAAATGTTAATTACGCGACATTTATCGACTTTTTAACACAACCAATCGCGAATGTACATATTTTGATTTACAAAACAAATATTTTGAAAAACAAGGAAAAAAGATTTAGTTCACTCATAGTAGTTTGTAAATTTTATATTTAACGCAAGCTAATAATTTTGATAATAAATAGGATAGACTTATTTGGAATAAAACTTGCATATATAAAATATTCTTATTAATAAAATATTTCTTTGCAAACTATGAAAGATAAAAAAAGTATCACAATTAGGTGAAGTGGAAAGGATTTTAATAGAATTAGAGAAACAACTTGTGGAAAAAAAGTTAAAAGCGAAATGCGTAATGAATTATGCACGTATCCAAATCTATATTGGTTGACCACAATTCTTTTATAGAAACCTACCATCCCTTAGTAAAACTCTAATTCGGTGGGTCATTGATTGAGCTCAAAGCGAAGAGAAAAAATGCAAAGCATTCACGGCTCATCTTTAATTATATAATTAGAGTTTATAATAAGTACGATATTTATAATATATGCGTATGCACGATACGAATTTATAGACGTAGCTTAAATTGTTTTTTTTAAATATAATTTTTAGAAGTTGAAGATAAACTGAGAATAAGCAAAGAGAATACTCGTATTCTCTTCGTATAGGTATTTAAACTCATCTTCAGCATTTTGCAATTTTTTTAAAAATTTTCACCAAAGAAAATGTATTATTTCTTTTTAAGGTTTTAGATAATTAAGTTAAAATTTAATACATTCTTGTAAGTTTTGATATTTTTAAATTTAATAACTTAATCAAATTTTGTAAACAATATTGACATAAATGTGTGCATGTTGTTTGGTATAAGGTTTTTGAATTTTCAAGATATTTTTGTCATCGCAAACGTGGACTCACTTAACCCTATGATATCGTAGACCAAAACTTTGTAGTTTTAAATTTTCAAGTAACACTTCAGATTGTTTTTATAACTTTATGCACGGGTGGAAATTTTTTTGTCAGGGCTGGCTTTATACATAACTTACAAACTACGACCAATAGTATCTGAAAGTACATATGCGCATATACGTCTGAATGCCGTTAAGTTTTGGTATAAATATATGTATGAAGATAGATTTGCATAATCTTTTATAGTTTTGCTCTAGACCATAGACTCCTATAATGTACATAAAGATATTCATATAAAGATGTCTGTGTTTAGACCCGATAGTAGATGCATACATATATACATATGTATATATGTATATAATATGCATATATACATATGCACATTATGTTTGTCATGTATTATACAATAAAATTAAACAAATTTCGTATCTTTTCATATTCACTTTTTATAATTCTATTTTAAATTTACTTTTAAGTATATTATATAAAGGCTAAAAAAATGAACTTTTTCAATAATTTAATAATAATATATAGTGATATATAATATAATATGTAGATAATAAATATTAATTTGAAATACATATACGTACATACTTAAATAGAAATTAAATAAAAATAGACAATCCAGCCAATTATTATTTGAAAATTTTGTAATATATTGAATATAATTTAATTGTGTTTTATGTCAAAATAACATTATTTTTTCTTACAGTTTAAAATTTTTGATCGCAGTTATATGTATAAGTTTTGTAACATTGTGTTCAAAAAAAGATAATAAATTGCTTCATAATAATATTATATTCACATTTATACAAAAGAAATTTTTCATTTTAAAAAATATTTTATAAAAATAAATATTTTAACATTACCTATGTATATTATTTAATTTTGTTAATTTTATTTTATTTTTTCTTCCAAAGTTTTTTTTCTTATGATTTTTTGCTTTTTTTATATGATTGATATACACTAATAACTAATCAGCCTCATGAAATTATATACTTCTTTATTTATTTTATTTAAATTTATTAACCTACGAATATTTAATAAGTTTTGTTTTATTATAAAAGGGTAATGATCATAGCTTTTTTTATATATGGAAACAATATGTATGACAGATGAAAATATTTATGTTAAAATATAGGATAAAAATGAACTACTTTTTTAAAACAAAAAAAAATGATTTTAATTTTTTTTTATTTTGTAGAATTGTACAATGAAAAAAAAAATAAAAAACTGAACTTTATTTATGTACTTACGTTATGTATTAAAAAAAGGTTTTTCACTTTTTTTTTAATTTTATGCATATGTATGTGTATAATGTGTATTATTTGAATGTACTTAACATTAGTTTAGGAATTTGCTGTATATATATGTATACATATATTGGTTTATATAATTTAAAATATAATTGCTATTTTATAAGTTTATCTTATTCAACTATATTCTTATTTTACAGTCTTAAAATTAAAGTTAATTTTTCACCTGTTTTATTTGGCCATGGTAAATGTTAACAGTAAATTTACGTTATTAGATTTTTCTCTAAAAATTAATTTATTAATATTGGTTGCTTTAAAATAATAAACAATAATGTTTTGATGGTGGTTTTTTGTATTTAATTATAATCTTGTATAATTTTTTATAATTATAGAATTTCATAATGTCTTCTATAAAATTATATATTAAAAATATTATTTTAAGTTTATTTTAAGTTTATGTTAAATTTCTTTTTAACTTTTATGTATGTTTATATATTACAGCAATATTATTATTTATCAATTAAACTAGATTACATACTATACATACATAACAGAGTGTGAATGTATTCATATGTAATATTAATTTTTTCAAATAAATGTAAATAAACCACCTCAAGAAATCCATGTTAATTATTACACGGAACAAATTAAACAGGTTACAAGCACCGATCTTCAGCTGACATTATATTAGATTTTTTACTTTTTCTGAACATTTTTATATTACATATTTTCTTTTGTTTTAATTTACAATATTACAATAATTTTGAATATTCTTTGCTTATATATGGGAGTGTTTTTTCGTAATATGTTTATTAATAAAATTGAAACAATATAGAATTTATACAAGCATTAAATACCAAACAAAAGTATTTCTGATATATTTATATAAGTTTTTTCTAATATATTTACTACAATAATATAAGTACATTTATAACTAAATTAAAGAAATTCATTTTTAAAATTTACAAAAAATGTACATAATATATAGTAATAATTCACAATATTTTAAATTTCTATTTAAAAATATTTTTTTGTGAAATGAAATGATAAACAAAATTTAATATACATAATTATAATATTGTAAAAAATTTCCGTTATACAAGTTATTTGAATAAAATTTGCTTTCAAAAACTACAAGTTCAAAGAAAGACCAAGATTTCAAGTTCAATGGCGACTTAAAATAAATAAATTTTACAATACGTACGCGCTCTTGCGCTAAAGCAATTTTTTCGAAAATGCTCATATTTTCTTATTGAGACTTTTGTTCACATTTTCCCACATAAGAATTGCATTAGGATAATATGTATTTAAAATTTTTTTCAACATCAATTTAGTTTATTTTTTATATCTAATCAACTAAAGTATCTAAAGAATATCTAAAGTTACTTAAAGAACCCTTAGTTAGATATAATAAACTTGGTGTAACAAACCTTATCAATTGTAAAGAATTCTCTCAATTTCCGTTTTCCGTTCATAAAGTTTATACTACACATTATATTTTTATATATATATTTTTGTGTGTGTATATGAATATGTTTTATTAAATATATACTGTATATGGATGGAATATTAATATATATTTTAGAGAATATTCAAATAAATATTTTCTTGAAAATTAGAATATTATAAATATATATATATATATATATGTATATGTATGTATGTATGTATTTTATATTATATGTCTATTTAGTTTTGCAGCATAATTTGTATTTTTTTATCCAATTACATATGATTCCTATTAAGTCATTCTTATACATATCGTGTATACGTTTGCATTATTATATGCACAACATTTTCTTTTGTAACAAAGATTTACATATTCCCGAAATTGAAAAAAAGTCAAAAAACCAAACTTATCTAAACTTTAAATAAAACTTCAAATGAAACTTTAACTGAAAAACCAAAGTTTTATTTGTGAATAAGTGATTTGCTCATGTTTGATACGTTTTTGCTCGCTTTCAGAAAATATAAACGTTTGTTCTATTTTATGAGGGCGCAATTTTCATACAAATTACGTATTAAATGTGTTTGTGATAACAATTGTAAATATACATAACAAACTCTATTTATTTTATTAAACATATTTACCATTTAATTATAGCATAGAATCGCAATGATCCGGGAACGCAATTTCGAATTTTTATAATCAAAATATTTATTTTTATATAACCAGAAAATTTTGTATATAAAATGTATAGTATCTATGTTGGTATACCATAGATATACATAATTTTCATTTTTATGTTAAATTTTTTTAATTATTTATAATTTTATATATTTTTTATAGATACTTAAAAAAAGTATGAATACCAAGACTATTATCGTTATAATTTAACTTTTTGGAACACAATTTCGCATACAAGTAAATATAAAAATTTATACTTATTTATTTCTAAGTTTTTTCTAAATAAACTCTTGGCAATGTGAATTTAAAACTTGTATAAAATTAATTTCTTTTTATTATATTCCCTTTTGCTACTGTTAATTGTGATCTTTAATTATAGTATATGTATATATTTACCTTAATAATCATTATTGCGGTAAAACAATTAATACTCGTAAACTCAATTTTATTGTTTGTGTTCCTTAAAAATTTGTTTATAAATTTATAAATTATTGTGAAAATTCTTAAATTGCAAATTCGAATTACCGCGAATCTTACTATATTTAAATTATTATACATGTAGTCTTATAAGCTAGTAAATATGTATATGTTATAACATGTTATCGCAATTGAATAAGATGTTATGAAGTAAACTTCTTTAGATCTCAGATACTTATAATTGAATCGAACTTGGTTCTTATTTTAAATATAGACTTTTCCTTACTTAGATATTTGCGTATAAAAATCTTTGTTTATTGTATTTTTTTATGCGTATGTACCTATATAATAATAATTTATTTATAATTATCATTTTTATATAAAAAAATACTTTTATATACATGTTTTTTTTTGCTTTCCCTTACTCTTTTCTTAAATATTTATTCTATGTTAATTTATTTCTTAGCATTTAAATTTTTTACCATTTGTTTTTTGTTTCTTTATATTACTAATTTTAGGAAAATATGTTTAGGTTTTATTTTTGCTCTTTTATTTTTTTTCACTATAAATAAAGAATTTTTTGGGTAAATTTTAAAAATAAGTGTTTAGAGTTGGTTAAACAATAAAAAGCAAGTAGGAGATTTTAATCAAAGGAAATGTACGTGAATATTTTTTTAACAATATTGCTATAAATGCGAACACAATTATCATATACATATTAATATTTTTTAAAAAGCCCAGTTAGATTTAAAAAGTAAAAACAAATTTGTGTCTAAAATATGAACAATTTCAGAAAATCTCGGCTCAATTAATTTAATCATTGTCATATTGACTTGTTTTTAATTCTAATATTTAACTTACAAAGTTAATTATTATTTCATTTTTTGTTATATAGTTTCAATGGTTTTCATTTTTATAAAAATAATAAAAGTAGGCATAATACATTGTACGTTTTACTTGTTATTTTAAAATGCTTTTAGTTCAAGAAAGTTTTTCTTAATCATCTTTCAAATTAATTCGCGTACTTAAATATATTTTGTGTTCGTGTTATTTATCTTTCTAAAAAATAAATTTATGAGAATACTTCTTTGTAGTTAAAGTTCATATTCTATACTTATATAACACATTTAGATAATTTTTTAAGTATTAATATAGAGTAGATTATAATAATATAGTTTCAATTCATTATGACAATTAGTATTTTGATATTGAAATCATTGTTTACATCTTATAATCATTTTTCAATATTATATAATTAATATTCGAATGACTAATATAGAGTATACAAATTCCAAAAATTAATATATTGCTCTGCTATAGATTAACTATGCATGTAAAATTTCTTTCATTAAGATATGCACATTTTTATGCATAATGTTTTCTACGTACACTCTATAACCATTGGTTGATTTGATTCTATTACACTTGGTCTACTCTCTGTATGCTGTGTATTTAGATGCGGATGTGCGTTTGAAATTGCTAATGATATACCAAAATTTTGTTCCGAAGATGAATTTGATGATTGGCCTACAATAACGTGCGGATTAGATATTTTAGTAACAACCTTTGACATATCTGTTTTATGTATATCATTATGATTTTGTGTTATTTGTTGTGCAAGAACTTGTTGATGATGATGTTGATGTAATTGTTGCGGTTGTTCTTGTTGCGAAAGATGATGATTTTGATTAACAATTATTGCTGTAGAATGATGTGAATGTTGTAATATTTGTTGAATTTGCTGGGATTGCTGTTGTGCTATTTGTTGCTGATGCACTTGATGCGGCTGATGTAATTCAGCAGAATTGTGTTGTTGTGAAGAATTTTGTGCGTTAATTGTTGCCTGCCTTAAATGGGTATGAGATTGAGAATGCGTTTGGATTTCATAAGATTCTCGAGAATCTGGTTCCGTTGGTTCTTTATCAGGACCTAAAATTCAATTAGAACATAGTAATTAGAAAAGATATTTAAATATAAAGACTTAATTAATTCAAAACAGAACAGTTAACTTAAGAAATCTTTGTGAATATTATTAGTTTCGAAACATGTTTGAAATACCATACAAAAGATATAAACTGAAACTTTATATTTTGAAAATAAGTAACTTAAGCAATTTTAATTCCTAAATATTTGAAATTTTTGATTTTTTTAAAGTAATATATTTTCGACACTTTTTTTCAATCATTAAAGGAATCATTTAAATAATTTTTATTTATGCATATAATATATACTTTACAAACTCACTCAAACACTCAGATGTGGCAGCAGCAGCCATAGCAAGTTCTTCTTCTAAATTATTTGGTTTACAACTTGTTGTTTTCCAATGTGTCCTCAAACCTGAGGCACTTATATATTTTTTGTCACAACCTTGGCAAACATAAGGTCTGTCATTTGTATGTAATCGTTTATGTAATTTCAGATGAACAAATTGTGTAAACTTTTGCGGACATAAATCACAAGCATAAGGTTTTTGACCACTATGTAATCTTAAATGTGTTTTTAGATTGGAAGTTGATGAGAATCGCTTTTTACAAATTTCACATTGATGAGGTTTTTCCCCTGTGTGCACTAGATGATGCTTTTGCAAATGTGCCAATTGTGTAAATGATTTAGTACAAACGTTACATTTAAAAGGCCTCTCTCCAGAATGAGTACGCAGATGTACTTTTAAATTTGAAAGTTGTCCAAAAGTCTTACAACAAACATTACATTCGTAATGCATTTTGCCATCTTTCTTTTTGAGAGGGTAAGGTAAGGATCTGTACCCTCTGGAACCATGAGATTCTGGACTCATTGGGCTGCCGCTCCTTGTACAAGAATTTCCGTCAGGACTCAAGCTACAAGATGGCGAAATTGGTCCATTACGTAAAGGAGATAAATTTGTCACAAGCGGGGTCAGTGGTTGCATTAAACTATGATTTAATAAATGCTGATTATTTTGCAATTGATGTAAGCTTGTAGGAGAATTTCGCATCGCATAATTTTGATTAGCGGAAATTCGATCATAACCACTGCTGTTATGTGGTGGAGAATAAGTAGATGTTGGTGTGTGTTGTGCTGCAATATTATGTAAATCTGCTGGACTATTAGATGAATAATTATATGTGGAATACGAAGGTGATTGACGGCAAATCACTTCTTGGTATTCGTTATGTGAATGATTATTTGATCGTGTTTGGTAATTTGGTGAGAAAATATTTGTTTGCTGCGAAACAGAATTTGAGATTTGTGTTTCTTTACTACTGCTTCCATTCAAAATTATATGGGATTCACATATTTCTTGATTTAGAACTATATGATTAGAGCTTGAGTCAGGGCTTACTACGTTACCATATCTATGCGATTTTTTATATGAATAAGCCATTTCCGTAGGAGAAGTAGGTGGTGGAGTAGCAGCATTTTGTTGCTGTTTAGCAATTTCTTGATTATTTGTGATACGATTACCAGTGGTTAATATAGTTTCCAAAATACTTGAAGTTGGAGGAGAAAATCTTGCATAAGGTACTTGTTGCGTTAACGATAATGAAGCTTCAGGAGGAGGCGGTGATACTGTCTCAGATTCGTAAAACTGTTTACCATATGAGACAACATTATGTTGTTGATCATAATGGGAACTGTGAGCTGTGGATTGGTTTCCATCTAAAACAATTACACTATTTGTCGTTGTATGAATATTGGATGTCATTAAAACTGATGACCTTTCTTCTAGCATTTCAGAATTAACTTCGGTTTCAATAACTTGGTTTATATTGTTCGTGGAACTTGAAATAAGTGGCGTTACTATCATGCTATTTAATTTAACTTTTTCTGCAGAATTTTCTGCATTTGAATTAATATGTTCTGATTTAGTTTTAGTGATATTATTAGTTTGATGTATTACATCTACTGTTTTACTATTAACACAAAATTCTTTTGCAGTCGTTGTATTATTACTAGTGGTGGTATCTTTTTCACATTCAGTCTTAATTGTCTTATTTTTAAACTCATACTTTAGTGGCATTTTCATTTTAACTTTACGGTATTCGTTCTTATTATCACAATCTGTTAATAATTTCTGAGTGATTGCAGTCTCTTTGGGTTCAATGGCTTTTTTTGAACAGTCTAGAACATAATTATGTTCACTGTCACTATCACTAGAATCTTCTGGGGGAGTCAAAGCATCTTCATGATATTCATTACTATGATAACCTTCATCAGAACGGACAGAACCATCGTTTGGTGTCAAGGAATGTGCATCATCAAAATGCGCATCCTTATGCGATGAAATCGGCGATTCTACAATGCTGATATCGTTGCTTTCCTTACTTACTTCCCGATTAATTTGCGTATGTTGTTGATGAGTATTGGAAGAAACAACAGTTGGTGATTGATCTCGTACAATCATCTGTATTTTTGATTCAGCCTCATTTGCAATTATAGTTGATTTCGTGTCGTTAATATTTTGATTTTCACTATTAATACTATTATTGTAATTTACATTGCTATTTTCAGATCTTAAATGGACTACAGTACGATGACAATGTTTTAAATTCAATTGTTGTTGATACTGTTGCTGGTGTGGTGGTTGTAGTGCATCAGATAGAAGACATGTATGTTGCTGAGATTGTTGCTGTTGTGTTGGTTGTTGTGATGATTGTTGCCTATTTTCAGTGAAGGGTTCTTGACTTGAAGTTGAAAGAATTTGAATATTTTGATGGTTATTTAGAGTATGTGGTGGTGATGGACTTGGTGTTAGTGATCTCCTTGTGGGAATGTGTAAACCCATAACATATGTTATATGATTATACGCAACTTCTGGCGATATTTGTGGCGTTGTTAAATTTGTATAATGTTTTTTTAAAGTTTCCTCTTTACAAATGCTATATGTCGTTCTTTCAGGATCTACGTCATAGCCTAATCTTTTTGCAAAGTCTTTACAATACCATACCATGAGTTCCTCACTCGGCATTATGTCACGTATTGTATAAAAATATATATTTTCTTGATGTTGGCAAGCAACTAAATTCATAACAGATAAACTATAAGCACAACCCACGTAACGCATCCAATTAGATTGTGAACAGTCGGAGCCATCTAAATAATAGTAATCATCATCCTTGAATATCTAATAATAAAATATAAAATAAAACAATATTAGTTTTGGTTTCAATTTTCAATTGAAAACATAAAATGGTCTGAAAATGGAAATGAATACCCATAAATTATACCTAATTTTACATTAAATAGTATTTCTTTTTAATTTTTATTTACAATATTGTTGATTTGTCTACAATAAAGTATATATGTACACATGCTTATACAAAAGATAAATATTTTATGAACATAATTTTAAGTGCGGATAAAAAAGTATATTACTATACAATTACATATACATTAACTTTTATAATTAAATGTTTAAAATTTAATTCGAATTTTTAACGCGGATTTTGAAATCTTAACGTTATTAATCAATTTTGAAATAATATGTCACGATCATATTTTAGACAGTTATACTTTTTTTAGGGTGTTTTAGTAAAAATTTAGTCCGTATTTAGTATTTCGAATCGAAATTGTTTTTCAAATGAGAATTCGACTATTTTCTTAAGAAAAGTAAACTACTCTAGTCCTATCCTACAGACATTCACGTTATCCATGTAATTTCTCAATATATAAAGAAGAAAATAGTGTTTCAGTTAAATACTTAATTAATTCAGTTAAATACTTAATCCGCTCTATCCTTATGCTCATAAAAGTATTAAAACAGTCTTATATTGATATATAAATATATCTTAATCGTATAAAATATTTAATATACCTTAATGTTTCCATAAGTAATGTGTCTTGTTCCCTGCACCTAATTAAAATTGTTTAAATGAAAAAATGCAATATTTGTTAAAATGTTAGTTAATTTCGATTTGAAAACAATTGTTGATTATTAGAAAAAAGAAAGAATATATAAAACATTCAAAGCTCATTCAAATCATGATAAAGACCATGTTAATACATTAAATAAATTATAATTGAACATGCTTATAACATTAGTAAATTAGCATTATGCAAAAGCATTTATAAATTACATAAATTTAAGATAAATGCGCATTTCGAGTCTTAATTAAAAGGAAAATGATTATGTAAATAATTGTAATGTGATATTAAACTTATAATATTTATACATGTAATTGAACTAGGATAATTTTTTCTGTGTAACTATATGTACATAGGTGTACATTTTAGAAATATTATAGAAAGATCTATTTCAAATATTATAGAAAACTTAAATAAAATATACTTACTCGCCAAAAATATCTTGCAGCATTTTTATCAAGAGGATAATTCGGCGTGGGTACACCTTCGAATGGGCCAAACCTTGTACCTCTTGGTATTACTCCAGTACTCCATACACCTTCAGTCTAATTTTTAAAGAAAATCCATATATCAGTTTTAGTTTTATAATTTGTTACAGGGTTTTAATTGAACTTAAAACAATTCAAATGTGAACGAAAGATGCATCCTTATGACGAATTGAAGTATCTTTTGGGGATCGATTTCTCGCAAATTTCTCGCAATACGTGACCACCAAGTTAGAACTATTGTGTAACGCATTATAATCGATGTATAAAGCATTATTGATATGGAAAAACATTATTGTACCTAACAGTTTTAAATTTTAAATAACAGATTCATAAATTTTATTTCAAAATTTTTAAAACTTAAGTAACTTTCAAAATTTTTAGCCGAAACTTCAAACATGTAAGTTTGTAACGTGTAGTTTACTTAATTTACGTGAAATAAATTTTCTAAAACTTTATCCATGTAACTTCATATTAAAAAGGAGAAAAAATAGATTTGACCGTGTCAATTCTGTGATATCCGTACAAATTGGTTATCCTATGTGCGAATAAATATGCCATACAAATATGTCGTATTACCATATTAATTTATGCAAAATTTCAGTACTGTGTTTTCAATATTTTCTAAGACAAGGCTACTATTGAAATTGTATGGCTACTACCACAACGAGTCAAGAAATTTCAATGATTTTTATCACACATAACAGCCCTAATAATACAACTGTTTTCACGAGATTTCTATATTATAATTCCAATAATTTAAGATAATGCCAAATAACTTTTGAAGTTGTATGGCAGCTACCAAAACCAGTATCTCAATCATGTCCAGTTTAAATAGGGTTCTGGAATTTACTAAAATAAATCATTTGTGAAAATTTGGTGAAATTTCATTTGTGAAACTTAGCTCAATTAGGTTTTGAGTTATCACTGGGATGGACGGACGGACAGATAAAGAATTCGACGCTGATCAAAAACATACACTTGAGTCTATATCTCATTATTTCTTAGCGTTACAAAGGGTAAGGCAAATTTAGTATACCCTTCGAACGTTCGTACGGGTATAATGACTATTGTATAATCGAATGTGATTCGTATGATGAATCCAACGGTCAATATAATTAAAATTTAAAAACTTTAATATAATATTTTTACCTTTACATTTGGTTCAACTACCGATGGTTTTAAAGTTAAACTTCTTGGTAAAGTTTTTTCTGCTCTATTTTTAATACCTCTTTCACAATGTACATCTGGAACAATATATACCGTCAAACGCTCAAAATCTTCTTCACGCATACGTGTAACATCATAGTCTTTAATATCTTCATCATCGGTCGGCGGGGTTGAGTTTCGATTAAGTTGTGATCTATGGTTTTGCGTTACAGTTTGATTGTGATTATTATTAATAATTTTTGGATTATTATTATCCATATTTCGCTGATGAAAATTCTTTTGCGTTCGATATTGTTGTAGATGCTTTTCTGAATGTGTTTGGTGTTCCTGAGTGATCTGATGTTGAAATTGATGTTGAAATTGATGTTGCTGCTGCCGCCGCTGTTGTGGTTGTTGTAGTACTTGTTGTTGCTGCTGTTGATGTTGTTGTTGGAGTTGTGTTTGGTTTTGTTGTTGTTGTCGAAGTATATGGTGATGGTGCTGCATTTCTAATATGGTTTTCACACATGTAGAAATTAAAACTAAATATTAAATCTGAAATGACAAACAATTCAAATAACATTATTATCATAAATAATATTTATGATAATAATGTTTTAATACAGAATATTTATATTCTGTAAATAAATTATGTTATTTACTTTATAGTTTACTAAATTATTACACCTAAAAAAATTTTTTATTGACAATGTAACAACATTTGCAAACAATGTTTCCTGAAAGTGATCCGTGAGTGGAAGGTGAATTGTACATGAAATGTTTTTCTATTTTCTGCGGCAGGCTAATCACCTAGTTAAAAACCTAATGACGCACGAAACTGGAGTGGGTTATTTACAATATTATGTACTCACCCTTGTGCTCCTGCCAGGAGTGAAGTAAGAATAAAAAAGTGTATTTTAATTCTACTTTGAAGAGGACTGAAATCTGTCTGACATAAAGAGTGTGTTATAACAAATTAATAGATCAAATTATCAAGCAAATGTTTAAGTTTTAGTTTTAGTAAAGCCTTTTTGCCTTCCTTACTCTATTATATGATTTTAATTTGTTCGTGTACATTGCTTTAGAATTTTGTTAAGACGCCTATTAAGTGCTACTTAATTTTTGAAACTTTATATCTTTGTATTTTTTTTAACATGTTATAAATATGTTAAGTTAATTTTTCGAATGAAATGATAACGCAAAGATATTTAATAATTTTAATACATCGTCTCCTAAACATAAAGTGTTCCCTTTTGATAGGACATAGACCCACAAATTCAGTTCTCTATATAAAAACTATTAACTACTCAGTTATTCATACTTTAAAAGTGCACGGAAACAGTCAAGAAAGATTTAACATTGGTGGAATATCGTTTTTCGGCCATTGCAGTTATATTGTGGTCAAGGCAAGTTCCTTGTTGGATTTCCTTAAGCGAAGCGTTCGTCGAAGGAGTTTAATGAGGCTTACACAATTAAAACCTCTTTACTGCTGCCTTGTTCACCCACATCTTGAATACGCATCACAGGAATTCATAGGAACAGAATTAAGGCTATTCAAAAAAATTTCTTGAGATTCGCTTTGCGTCACCTTCGCTGGGAAAATCCTCTAATCTTGCCTCTTATTAATGTACATTAAAGTACTCATTCGCATGCCTACCCTGGCTTAAAGACGAGAAATCGTGGATGTTAGGTTTACTTCCCTTATTTTGAGGTCGGGGATGATATCGCCCGATATTCTGAGCAAAATTGTCATTAACAATAATGTGAAATTTTGCTCGCCGAATCTTTTTGCAGTACCCTTTCATAGGACTAATTAAGGCAAGCACGAGCCGGTAAGCAGAATGTTGCGTTTTAAGAATAAATATAAGGACAATTTAGATTTTAGAATAACGAAAGACAATTTAAAGAAGCGACTTTATAGACTTGGCAACCAGATTACCCTTTTTTTATATATTTTTTTTCTATTACTTTGACTTAACTCTAATTTGTTAATAATAGGCAATTTTATTTTTAATTTTGTGGCTTGACAAAAAATATATATAAGTACATATGTATATATACGTTATATATGTAATTATTAAAAATAATTAAAAATGTGTATGATTATAATTTGTTATACATACATATGTAAAAGTAAAAACAAAATTTTAATTCAATGTATGCATTATTTCTAAAATGTTTGAGGCAAACATGAAGTAAATAAGTAAATCAATAAATAACTGATTATATAAAAAGTTTAAATTGTTAATATGTAATCACTCGAATTCATCCATACGTATACATACGTATTTGTTTATAACCAAGTATATATATTCATGAATACATAAGTATGCTAAAATGTATTAATATAATGTAAAACATTGAGAAGTATAATATTTTAATAAATATAAAATTTCATGCAATGAACAATTTGAAAAAATCTTATATAATAATTTAAAACAATGATATTTAAATAATATTTAAATCAAAAATTTGAAATACTCATAGTCGGATGTACATAATTATGAAGGTTGTTGCAATGCACGTGAAGTATCTTGGTGTAAATACCGAAAAAAATATATTTATACATGTACATATATGCATTACATAATAAAATGAAAAAAATTTAAAATTTATTTTCATATTTTTAATGTAATTTTTTTCACTTTTACTTTATTTTACGATGTTTTTGAATTTTAATTTTTTATACATATGTATGTACATATGTATGTATCCAAGTATGGATATGTACGCATTCCATTTCGTTTAACTAAGCTTTCAAGTAAAAGCCTACAAATTTGCGCAAGTATATATGTATGTGTTCAAAAGCCCGATCATACTTTAACAGCCCTGTATAATTTATAGTTCCCAAGATATGAGTAAATTATTTTAAGAGTTCTATGGTTTTTTTATTTATAAATGCAAATTTCATTTCTATGGGTAAGTCTTTTTTGCATTTCCACATTAGTTAACATGTAAATAGAATAAAATAACAAAAAAAAACGCTTGTAAATTACTTAAAATTTCAATATACCCTATGTGTAATATTATGTATAAACATACATACACGCGCACTTGTGTATGTACTTTAAAACAATGAGTGCATGCATATATACGACGCCATTTATTACACACATATATGTACTATACATAATGCCATAGCATTATTTAATTTAACTACTTATTTAGCTTATCTATACTGCAAACAAAAACCTACATATTTCAGCTTTGCGTTTGCACTTTTGGCTTATTAACTCAAATAATTTCAAGAGCTGAAATGACTAAAAGTTTTTGCTTATCCCTTAATAAATTTGATATTATTTAGAAACAAAAAAGTTTCAACGAATTTGCAAGTGACATTTTCGAAAATAGGTACATATACATACATAGAATACATGTCGAATTCTTTTTATATGTATATGCGTATGTTTGAATTTTAAAACATACTTCATTTAACAGAGCGGATAGAAAGTATGTACCTAATTATCGAAGAAATTAACTAAGTTAGACTGAGTTATAAAAAGTACCAATTTATGAATATGCAATATATTATGTATATCTGTTTATATATATGTTTATGCACGGTATGTCTAATAAACAATTACTTCTTATCTCTTTATATTATTATTTATTAAATAATGTTCAAGGACACATTATACTGCTTTTTACATGTATGTATGTGAGCATATGTATATATATATATGCATATGTACATATGTATATGACATGTATTGCTTAGTTTCTTATCATTATCACAATAATTCAATATTTTAGAAAAACGTAAAATAAAAAAAGTAAATTTTAAATTTTTTCACAAAAACAAGTTACTGCAAATAATAAAACAAAAGTAAAATAGACACTTTATTAAAAATATATGAACATATATGTACATACAAATTTTCACCAAATCTCTGGCCATTTAAAGTAGTACCTTCAGTTTTGTCACACCTTAATTAGTCAGTTAATACTCGTATGAGTGATTCGTTACTATAGTTGTAGATTATAGATTATTGAAGGGAGATATGGGCAAAGGAACAGTTTTGGCTTATTGCAGCCGTACCATATCCGATTCCAAGTAAAAAACACGGAGGGATTTCTCAGGGAGTTGGACGTGAACTCCTCAACACTGAGAAAGCCCCTTCCAATCACTCTACGTTTTCTTACGACTAGACATGCTTTAAAGAAGATGTTTACTTTAAATTCGTGTTTAAGGTATTGCATTTGGCACTGATAACTTAGTAAAGCTTTAGTTAAATATTTTCTGTAGAAGTGTAATATACACAGCTTTAAAAATGTTTATTATGGACAAAATTCAATTGTACATATGTATGTTTAATGCAATTGATGATGCGACGTACCTAAAAACCGTGTTAATCAGTAATCTCGTATTAGATTTAAATATTTAGAAATTCGTGAAAAATGATAGATGTTATAAAATAAGCATGTGTCAGCATATTTTTTTAACATACGCGTCTTTAATAATGTTACTATCGAGCATAATAGGAACATATACTAATATAGAATTATTTATATGTACATACGAAATGGGATTCTTTTTTTAACATAATGTCCTTTTTCATAGTCAAGTAATTAAAAAAAAATTAAAATGTAACAGACGCAAAAAGGAAAATGGAAAAAAGTAAAAATCAAGTACATCTATATGCACATAAACATACATACATAATACATTTTTTTCTTTTTCAACGGATGACAACGAGTAAAACTACGGAAGACGACAAAAACGACGACAACGATATAAAGTATTGTCATCTAGCACGAAAATGTAGTAAAAAACGTTTGTTATTCTTCTGTTTTACTTGTTATCGCGTATTATTCATACACAGTTTTTTATTCAATGTTGCGGCCTTTGTAGGGGTTACGTTCACGGGCCATTTTCTTCCTATTGCAATGTCAAAAAAGCTTTCTAAGTTTTTTTTGCAGTTACATGATGTATACATGCATTATAATAATATGAATCTATACATAACGAAAAAGCGATATAAAGTGACGCCAATTAAAAATAAAATGTTCCTCTCAAGCCGATATGAAAATGATTTTAGCTTTTTTATTTGAATAGTTTTTCCTATTCGATGTTTGTATTATGTATTGTACATTCATACATACGTACATACATACATATTTATTATTTCAGAGATTAACAGCTCTTACTCAAAAAGTGCTTTTTTTTGCATTTTGGTATAGGTATGTATGTCTCATTATAAAACAACAAAACTTGAATAATGCAAATGCAATGCACTATGAATATATATACATAAATTGCAAATCTGTAGCGTAAAAATTATTGAATTATGTAGACGTAATAAAATTAAATTTATTTTTTATTTTTATTATATATTTGAATGTATTTATGTATATATTTATAATTAAAATTAACAATTATTAACAAAATTTTACGGATACGAACAATAGACATACCTTTGTAAGTTTTGTTTATTCTGTGACTTTTTATTCTGGATTTGCACGTATATTTCCTGTTTTTTTTCAATACAATTTTAATTGAGAGCTTTTCCAAAAATAAATGTTCTTGTAATATCGAAATATAGAATCGAAAACTAAAATTTGCATACCATATAAAATTTTCAATTTTTAAAATTAGTTTTTGAATGGTTTAAACTAGTTTTGAATGATCTGGAGTCTTAAAATAACATAATAAATTTCTGTCGACATTATATAAGAATGTATGCATAAAATAAACATGAATACAAAATTTTATCTGGCTTAATTTAAATGAAAAATGTACGTTTTCATGTCTAATTTAAATACAGAAATATATAGGTACGTTTGTTCATATTAAAAAAATACGTTTGTTCATATTCATATACGTTTGTACACATTTTGTTAATATTTTGAATAATTTATATAAATAATATGTAAGTAGATAAAAATAATATCAAATTGCTTATAAAATAAAATAACGGGAATGCATTCAAAAAAAGTAAAATAACAAAAATATTTTTTTTAGTTAACCTTTCGGAAAATATATTTATATTCGTTACATATTTTTTTGTGAATACGTACCCACGAAGGAATACACATATTTTGGGTTCAATAATATTATTCTTTGAGTATACATGTATCAATTTTTTTTAGATAAGTAATTTTTTCCTCGTTACTTAAACGGACATATTTAACATTTTTTCTTTATTTATGCATTTTTTTTTGTAATTATAAAAGTGAATACTTTTTATTTTATTTATTTTTATATATTACATTGTAATTTTAATAGCACATAATTTAAGCGGATTATTTGCCGGTTCTTAAAAACATATACACATGTGATTTTAATCTTAAAAAAATTATTTTTAATACACTTTTCAAAATGTTTCCTTTTCGTTTTGTTTGTTATTTAATATGCTTTAAATATATGTGTAAATGTTTTCTTATATTACATTTCTTTTTAATTTGTTAATTAAGTTTTTTAATTATTATAAAAATGCTCAAAAAATATAGTCTTTTTATGCCTACTACTCGTAACCAAAAAGAAATGTTTTTTTTTCGTTTTCTATTCCATTATTCTTATTTTAATATTGTTAACAAAAAATTATAAAACTTTTGAAAGCTATACATATGAATTATATCCTTTTTATCTTATAATGTAAAAAAGAATTAATAAAAATGAATAAAACGAAGGGAAATAAAAAAAAAACAATTGATGCACCCGACGCAATTTTAAAGATGGTGAATTTTTAACGTTTAAACTTTTACTACTGACCCAGTTCTTGCGCTTTTCAACTTACGAAAAAAATTTCTCTTCCCGATTTAAGTTCAGAATCGCTAAAACTTTTCGCATGTAAAAAAGTGTATGTACATACATATTATTTATTTTGTATTATTTTGTTCTTTATTATTCTTAATGTAGATGTCATTTTAATTTTCATATAAGTTAAACGTATTTATTATATACTTTTTCTAGTATATAGGAAATAATTTTTTTTTATTCGATGTGAATTTGAAAAATATACATATATGCATATGTATATTTTCAAGCCTTTAAATTATATATAAATATGCAAACATATATACATATATAAGTACGTGTGCATGCATACATACATATAAAAAAAATTAAATAGAAATATATTAATGGTAGCTGATATTTAGTAACAATTGCTTTTGGAAAGATTATAGCTGCTAAGTTTTCATTAACATAAGGCGATTAGTTAATTGTCATAAGTTAAATATGAATTTAGTCAGTTGATATAACATGTATTATTTCAAGATTTTCATGCCCCCAAAAATGCAAATCAAAAGAAAAATAAAAAAGGTAGCAAAAAAACAGTTCACCAAGGTTTCTAACGAATACACAAAAGATTTTAATCTAGAATATGTTTATGTGTTGTGTATTTTAAAATGCATAAAATGCATTTCTAAAAGAGCTTTTCATTTCATTTTTAATTTTTAAAGTTTTTGCTTTTATTTTATGTTTTTTTATAACACGCAAAAGCTTAAAATATTTTTTTATATTATAAAGAAATATTTTTAGCAAAAGCTTCGAAATATAGTTTTTGTAGATTAAATTTTTTGTTTAGAAGTTTTTACAAAATATAAAAATTTTGTTCCTTATAATCATTTTTATGAAAAAATATATGCATTTGCTATATATGTATATGTATGTATGTTTGTACATAAAAGGAAAAGATTGACTTAAATGTCGAAATTTTATAAAAAATTTTTAATTTAGTTTTCAATTAATTTGAAAATTTATTAAAGAAATTTTTTTGTTGTTGAAATACAATTTCTGTTGCATATCGGTCAAAAAACATTTTTGAAACAAAAACATTTTTGATGATATATTTTGGAGAAACAAATATAATAATGCTTTGAAGTTGTATGGCCTGAACCTAAAAGTGTGCAATATTTAATATTATATGATCATAAAATAAACTAGTTGGAAATATTTTTAATAATATCGCTTTGATTCAGAGTTCTTACATACATAGTTAGTTTTTTAAAAACCAATTTAGTCAATGAAATAAGTACCTCCAGTTCTAAAGAATAATGAAAGTGCATTTTATTATGTTTCTTCCTGTAAGTCGCATAGAAAATAAAAAAAGCAAAACAGCGTATATAATATATTTATATTCTTTTAAATTGTACATGTACATAAGTATGTACATATGTTTGGCTTTATATATTTATATATAAGAAATTCGTTCCTAATTTTTTTTAATTAAACAGTCCATGTATTGTTCATTAAATTTAAATATTATATTATAGATGGAAATAAAATTAAAAAAAAACTTACATTTTTTTAGTTACATATACATACATATAGATAGCTGCAATTTTAATAATATTTTGTCTAACATTATATTATTTTTAGATTTTCACTTTCCGCAAACATTAAACTTAAACATGAACATAAATTACATCAAAAGAAAAAATAACAACTAAAAAGAAAACAAACAAAAAAATCTGGGTTTAAAAAAGTGTAAATGCAATTGCACATTCACATCTATAAACATCGCGTATCACTCAATACATTTGCACTATAATATATACCTAAACAATATACATATACATATACGACTTTGTCAGTGTGCTCTTCTAAAAACTATGCAAAATATTTTTAGCGTTAAAATGACATTGAAAAATAATGATGCGTCTGCTTTGCGTTAGCTTTTCAAGTACTTAGTACAATAAAAATATAAAAGAGAAAAACATAAAAACAGATTCTATAGGTTATTAGATTAACAATCAGGAAGTTAAATTCTAATAATATGAAAACATATTAAAATGATAAAATATAATTAAATAGTTTACGTATATAAAATAGAATCGGCGTATTCATGGTTGCATAAATTTTAATAAAAATTAGCTATTATAGTTTTTAAGAAATTAAAACTGTAGTAGCTAATTGTTTTCAAAAAAATTTTAAATACTTGTACATACATGTAGCATTTATATTTACATAAGCATAATACAGGTTAAAAATGTTGCACTCAGGTATTTTACATCGTAGAATGACTTTTATTTCCATTTGTATAGCCTCAATCTTTGTAAGTACATATATCAATATACACATTACATCTAAAGAAATAATTCCAGACCTAAAAATTCGTTAATTTTGCAAAAAAAAAAGTTAATTAAATGTTAATAAAAAAAATTTATTAATTTTTGAAAAATTTACATACCGTTCAAAAGCATTTTATTTTTTTCTATCAATCTTCATAATCTGAGAGAAAATTGAAATATAAAACCAGAAACTATTTTTATTATTTGAAAATAATATTTACCGACTTTTAATAAAATTTTTAAGTATTATTGTCCAATTTTCGCCCATACAAAATATTTTGTTTTTTAAATACTATATAAATATTTGCAAATTACTTGTATAACATTCGTATACATGTACATTAAATATACATATTATGAAACAAAGTAATAGAAAAATTATTTACTTTTTTTTTATTTGTTGTTTATATAAAAGCTTTCACATTCATTAATGCATAAAAATATACAAATGTTTACACATATGTACATAAAGCATAAATAGAAGATTTATAAAGCGGGTTGATAATCACAACCCTTTCTCTTTTAGCAAAAAATTAATGCGTTCATGATCAATTAGTTTCGAACTTTTGATTTTAACATTGGTATAGATACTGAAATTCTAATTATTCTTTAGGAACTAAAAGCAAAAATTGAAATATTTAGGAGAATTTTGGATACTTATATTTTGTAATTAAAATTTGCTCAATTAACATTTTATATAACTTCACTAAGATATGGCAGAATTTAATCTTTTAAAATATATCCTTTGGTTTTGTGTGATTTATAAGTATATATACATATATATATATATATATAAATATATAAATATATGTACATAAATGTATTATAATATTTCCTAATATTTCCTAAAATTATATAATCTATATATATAATCTATATATATATATATATATATATATATATATATATATATATAAATATATTTTCTAATATTTCCTAATATTACATTATTTAAAACATTAATAATATAATATTAGGAAATTTTAACACAAAAATAAGTAACCATTTCAAAATTGATATTACTTAACCATATGGATTTATTTAACATAACTAATGTCGCACATTTACCGTTGCTATATATCATATGAAACCAAAAAAAAAATTAAATCAATAAAAATATTATAAAATTATGTATATGCGTATGTACATCTAGATGTATACTGGTACTGTATATCAGAAATGCATTTGCATTTTATAGAATTTTTTTCTACATAATATACGAGTATATATTTAATATATTATTTACAATTGTATATACGATGTATGTACTTTTATATCTTTGTCCATATCTATATAGATCTAATGCATTTATCTTACGTCGTTGCCAGCTATCTACACATCCACATATAGATACTTACATGTATAGTAAATATAGTATTTCATTGCACTTTAACCTTGAAAATGCTGCGCATGTGCAATGATAATATTAAAAGCTTACTTGTTATAATTTATATGTGTAGTTTAAATTGTTAATGCATTTTTACAAATTTTTTCGTTTTTATTTTTTTATTTAAAGCCATTAGAAGCTTATTTACTTAGAAATGTACTATTGTGGTCGCATTTTTTCTGTTTTATTATTATTCTAATCATTTTATGAGGAATTTTTTTTTGTTTGTATTTATATTTCACACTAGGAAAGTTTCCATGTTTTATAATGCCAAACTACATTTTATATTATCTATATTTTATCCGCCCGTCCGACGGTAACTAAAAAACTAATGGAGCTAAGTTCACCAAATTTTCACAAATGATTTATTTAAAAGCCAGAACCCTATTTAAATTGGATATAATCGAGGTATTGGTTCGTGTAGCTGCCCTACAACTTCAAAATTTATTTGGCTCTATCCTAGAAATCATAGAAGCTATAGTTACTGAAATTTTATGAGCAATGGCGATAGCTGCCATACAACTGCTGAAGTTATTTGACATTATGTCAGAAATTATTAGAGCTCAGAAATATTGGAGTGAAAACTAGTGTACACGTATTATTAGGGCTGTTATGTGTGATAAAAATCGTTGTAATTTCTTGACTTCGTATGGTTATATTTTAGTTTGGCCGTCTCTTAGAAAATATTGAAATCACATTACTGAAATTAATATGGTAATGAGGCAACTTAAACTCATAGTCTGTCCTATAGTCAGCTATGGCATATTTACTCGCACATATGAAAACAAATTCGTACGGGTATCACAGTGTCAACTCTATTTTTTCTCGTTTTTATACCCTGCACTTCGTGAAGGGTATATTAACTTTGGTATGGAGTTTGTAACTACTTGAAGGAGTCATCTACGGTATGGACATATATATATATTTTTGCTCAGCGTAAAATTCTGCGTCGATTTAGACATGTCCGTCCGTCCGTCCGTCCGTCCGATCGCACGATAACTCAAAAACGAATAATGCAATCGAAACTAAACTTTCACAAGTTTTGTCTTTTGTGCCAAGGCCGAACCCTATTATTATTGGACTAAGTCGGACAACGGGTTCGGGTAGCTGCCATACAACTCAAAGAGTTTATTTTAAATATTTCAAAAACTAATAAAGCTATAAATATAAAATTTTGTATACATGTGTCAAATTATATTCTACACATGCTGCACTGGTTCGGGTGGCTGCCATACAACTCCAACAGCAAATTTTTTATATTTGGCAAAATAATAAAGTCAGATTCATGAAACTTGGCAGTCATGTGTCCAATTGTAGGTCAAATATATTTCTGAAGTTTTAGAGGAATTGCTGACAGGCTCGGGTACTTGCCATACAACTCCAAAAGCTAATTTTAAATATTTGCAAAAATTATAAGGTCAGATTCATGAAACTTAACAAAAGGTCAAACATGTCCGTGAAGTTTCTATAGAATGATTTCATAGGTTCGAGTAATTG